AAGGGAACTCTATCTTTACGTTTTAGTGAAGAAAAATGAGTGGTATGGTGTTTAAACCATTTTGCAAAATTAAGTTTGTTTTGAGTGGTGAAAAGGCCTGTAATTTAGGGGAGGACGTGGGGTGGAAGAAACCAAAAAAATAAAATGGTTGCCCGAGAGAGGAAGCCGGCTGGGATCTCTGAAATTTTTCTGTGATGGACAGAAAATGAAAAAAAGTTGGGTCGTTTGCAATGGTGTCCGTAGTAGTGAAAATAGGAATCCAGTAGAGTTCGTTCTGCTGATTTTTCTTTCTCTCTTGTGCTTGTTTTATTATTTTTAGTTGTTGGTGGTTCATATAGAAGAAGACGAAGAACAGAACAGAACATTTTTAGGTGCAGCATTTTCTTAGTAATTACCAGCACAGAAACTCTGCATACCGGATTATTGTTTGGTCTTGTTCCACCAAGAGAAAAATAGATATATACTTTAGTTATTACGAGACACCAAACCCCGGTTTTTGTTAGTATGTCTCTTGTGCAGTGGGAAATAAAATATGCATGCCCAATTAGGAATAATTCGCGCATATCGTACCGAGATGAAGTCCTTCATCCTGGTGTTAAAACCGGCTTCTTGTAATATGGCTTTCACTTAAATTTTTTGATTCTCTTGGGGTGGTTGGGTGTAGGTAGCCCGACTTAAGTTTGCTGCACGTGCACATGAGTTCGTGTTGAGTGATTTAGTTTGTAATAAGAGGTCACGTGAAAATCTGTCTCTTTCTTCATGTGTATATATTTTGGAAAGGTAGACTTGAATCATCGAATTGATGATAAAACTATTTTCTTATCATTTAGTAATTATATTTTATTAATGAACAAAGGTGTATAGTATACCCGTCAATATGTGATATAAATGGCCGCTGTTCTTGTTTCAGTGAGAATTACATACAATCCGCTCATATAACTATTCTTATATTCTAATACATTAAACAATTGTCTCTTTATATATATATGTATATGAATATTGGAAAAGGTTCAATCAAGTTTTAAGTAAATATTGAGTTTTTTACAAGTATAACTACGTAGATTTAAATGACTTACATATATATTTAAAAAAAAAAGGTTACACAGACTCCGGCGACTCTTACTAATCAGCCATGACCTTTATCACCCCGCTCTCAACGGAATAATAGGTAATATACGTAACCTTTACTTTCCTGTATCTCGATTTACTCACTGAAAGACAAACGTAGGGTTTCATCTTTAGAACCCTTGTGTAATTACCATATTATACGTAATTCTTAACTAATTCCTGTTTTTGACACTGGAGGGTGTGGGTGCAAGGGTGCAACTGAAAATTTTTTTTTCTTCGTAAAACGAGAATTAAAAAGTATAGGTGTCGTAGGAAATGAGTGATGAGCTTTGATTTTGAAAATTTTAACTGAGAAATAAAATTTCGTCCTCTACAGTCATTTTCGGGTGTTTAGCCTCCCAAAGGTCACTGTAAGATTGCAAAACTTTGAGACACATAGCAATACAATGTAGAAACTATCAATCTCAGAGTGTAAACTATGTGAAGTGTTTTTGCGTTTTTGATTTTTATAAAATCTCTACTTATTATTTAACATTTCTTATAATCTTGTTGGTGTTCATTATTGCCTAATCATTTTTCCTTCCCTTGATTAGTTCATAACAACCATACAAGCATATAAAACTTTAAGTTTAAAAAAAATGGATTTGGAAACTGACGCTGAGAAGAATATCGAAATCTGGAAGATCAAGAAATTGATTCAATCTTTAGAGAAGGCAAGAGGTAATGGTACTTCGATGATTTCTTTGGTATTACCACCAAAGTCTCAAATTGCTATGACACAAAAGATGTTAACTGATGAATATGGTACTGCTTCTAATATTAAGTCAAGAGTTAATAGATTATCTGTCTTATCCGCTATTACATCTACTCAGCAAAAGCTGAAATTATACTCAAGATTACCAGAAAATGGGTTAGTTCTATATTGTGGTGATATGATTACTGAAGACGGTAAAGAAAAAAAAGTTACTTTTGATATTGAACCATATAAACCAATTAATACTTCTTTATATATGTGTGATAATAAATTTCATACTGAAGTATTATCAGAACTATTAGAAGCTGATGATAAATTTGGTTTCATCGTTATGGATGGTCAAGGTACTTTATTCGGTTTATTATCTGGTAATAGTAGAACCGTCTTACATAAATTTACTGTGGATTTACCAAAGAAGCATGGTAGAGGTGGTCAATCTGCTTTACGTTTTGCTCGTTTAAGAGATGAAAAGAGACATAATTATGTGAGGAAAGTAGCAGAAGTTGCTGTTCAAAATTTCATTACTAATGATAAGGTTAATGTTAAAGGTTTAGTTCTTGCTGGTTCTGCTGATTTCAAGACTGATTTAAATAAATCCGAATTATTCGACCCAAGATTAGCTGCTAAAGTTATCAAGATTGTTGATGTCTCATATGGTGGTGAAAATGGTTTTAATCAAGCCATCGAATTATCTGCTGAAACTTTATCAAATGTTAAATTCGTTCAAGAAAAGAAATTATTAGATACTTACTTCGATGAAATTTCTCAAGATACTGGTAAATTCTGTTACGGTGTTGATGATACTCTAAAGGCTCTAGATCTTGGTGCTGTTGAAATTTTAATTGTTTTCGAAAACTTAAACATTATTAGATACGTATACAGAGATGCTGAAGAAAAAGAAATTATAAAATATATCAACCCAGAGACAAAGGATAAATCTTACGCCATTGATAAAGCTACTGGTAAAGAGATGGATGTTGTATCTGATCAATTGTTAGTCGAATGGTTAGCTGAACATTACAAGGATTATGGTGCCACCTTGGAATTCATCACTGATAAATCTTCTGAAGGTGCTCAATTCGTCACTGGTTTCGGTGGTATTGGTTCTTTACTACGTTACAAGGTTAACTTTGAACAATTAGCAGAAGACTCAGATGATGATGAGTATTATGACGATGATGCTGAATCTGACTACGACTTCATTTAATCGCATATCTGAACACACACTTATATATATCATGTAATATATTGTAGTTTTTAAAACTTTCAACCTCCTTCCCTTTTAGTCATTTCTAGAAAATTTTTCCTAATCTATGTAGCTTTTTTTCCTTATACTTAGTTTTATACTTTTAAAAAAAAAGTAAGTACATAAGATAAAATTTTGTATAGTTATGGTGGTATCCACATTGAACGTCCGCCAATTGCTTTTTCATATATTGAGTTGGCAGTAGTTAAACTGTTACCCCCCTTATGACAAGCTAGTAATGTTGAAATATGTTGATATTTTGCAGTGGATATCCTATTTATGCACTATTTTCTATTGGAGAAGCATTTGTCTTAAATTTTCATTGCGATGACACGTTTTTCTATGTTAATAATTTTGGGATTATTAATTGTCTCCTGCAAATGGAATAAAGACAATGATTGTTCGAGCCCAACTTGACTCTTAACATGATTGAATTCACTTACAGTTAGTAAATAGACACTTGAACATAAAGATACTTTCGTATATAATCAAAGGGAGCTAAAACATTACATTGTGTATCACGTTAATTTTCTTTTTTTTTACATTTTTACATTTTGCAGAAAATATCCAAATTTAATATAATTTCTAAGGTTTAGCACTTATTACAAAATGCTTCAACACATCTAATCAAGTAAACAAATTTTTATAGAACTGTACAACGAATTTCAAAGTGACACAATTGTACATTTCGTAACACAACGAGTGCTCTTGTAGTTTATAAAATAAGTAATTAACTATTATAGATGATTACAACAATTTTAGTAAGAAACTTGTTTAATCCCCCACAATAAGCCACTTAAAATTGATTTTTTCAATCCAAAGGTATACCCAGTATAATGATTTAACATATGCGAATTACATAACTTACATAATTACTTTCTTTTCTTTTTATTCTTTAGAAGTTCCAAAGCATCAATCTTTTCATGACCAATAATATCATTGTGACCTCTTTTCTTAACTAAATGATCCGCTAGGTTAACTAGACCACCAGTCAAATATTTCTGTCTTCTATCTTTACGCAATTGAATTGATAATAATTCATTCAATTTCATTCTATCAAATTTAGCTTGATCTTTACTGATTGTTTTATTCAATTTCTTTGTCTTATTCTTCGCCAAATAAACATCTTTGTTTTCATCGTCCGAATCTACATCAATCCCTAAGTCTTCAGCAGCTTTAGCCAACCAATTATCATCCTTATGTAATGAATTAGAAGCAATTTCATTATCTGCCAGTTCAGATGCTAATGTACTACGGTCTTTCAACTGTGCAAGAATATCCGATTCAATAGGTAATAACGGAATAGTTTTTTGCCATTTCATTTTCTTACCTTTACTCTTAACTCTTACATCATCCGAGGCCAACATTTTTCTCAATCTTCTTAACGGACCGACAGATTCTTGTGGTGAACATAATACAACAGCAACACCTTCATTTGAGGCACGAGCTGTTCTACCTGATCTATGGATATAGACATCAGCTGTACGAGGTAAATGATAATGAATAACATGCTCAATTTGTGGAATATCTAAACCTCTTGCTGCAACATCACTCGCAATTAAAACAGTAGCCTTATTAATCTTGGAATTAAAATTGGCCTTTTCTTTGAACTTTTCCAAGTTCTTTAAACGGTTCTTTTGTGTCATTGATGAATGAATTTGGAATGTATTAATCTTCAATTGGTTTAAAAATGCGTTTAATTTCTTCACAGATTCAATAGCATTACAAAAGACTAAAGTTGTACCTGGATACATTGTGATGAAGTAATATACAAATAAATCACGTTCTAATGGCGCACATTCAATCAATGCCTCTTTAATTTGTGAACTAATCCTTGACTCTGGATTTGTATCAATAATAATTGGCTTTGATTTGAAATGTATTTTTGTCATTAAATGCTTCAAGACTAATTGTAGTTCGTCTTCCTTTTCATTTTTCTTCTTATGATGGTTAGCAGAACCTAACTTGTTAAACAAATCAATAGAGAATGTTGCAGAAAAGATCATTGTTTGCCAAAATTGAGATTTGTTACTCTTCTTACGGTATGATCTCAACAATTTAATAATTTTTTCAAATTCTTCAAAATGACCATCCTGTAATAATCTATCTGCTTCATCTAGAACTAAAGTATCAATTTTACAGAATCTTTCTAGTAATGATGTATTCTTTTCTAATAATTCTAAAAATCTACCAGGGGTTGCAATGACGATCTTCCCACTACCATCATACTTTAATAATCTTTCTTGTTTTTGGATGGATAAACCACCAGTCAAGGATAAGATAGAATATTTGTTATGATCGTTCAAAATTAATTCAGTAATCTTTTGTAAATGTTGTGAGACTTGTTGGGCCAATTCTCTTGTTGGGGTGAAAATAAGACCAATTGGATCGTTGTTCTTTGTAGCTTGTGATTGAACTAACTTTTCCAAGATTGGAATACCATACGCCAATGTCTTACCAGAACCAGTGGAAGCTTTACCCATTATATCATGACCTTCTAATCCTAGTGGGACCGTCTTTGCTTGAATCTCTGTTGGTTTAACAAAACCTAATTTTGACAAACCTTGCAACACAGTCATAGATAAATTCCCAACTTTTTCCCATTCTGGTAACTCAGAAGAAGAAACTACATCGTCTAAATCGAGACTAGCATTAAAAACATTTGTTTTCAATTCATCCTGTGTTTCTTTGTTATCGTCGTTGTTTTCAACTTTACTACCCAATATGGCCTTTTCTTCTTCGTCGAATTCAGAACCAAATTCATCGTCAGATCCATCTGCTACACTTAATTCACCTTCACTTATATCGTCTAGATTCTTAAATTCTATTAAGTCACCTTCATCATATGGAACTGCCTCAGCGTCTTCAATTTTTTCTTCAGTATCTAGATCAGCAGTTAACGTTTCAGCTTTATCATCTAACGTTTCCTTTTTAATCTGATTATCAACGGTAAAAAATTGAGCTTGACCGTTTACAATTTTAACATCAACACCATCAATTTCTTCTAATCCATAAAACCCTCCAAAATCATCTAATGTATCAGTGATTGGAACAGTTTTCCATTCCAATTCGTTTAATTTCACTTGCACTTTTTGCTTGCTATTCTTTGACATCTTTGCTTATCGTCAGATATCTCTTACAGTAAATTCAATATATATTTTAAGTAAAAGAAAAAAAAGGTAAGGTTAGTCTATTGTATGTTCGAGTTTAGATAGATTATCTCTCTTTTTTCTTTTCTTTCTTACTTCAACTGAACTGTATTACAGTTAACCTACTACTACCTTCTCTCAACTCATCTCATCTCATCTCAAAATAATATTTTTTTTTTTAGTTTAAATTTTCACAATTTTTCAAAATTTTTCATTTTTCATTTCCTCGGTAAGAACATGCGTAGAACAATAAACATCATCACTCTCTGAAGAAAATTGAAATATTTATTAAAATGTTGATGATGGATGAGGAAAGAGATGAAGGCATCATTAAACTACAACTAGAACAACAAAAGGATTACAATTTCTTACAATTGCAGTAGAAACAACCCAGTCTTGTTCTAGCACATGTGCAGCAAAATAAAATAACATAAAAATTATTAGAAAGCATGCTTCGTCGTGGGAAATCTATCACAGGAACCATCATTGGTCCCAATAAGACAAATGTTAAGACAATTAAACCTTCGAAGACAAGAAAAATCATTCGTCGATACCATTTTTTGAATCAATCAAAACAGAAGCTTTTGAAATTACTGAAGTTAGAGGACTCGAACAATTTATTATTTGATACGTTAAGATCTGGAAATGCTGATTTCCAACGAGGTTGTGATATGAAACGTGGCGATGACGTTACAGAGAGACAACTTATTAAGATACATCAACATTCTATGGATTCTAAATTACTTTATAATATGTTAGGATACGTATATACTGAATTAGCAGATGAAAAGGGTCTATCGAATTATCAGATGGCTAGTCGAATGGGTCAAGATGTGAAACGTGGTGGTGATTCTTCCAAGATACTTATTAAATGGATGAAAGAGTTAGACGACACACAGGAGAAAAATCACGATGAACGTAAGACAATGACGGCCTTGGAGATTGGTTCTTTGAGTAAACAGAATAAGATCAGTACTAGTGGGATTTTTAATCCCGTGGTAAGAATTGATTTAAATAATTCTAATGATCAAGAAGGTATTATACGACAAGATTTTATGGAGAGACCAATACCGCACAATGATAATGACAAATTTGATTTAATTTCATGTTCATTAGTTTTAAATTTTGTCCCTACACCACTTGAAAGAGGTCAAATGTGTCGTCGATTTAAATTTTTTTTAAAGAATAATTCGAATAATACCAGATATATATTTATTGTATTACCATTACCATGTCTTTCAAATTCTCGATATATCACACCTGAACGATTTCATGATATGATGCTATCTTTAGGGTACGAGAAACTGAGGTATCAAGAGGCCAAAAAAGTTTGTTATGCATTGTATCAATGGGATAAAAATTTAGAGAATGAAGAGACCCAAAAGAAACGTTTTATGACGAAGAGACAATGTCGAGATGGCCCAAAAATGAACAATTTCAATATACTTCTAAGTAAATGAAAAATATGTGGTAAACCACAGTTCATATAAACAAATATACAGAGGGTAACCTTGAGGTAGTGAATAAAAACTCCGGTTTATTTCTTTGCTCTCTCTCTCTCTCTCCCGAAATACCTATATATATATATATATATATATATGAAACCTTGTTAGTATTCAGAGTCAAAAATCCTACATAATTAAGCTTACCGGTATAATGGACACGCAAATTCGTCACTTACACCACATCCATTCCCCAAACGAGCTTGGCATCAAACTCATACATACGTAATATGTATATAACTCCAAGTGTATGCGGTGCACTTCCATCTTGTTACCAATTTACAATTCCTTCTTCATCTCAATAACAACAGATCCAAGATGCCACACATACAGTGCAGCTAGAAATGAATAATTCGTCACTCTTGGTATGAACATCTATCTGCTCTAGTACTTCCATACCTACTAACCTACTACCTTGGCCAACTGTGACTGACACACCGTCCAGCAAACTTGCACTCCAAATCAGTTTCCTACGCTGGCGTGTCCACCACATCCCAAAGGAATTAAATCAGAGAATTTAACGGAAAATACACAAAAGTAGAGCTCTTTGTACGCCCCTTGTCTTCCTCTTGACATAAACCGCCGTACAAAACCTACCATCACCCACACACACTACCGCTCCCCCACTAAATTTAAAAAATGACGGTGACCCGCAGTTCCTGTCTCTCTGCCTCTGGGGGATTCTCTCCGAGACGGCGGACAGAGAGAAAGAGACAGAAAGAGGGAAAGTCTCCCCTTGAACAATAACACACAAACATATATTTTGAGATTGTACTGCTTTCCTCATAATAAGAAGGATAATAGGTAAATTCACAATAACGGTAATGATAGGCAACTTCCAACATCGGAAAGAACTCTACAATCTTTAAGAAATAATAAGAATAGTTAAGAGAATATTGCATTTTACATACTATCTTAGTTTTCATTAAAGATCGTTAATAATAATATACTGTATTTTACCTTTTATAAGAGTTTGGAATTACCTATACTCACGTTTAGAAAATAAGATAAGAACTACTAAAGCAAGGAAATAAAGGTATATATATATTTTTAAATAAGTTCGTTTTATGTGGTAACGATTTTATTTTATACACACTCATACTATACTGGAACACACACTCACACACATAGATCTTTGATACTTTCCCTTAAAGTTTTTTTTTTATTAAACAAAATATTATATTTTAATAATGAGTAATGAAACACGATCTAATAATCAGGATCGATTATCAAAGATAAAATCAACAGAAATGATTGATAGAACAATAAGTAATTATTCAGCAAACCATTTTATGACAGATACATTAGCAAAACATCTTTTCTTTGATAGAATTTTCCCTTTGTTACCAATTAAATCAAATATTTCAACATATCAAGAAGTCGAATTAAATGAATTTTTTCTATCTTGTAGGGCTGTAATTTTAAATGTGGCGATTGCAAGAGATATTAATTCTGTTGTACGTAATAATCTAGATTTAATTGAATTAATTGCACAAAATGAAAAATTAACAGAGAATAATAATATCAATGAAGATTCTTTAAATTCTTTATTAATCCTTGTTAGATTATTATCAGATACTTTGGAATATTATTGGGAATCATGCGGTAATCTTATACCACAAATACAAAATGATCGATCAGAAAATGCATTTGAAAAACAAAGAGCTTATTTTAAAAGTTTTGTTGTTGGATTTTCAACACATAGAGCCAGTTTACATTTAAAACGTCCAACAAAATTAAGACCAGAAATTGCAGACAGATTAATTAATATTTGCATTAAATTAAAATGTAATACAGGTACTTTAAAATTATTGAAAAATATGTCACCAAATTTACATGCAAGTAAAACTTTAACGTTTGTTCATATTTTACCAGAATATCAAAAACTTATATCACAATTAGATTCTCCAATTTTATTAGAAAAGACAGATCTAACAATTGATTATATATTAAGATTCACAGCAGCATCAAATCGTGAACAATTTGATTCGATTTTAAAGAGTAAAATTTTAGAACCTTTCGCAATTAGACATTCTGTTTCAGAATTAGCTATTGTTGAATATTTAGAATTATTTGGTTGTTTATTTTTAACTAATAGAAATTTATCACATTATTTAAAAATGGTTAGAAAAATTACATTTGTAATGAAAAGAACAGTTTTTTATTCTTTATTACTTTATTATTTCTCAAAATCTTTCATCTTTTGGATTATGGCAAGACCTAAAGAATATATTTCACTTTATGAAAAATTATTAAAAATCGATCAAACAGATTTAAATGACCCAATAAGAGAAATCCCACCTTTAATAAACACTCTCTTTGAAGATGTACATTCAACATTTAACGTATCAAACATTCTTACATCATCCTCATCATCATCATCAAATCATCATCAGGAAAATAAAAGCAATAGCACACTTACCCCGACAACTAATAATAACAATAATGAATCCACACATATACCACAATCATCTACTCAACCTTTATCAATAAACGATCAATTACATCTTTATAGTCATCATCATACATTTTCTGCTCCAAATTCTACTTCAGTACAAGGAAGAGAAATTTCAGCAAGCTCAGATAATAAACATAATATCTCATCAAGAAATTCAAATATTACATCAACGACAAAACCAACCATATCACATCCATTAGCTCATCCATCAATTAAAATCAATACGAAATATCCAAACCCTTCAATCGGACAACATTTGGGACATGTATCTAGTGGAGACATACCCGGAACAGCGTTATCATCATCTTCTTCCATATTTCCAAATCCTTATTCTGAAAGGGGTACCCCCATTGGTAATGAACCCACAGATAGTAATAATAGTAATAATAATAATGTTAGTGTGAAATCAAATAGAAATGGTGAATCAAAATTTGAGAGATTAACAAGAACAACTTCGAAAAATTCAACTTATAGAAATAGTAATACTTTAGCAAAACAGAATCCAATCAATAAATCAAGATCACCTCTCGAAGATTCGATGAGAGGTAGTTTTATAGACACCGAAAGTACAACTGATAGTACGGATCTAGAAAATGAAATTGATAACAAAATTGAATATGATTCTAAGATTAACGCTTATTATTTAGAAAATGTTCTAGAATTATACTCAACATTTAATAACTCCGAATTATTATCCAATATGGCCGTCTTTAGATTTCTAGTTATTCTAACCTTCCTAGATACTGAAAGTATTCCAGAAATGAATGGATTATCGTTTAAAGGACTTCTTGAAGTCGATGATATTTCTTCTGATAATGATGAGAAAGAAGAGGAACAGAAATCAGTAGAGAAAAATAATAAGATACCATTTTCAAGTAGAAGAAGAACTATGTCAGGTTCAAGTGATAAGGAAAGATTACAAAGTATTAAACATTTAGCTCAAGGATTAAAGAAAATTACATCATTACCAACACCTTCAAGGAAGAGTCGTCCAGGAAAGTTTTTGATTCAATTATTGGCCATTGTCAACGGAGCTCAACAGACATCAAATATGGTACTAGTAGATGCAATTAGATGTTTACTTTCATTTATGACTGTATCCTCTTCCATATCCATTTATAACGGCGAATTACCTTGCATTATATTAACCAAGAGATTTTATAATTTACTCGGGAATAATTTGGATGTAGGTAAAGATTGGAATTCATTGACGAATAAACATATTACACATTGTAGAAATAAATACCCAATGATCTCAAGACGATTAAAATTAGAATTTTTTGCGGCAGCAGTTCAATTGAATCCAGTTGAATTTTTAGGACATTTACAATTAGAAAGTGAATTAAAACATTTGAATTTGAAAAAGCTATGTATATATACTGAAGGGTTCAGAGTTAGTCTACATCTTTTGAATAAAGATGAATCCAGAAGAAAAAATGTTAGGGATCTTTCAAAATTTTTCCAATCCTTATTCTCAGTTACTGCAGATATATTATTAAAAGCTTATCCCTATTTTGATCCAAAGGTAACAAAAATTATTTTATCCGTTCTTAATGGTCCAATTTTAGATGTATTCGAGAGTAAAAGACTTTCCTTACTTAAATTGGAAAAAGGGGAAAGTACAACAAAAGAAGAGACACGAAAAGAAGCTCAAAATATGAAAGCATCAGATGAACGTGGGAATTATTGGAATATCGGTGAAATACTTCCAAGAATAAGTGATAATCCAACCATGAATGAATTTTTGTCATCAGAAAGCTCTTTAGATCATGCAGGCATTACACGAATTCAACGTGGTCTTCAAATTCCGAGTGATGAAAGCTTCCATATTTTAATGCCTAGAGCAGAACATATATCTTCACATTCAAGAATTTCCTCAGAGATTCAATTTTCCACTCCAAGTGTTGTTTCTGTTGACTCAAAAGTTAATACCCCTCTTCCTAGAAGAGATGAGATGGAAATTCCAAGTGCCGTTTCAGCGACAGCTACCCCAGAGTTGGAGGCGACTTCTACACCTAACAGATCAATTGTAAGTAGCCAACTCAATGTAAGATCCGAATCTAATGGTGAAAAGTCCTTACTATCTCCGTTAATGAAAGCAACATTGAATCTGCAACGATACCCAAGTAACAAACCAACCCCTACTTTTGAATCATCAAGTGGTAGTAATAACACTAACGATATTACAGTATACAATAATGATGCAAGAAAAATTATGATGAACATTTTCAGCATTTTTAAAAGAGTTAGCAATTACTTTGTTTCTCCTGTGGATGAAACTCTAGACGCTATATGGGACTCCGGTAATTTTAGAACAGTGATCAAACCAATTTTTGTTGCTATGTTGGATGCCAATATACTTTTACAAAATAGTGCAGAATCATTTATGGATATTTTAATTCTTTATATTTCTGATTATACCGACTTCACAGACTCCACACTATTTGGTAGACATTTTCTACTATGTTCATACACAATTACTTTGTTTTCGATAGGACTATCTGATATGTCACTTTCCAATAAGAAGAAAAAACTACTTTTAAATGTTGTTGTAAAAGTGTTAGATGCAAGAGCTTGCTTGATAAGGACTGCAAGGAAATTAAATCTTCTTGATCAAGTGATATTTATTGATGAAACAACAGCCCCACTTCTTATTACATCATTGGGATCTGCTCTAATCATGTCCATGTCATGCAGTGAAGAAAAGATACCTAAATTACTAAGAACAGGATTTAGAGAATTAGATAATATCATGACATTTTATGAAGAAAATATAGGTCCTATTGATAAAACGTGCATATTTAATGCCAGATTCATTAAAGAAACGGCTGCCTCTAATTATTCTTCTGCAGGTTCTGTCGCATTCTTAAGAAAGCTAAAAAATAATATTGTCAAATATGTGACACACCCAGACATTTTAGTTTTGGAGTCGTTAAATGGAATATATGATCGATGGTATTATTACTCTGTGTCGAGATATCTTAACCAACAAGAACTGAGTGACTTCAGAAGTCTAGCTGGTATAATTGCTTCATTATCGGGTGTCTTATTTACGATTGGTGACGATGAAGATGCAGGTTTCAAGGAATTTGCTTATTTAACCGATGTGAAAGAAATACTAATTGATAAATTAAGATACTTTATTAGGAAGCAATGTGAGTGGCTGAATTATCCAGATCTATTAACTCGTGAGAATTCGAGAGATATTATTAGTGTTGAGCTTCACCCGTTAGCATATAGTCTTCTTTTTGATGATCTTAACATGAAAATAACTGATTTAAAAAACACACAATTTGATGAAACCACCGATAACCTAACTTATACTTTATTGGAACAAATAATTATTATTATGAGAACCATATTAAAAAGGGATGATGAAGATAGAAGACTTTTATTATTTTCTAATGGTATCGTTGATGCAATCGAGGATTTGATTCATATAATAGAAAAAATGCCACACGAATCTGTATTATATTTCAAGGCCATTATCCAAATCTCAAAAATGTTCATATCGATAGAATATTCGGAAGAGAGTTTAGCCATCAAAAATCATTTTCTACTAAAGAACAAATGGATTAATATTGTAATAAACTGGTTTAAGTTTACAATTGCGAAGGATTACGATCTTGAAAACCTTGCCAAACCCCACCGTGAAATGGATTTAGAGAAGCGTGATTTAGATTTCCTATATATAGATACTTCCATCGAATCCGCGAAAGCCCTAGCATATCTAACGAAAGGTATACCACTAAACACAAATTATGCGAATACCTCCGGTGAATTTGGGAGATCTGAATTGGTCACCTTTGCAAATTATTTTACAATATTACTTAAGGGCTTAGAAAGAAGTACTAATTCTGAGCGATTCCCAGTGTCATTGAAGCATAAAATAAATATATTAAACGAGAATATTATTGACTCTTTAACAAACCTTTCGAATTCAAATGTGGATGCCAGTTTGACCTATAGTTTGCCTATGGGGTACTCCGATAATAAAAATATCAGAATAGCCTTTTTGAAGGTCTTCATCGATATCGTAACAAACTATCCGTTATTGAAAAGTAACGACGATACTAAAAAAATTATTATAATGGATAAATTATTGCTTCATCTAATGAAGCATCCTCGTTTAACATACAAAGGAAGTATAGTATGTCCATCTAATGATACTGATGAATATGCTGCTGGGTTGATAAGGGCTTTCGAAACAAGAAATGCGTCGCACATTGTTATAAATGAACTAATTAAAGATGAAATTGCCGATGCAGGACGTTATGCAGATGTTTTAAGAAGAAATAGTTGTGCAACTCGTGCCCTTTCTATCTATGCAAAGTCAAGAGGCGGTGATTATTTGATCAAGACATTAAGGGAACCATTACTTGAATTAGACGAGAACATGGAATGGTTTGAAATTGAAAAACTAACAACAGAATCAGAAAATGTAGACACACAGGTAGACGCTTTCCTAAATTATCTGGTAAGAATTGTAGACAAGATATCAACTTCATTAGATTACTTCCCAAAAGAGTTAATTCACATTTGTCAAACGATTTATAACTCTGTAAAATCCAAATTCCCTGATTATTCTTATATTTCTGTTGGCTCCTTCGTATTTTTAAGATTCATTGGTCCAGCGTTAGTAACTCCTGATTCGGAAGATATTTTAACATACTGTGACTCAAGAAGTAGAAGATCTTACATCACCATCGCAAAGGTTATTCAAGCAATGGCTAATAATACCGAAGGTTATCTGAAGTGGCCAGTACTTTCGAATCATTTAGAGATTCTATCACAATGTAAGACGAAAATATATGAATTTTTGAAATCCATTTGCAACTATGATAAGCCAATTGATATTAAAGTAAGAATGGATGATGTCCCACAAAAGTACGATTACAACTACATTCACAGATTTATTTATTTGTATGACTATGAACTGAGAAACGAAACCCTTTGTGATATTCATTCTATAAGTGAATTAAAAATTGCTAAAGAAACATTTACATTATTTGACGATATATTAGGGGTAATGGGACAACCTGCAATGGAAATTACGAATGAAATACCTAAGTATATCAAAGAAAATATAGACCGTTACCCACAACTGTACGAATTTATGAATAGGCACGGCTACAGGATTTCTCAAGAGGAACAGAGCAAGAGTGTTAATTATATCCACGAATCAATGTCCCATGACGGATGTCCTATAATGACAGTCACATTTAACCTCCTTGGTGAACAGTTAAATGAAATGGAATTACTGGTTTACAGAGTTATCCAACTCTACGCTAGGATATGGACTAACAAATATTATTTAGTGTTTGACTGTACTGAATTTTCGTTGGGTCCGGCAGAGTTCAACAAACTGTGCAATATGCTATGCTCATTGCTTCCAAATATGGCCTTACAAAATTGTATTATGATGTACTATGTAAATACAACAGAAGAATTCATGAATGGTTGGATGCAAGTTCAAGAAATGGGACATCCACTTTCATTCTACCAAATTCCACAACAATTTATTAATACCAATACAGATGTCCATATTGTGAAGTCGCTACAGCTAAACAGTAAAAATTCTGAGGTCTATCAAAACGTTCGTGTATCTTTGCACGATATTCAATTGTATGACGAAAAGTCTCAGCAATATGTTCCTGTAAAATTAAAACTAGGTGATCGCTATTTCCAAATACTGTTTGAAAATCCAAAAATATATACCCTAGAAGATGTCGACAAAGTATTCGAAGTGAAGTTTAATAATGTGTACGAGATAACCGATATCGACACCATACATGTTACAACACATACATATTCACCCACAGAGTTTACCATCGAATTCTTTGATGGAGATAGATTAATATTATCGACAAGCAAATATTTAGAGATAGTTAAAATGTTTTATTATGCCCAGAGTAAACTACAATCAGAAAACTATAACCAATTGGATCTCGTATCTGCTTCAAATTCTTCCAATTCCACGGATAAAGGAAACAAAGAGAGAAACGAGATTATAAGCCACTTGTGCCTCATAATATTGGTAGGGTTATTCAACGAGGATGATACAGTGAAGCATATTTCCTACAATCTTATGGTGGCTACCCAAAATGCTTTTGGGCTGAACTTTGGTACTAAATTTTACAATTGTTCGGAGATTTACGTTCCTGAGGATACTACGAGCTTTTTAACTATCGTTACTAAATCCCTGTGTTCATCATCTCCTGAATTAACACCATACATATGGAGATATATGGTAGATGGATTAGAGAGCGATGTTATCAAACATGATTCTGTTCCAACAATAATATGTTGTCTCTCATTGTGGGTTCCAACAATGTACGATTACGTTTACCTAATGGATGTCGAAGATGGACCAGAACTAGTAGCAAAAATTATCAGAACCTTGATTCGATTAACTGTCAGCGACTCCAACTTTACCACCTTATATTTACAGCAAATTTGGTACAGATTTGCGCTTGATGGCAGACTGACAAAGATAATTGTTGATGAAATCGTGAACCATGCTTTAGAAAGAGATTCCGAAAATAAAGACTGGAAGAAGGCTACTGTTTTACTTACTTGTTTTCCGACTATTGAGATAGCTTCTCAGATCGTCAAAAGATTCATACGGATCATTAGATCATTTTTACCATCATTGAAACTAGAATCATCAACAAGAGGTTGGTCTGAAATAACAATTTTAGCGAAACTATCGGTTGCATTATTTTTTGAATCACCATTACTTTGCCAAATGTATCTTTCCGAAATTTTATTTATTATTTCATTGTTGATTGATATTGGTCCAACAGATTTACGTTTATCATTACACAAGTTTTTGATGAATATTTGCCACTCTCTAACTTTAAACAAGTCATTATCAGATGAAGAAAGAACAAAGATACAAAAACTAAGTAATAGCTTCTCTCGTCAAAAGATAACCTTAATGTCAGGTTCATCCGGTGACAAATCACTTTCAGTAATTAATTTCAGCTCCCCAACTCTATCAAGTAAATTTGGTACATTAGAACATTTTGTGGATAATATACTTGAACTGATGGAATGTAACTCACCAAGTGAAGCAGCTCAATGGAAAACAAAATACAAAAAGCACTTAATGAACTCTATATTTACACATCACTCCTTTTTGTCTGCTAGAGCTATGATGATATTAGGTATCCTAGGAAAAAGAGAAATTTCGGAAATTTTATGTAAAGACTTGCTGGTTGAGTCTATGAAAGTTTTTGCGACTCCAATTCTAACCGACGAAACTCTGACATTAACTGTGGCACATTCATTTACTTACAGTAAAATTGTAGAAGGTTTAGAACCTTCATTGGAACTAGTAAAGCAATTATTCTGGTTTTCCACTACTATACTAGAATCTCCATATCAAGTCCAATTTGAAAGTGGTATGTTTTTTATGATTAATTGCTTAACAAAACTGTACGATTCACACTTTGCTACTGAAGGTAACACCAAAAGATTGCCAGAAATTCTTATGGATTCAAGAATATTCGCTTCAAACTTTCTGGCTGAACTGGAAAGCATCGCAGGTGTAACCTGGACTAATAGTAATTTCCCACATATTTTAATCGGTTTTATTATGAGGGGGCTATCCATCCCAGTATTAAAAGCAGCGTCCATGGAATGTCTAAAATCTCTATTTAGGAATTCATATTTGGAGATGGAAAAAGATTCAACTACTAAGACCTTCTTTTGCTACCTTTTCACGATATACTTATTATTCAGTCCAGAACAATTTATGTCTGCGGTAAATGATGCCAATCTATCTGATGATCTAGTTAAACTCGACGACAACAACCAAATACCAAGGCAATTAGCAGAGTGGTTAACATCAGACCATATGTGTTCAAATGTAGCCCTATATCAAGGTGCGCTTCTTTTCAGTAGTTCTATCTCTGACGATGGTTGTAAATTAAGATTTGCTCTTATTATGAGATACCTATTGAAAACAAACCCTATTTGTTTATTCAGATTCTACATAATTACTAGAGATGAATTAAGAAGAATATCAGGGTTAGAACAGAATCACCAAACTGTTATTGTAGCATTTGATATCATCGGAATGCTTGTGACATTCGAGGAATATACTGAATTAGAGAGATATCATACTGAATCGTTAGACGCATTAGCACATAGAGGTTTAACAATGATATCTAAGATTGATATTTTCGATAGCATAACAGGCGATTCCCGTTATATGGTCAATCATAACTATAGCAAAGTAATCTATGAGAGAAAAAGACTCTTAACAATGATTTTAGCAAGAATGACATGTTATATATAGATATATAGATTAGTGACGTTCAATTTTCAATAATATTTTTTTTTAACGAAATTAAAGCAATACAGATTTTTCAAAGTTCAGAAGTCGTTAAGTAACTTACAAGTTTAATTTTTAAATGAAAAGAAGTGAAATTTATATTTAGTAGTATATAAAATGTTGTAAAAAAATTATTAGGAACGAAGTTGGAGATTTGAAATCCATTGGTTTACCATTTCCAAACTTGCTCCAGGTTGATCATAAGGAACCATATGACCTGCATCGTAAATTCTGGCAAATGTCAATGCTCCAAAATTCTTTATTTGACCAGCAGCTTCTAAAGTATCAGGAAGGATCCAGTCATTCATAGGTGCAACTTGATATTCATCATGGTCTTTCCATTCAAGGCTATCAGTCCAAGCATGGTTACCTAACCAATTACATATATAATCCTTATCACCAGCATAAATTAAAACAGGAATGTCTCTATCTAGAAGTTCGGCAATAAATTGTTGGAATGGTTTAGCTTCATCACCGGTTAAGATAAAACCTGCAAAGACTTCATTACTACAACCTGTATAGTTATGAACATCAGAGCCCAAGGCATCTTGTACGTAACGTTGGTTCATGTATTCTTCAACATTTTGTAAACCATTGTAACATAAACCATCCTGAGTTTCGCAAGGACCCCTAATATCATAGACATTAAGACCAGTAGTTTCATAAGGTGATAGAAGAGCTTCATTACAGAAAGTAAGTGCTAGGAAACATGGGATACTTCTTTGACTTAAATAACAAGCCTTGTTTAATACTTTACATCTTTTAGCATCCCTAGTCATTTTTTCACATTGTTCATTAGATAGAACTGCTTTGTAACCACCGTTACCACACGCCATTGGCTGGTAATAATCCGACTGAACCAATGAATCTGTGATACCGTTACCAATCAAAACAGATGTTAAATTGAAAGATCTTTGTGGATTTTCAACCACTATCTCATGAGCAATCTGGGGAATATAATGACCGGCATAAGATTCACCGGCAATATGGAAATCATTGTTTCTTAAATGTGGGAATCTCTTGAAGAATAACTCTAGAAAGACGTACGCATCCTGAGCAGCCAATTTTGAAGTGGTAACTCTTTCATCACCGTATGAAAAACCGACTCCCAAAGGTTGTTCTAGAAATATAACAGATGCATTGTTATTCCAGGAATATGGATTATGGATAGGTTTCAAATCTGGTCCAATGGAAGAAGGTCCCAATTCAAATAAAAGACCAGTGAAAGATGAACAACCTGGACCTCCATTTAACCATAAAATTATTGGGTCATTCTTTGGGTCATTTCTACTTTCAAAAAACCAATAAAAGAAATGTTTTGAATCTTCGTAATCCAAATAACCAGACCATTGTTTAACAGTATCAATTCCCAACTTGGAGGGATCAACTTCTCTCATACGCATCGAATAAGCAGGGTTTTTATCATAGGTAAGAACTTCAATATCATTAGAGCCCAAATACTCTTTGTAGTTTCTCCCAATAGATTGAATAATGTTCTTTGGGGTTTGAGTGTAGTCTAAATTTGGGAACCCTAGGACATCTTGAAACACGGAAAGCGAAGCTACAGGAGTAACCGAAACGAACACACCTACAGCAATTAGCAAATTACTAACCTTCATTGTAGTTTGCTTAGGTTTTTACTATCCGACTAGTGTTGAGGTATCGAAAGTCTTAAAAAATTGTTATCGATTTATATATATGTATCGAGAATCTGACTATTTCCCCCCTTGGATGCTCATCGCTGCTTTATCTTATTTTCTCCGTAATAGGCAAAAAAGTATGAAGAAAAATAGATTACCAGGAGAGATAACAGTTAAACAATGAATGAAGTTTGACGATTAACTGCGGTTTATTAACCACATACCACTGATACTACAAACAGGTCATATTGTTTTATTTGTATCATACCCATTTTTTAGAAACAATAATGTAACTTGAACAGTTATAATTGTTACAACACAAATCTTCACTGACATAAAATTCTGCACCATATCCAGTTGGCCTATGAGATGCTTTTTTTTTCTTTCTCTCTCTCCTTACATAACAATCGTAAATGTTCTAATGAGTGTTGTTGACTACGCTTGATTGTTCTTGAGTATTTCTATTAGGTAATGTACAGTGATTAGATTATATCTCCCAGTATATATGTATATATATAGTTGTGTATATCTATCTATCTAGTGATGATGTAAGAAATTCAGATATTGTGAAAGACAAAAAAGAATAAACTATTAAAGATGCTCAAATATTTTTTATAATATTATTCTTGCCTTGTGAATATGCTTCATAAATGAGTGAAATTGCCTTTTAATTATTTGAAGACAACATCATTACTTAATGGGTCGGCAGCTAAAACATTTTCTCTCCTTCTTATCTTTCTTTCAACAGCAGCTTCTGATCTAGCTTTAGCTTCTTCAGCAGCTTGTTGCTTCTGTTGTGCTCTAACTACATTTGGTGAAACATATTGTTTATTTTCATAAATCTTTGGACCACCAAAAGAACCTTCTAAGATTAAAATTGTTGTCATAACGAATCTTGGACCAATTTCAATCAAGGATAGATCTTCCTCCTCTTCTTCTTCATATTCAGTTTTATTTCTAGCGGCATTTGAAATTTCATAAGTTCTAACCCAAATTTTGTCATCGACGATACTAAAGGACATAACATGATCTACAAATGGTTTAGATTTTCTTGCATTTGGTGGCACACCAAAATTTTGAATTAAAAGTTCTTTAATTAATTTATATTGTGGAGAAGTTTCAAATCTATGATCGAAGGATAATACTGGACGAGATCCCTTTAGACAATTACCTGTAAAATTTAATTCATCCATAGTATGTAAATTTTGAACATAAAATTTAATAGTTGGACCATTAGGAGGTTTAGATAACCATAGGTACAAATCTTGATGCTTTCTAGCTTCAAAGAATAAAATATTATTACAGTTATATAATTCTGCAATTTCATTTAATTGTCCTAAATCTTTCTTAGTATCCAATTTTGGTTCCTTTCTAGAGTGTGGCAATAAACTGTTTAAATCTTGAATCAAATGACGATGTCTGAAATTAACACCTCTACTAGAGATAAGTAGTGTACGTTGCTTATTCATAAATTGTTTTTCATTGGCTTTTTTCTCTTTCTTATCACTGGTCTTACCAGCTAATGCTTTATAAATAGAAGACATGTCTTGGCGGAGGTTTCGTACACGATACAGTTGTCAAAGTATATCCTTCTGGATTCAAAACAACAACAACAACAAACTAAACACAGCTATGTATATATATATATATATATATCAACCTGAATTTAAATATCTATTATCAAAGAAGTGTGTTTCTCTCTCTTTCTCACCAGTAAAATGAAAAATTCGAGTGATGAGCATCGGCGGGCATCGAAAATTTTCCAGATAAAATTTTCAGAAGGGCCCGGTGCGGTGTGTGGGTGTGGTGAAGGTACATTGGTATAGTTTTTTTATAAGCAAGAGAACTGGGAATTGAAGTTTAGTGAACAAAGTAGAGTCTCTTGACAAGATTGTGTCAGATTAGACGGATTGATAGTGTACTTGGATGGTATTCTTGCATTGGTTCTGAGACCTGGCTGGTACATCTAATTTTGGCCGAGAGGAAGGTCGGAATTCTGGTGTGACGGGATCCCTCATTTATACGTATATATATACAATTATTAAAAGAATCTTGAGTCACTTTGGAAGTAGATTATTTTATTGATAGTTGATGTAAGTCGGATGACACAAACTTGCCTGCTCACCAGCTTCGTCATTGTTCCTGGATTAAAATTGAATCCCAATAATAAAATCAATTTAAAAAAGTTCATACTGCGACAGCCCACGTGAGAGCGAAATTTACGCGAATAAATAATTTCACTTAGTTTATTTGATGTTCTATTAAAGATCAAAGACTGATTTGTAAATAGATAAGAAAATAACGACTAGATAGAGAACTGGCTTTTACAATCTAGTATACGTTTGTTACTAGGAAAGGGTAGATAGTATAGTAACCTTTTTTTCTTTTCTCTTTTTTTACTATACGTGTAAGTTGTAAGGGAGGGAGTGTTCACATTTTGTTAATTGGATAAAATATATTTGATGGATCCAGATTATTCCGAGGTAACTTTTAGAGTTAGGACACAAAATATTATTCTTAAATCATATGACGATGGTTACAATTTACCACTTCGTCGATGGCAAGTAGAACTTTTCTTACTCGATAAAGATAATAATGAAATCCCAACAAATATTTTATCATCTTGTACATTTATTATTCATGATTCATTTAAGAATAATGTCCATTCAATACGAAAACCTCCATTTAAGTTACAAGAAACTGGATGGGGTGAATTTGATATTAAAATCAATTGCACTTTAGCCTACAATGCAGGCCGCTTTAAAATAATACATGATTTATCATTTGAAGAAGATGCGTATATTGAAGATTACTCAGTTCAAATACCAAATTATATCGTTGGTTTAAGGAATGATTTAATTCCATTTTATGATATGCCCGAAATAATCGATAGTTATCCAGATTATAAACCAAGCTCTGAAATTACAAAAAAAATATTAAATCTGGATGAAGAAGAAATTACAAAATTTGTTCAAATTATTCTTGATGATAAAGCTGTTCAAAATGAAATTGAAAAATTTGATAGAACAAAACCTTTTTATACATATTTAGGTCAATTTCCAAAAGAATTATTAACTGAATTAGAATCTTATTTAGATGATAAAGCTAATTCAAAAAAAAAAAGTCATCTTACTTTGTAAGCTCAATTCAAAAAGATTAAATTCTTCTATAATAAATAAAAAAATGCATTCATTCGATTATTATCATATATCGCACCATATATAATTAGATTTTATAATAAACAACATAGGCTGTAGACTATTTTCTTCTTCTTGTAACAGTAATGGACACAAGGCTATTCATTTCAGGTACGTGATAATCTTATCGATATATATATATATATAAATAAGTATAACTGTATAACAATCTGACCTCAATTTAATTTTTTATTATTGTTAGATCACTTTGGCGACCATATCCTTAATGTAGTATCCCATGAACCTGTACATACGCCCATTCCATCATAACTAGATCTCACTCTTGTTACTCTATCAAGATGTCCCTCCAATTTACCAACTACATTAGCCTTTAAAGTATCCCAAACCACACATCCTAAGTCTGTATATGTAGCATACATTAATCTACCAGAAGAGCTAAAATCAATAGATGTAACACCTTGATTATCGAAAAAACTAGAACTGACAGCTGTAGATGTAGGTGAAGTGACACTTTTACGATATTCCATAGTGCTTGCGGTATACGTAGGCTGTTCCTTCATTGTGGTTAATGACTCTTGCAAAGAATACGACGCAATGGGACAATCTGACCTCAAATCAAAAATATTAATAGTACCATCATCACTTCCGGTAACAATAGAATGCCCATCTTTAAAAAATTTTATTGTACTAACATCACAATCACTAACAAAAAAATGTTGTGTCGCACCAGGAGTCCTGCAGTCCCATATATATGCATACCCATCAGAACCACAACTACTGAATATATTTTGATTACCTCTTTCTGGAGATATTGCCAAACCTAAGACATCACCTAAATGATCAGTAAATTCTCGTACTCTTTTAGCCTTAGGAATATTCCATAAGGCACATGTCATATCTCCACTGGCTGTAATAACATTTGAATCGTCAAGAAAATCAACATCCGAAATATAACAAGTATGACCTTTGAAAATTGTTTGTACATTTTGTTGTATCATTGCATCACCAGAAACTCCGTAAATAGTACAGTTATTATTCAGCCCAGCGCTAGCAACTAATTTACCGTTAGGTGAAATAGCACAAGATAGTACCCATTGAGAATCTAACGGTATGGCCTTTCTTTTCAAACCAGTAGCACTATCCCAAATTAATAAAAAACCGTCCTGACTTGCACTAACAATGGAATTAGAATCTCTACTCCATCTAAAATCTGCAATTTTATTATTATGACCCTTTAAGGTTATCGTTGGGCTTAGATTAATAGTACCACTATCTAAAGATTGTACATTATTCGCCATCTGAAAAAGATTAGCATCTCGAAGACTATGTTTCACTTTATCGACTTGTGAATAAAGATTTTTAGTTTCTTGTCTTGCCATATTTACCTTTTGTTGTAACTCCTCACCTAGAGTAGCTACATTTAGCCCATCATTCGTATCATCTGTATCTAGGTACTGTGGAACGATGGGTTGGGTTGGTTGCGCACTAAATGTATTGAGTTCGTAAGATTGATACATATTATGTTTTAGCTTATTTGGTAAATCTCTCTGAATGATCAATAACTATTTAAATTCCTTCAACTATTATTATTATAAATGTTACTCACTAAACAGAATAAAATCATACAAATATTATAACTCCTTCTTGCGATGCTCTGTAATGATACCTTAATGTATCTTGTTGAAATAAGAATAAAGTGGTTATTAAGAAGTTGAACCATTCATTTTGAAATAGATAAAATAATAAATTTAACGTTGAAATATTATTTCAAGGTTTAAGGAAATGGCAATAATTCGTGATATCGAACGTAATTTAGAAAACATATTGGTCAATCTAGACAGTATCTGTAACAGTAACTCAAGCTACCATAAAAAATTATAACAATGTAATAAAATAAACCTCAAAACTATCTTCTTCTTATATTTTATTTTTTGTTTGGGTTCAATAACCTTCAGGAAACTCGTAGAAACGATTTCCGTGTAGAAAATTGCATCAACGTGCGTTTTTAACGCAATTTGGCTTTGTTAATGAAACACAACTAAAGTATAGCAGCAGAAGCAATGTCTCCGAGTGAATCTTCACGATTTGATGAATATAATGTATGGGCCATCTACCTTCTAACTTAACCACTATGTGTCATCTGCGATGGAAGCTACCGTCTGGGATTATCACTTGGGAGAGCATCGGATAGTTACCGTAACGTTTCGAAGGTTAATGCAGCGAGCAGCGAAAACCAATAAGTACACAACTCACTTCATATACTTTGATAAGAACATTGGGAAGTAACCACTATTGTGAATCTAAATGGAGAGAAAATAGGAATGTATCTTGGATTTTGAATATAGTTTACTAGTTTTTGTAGCTGCCTAGATAACCGGAGACTTATATACCTTTTGCGTACATGTCTATCCTTCTTTATTTCCTTCAGAGGATAACTATAATAAATGTACTCTTTAAACGGTCTTAGTAAAGTAATTAGCACCCTGCCATGTATCACGTATGTCAATGCCAGTTCCACTTATGCCAGTGTTACTAATCCTTTCCTACACACCGTCTCAAGCGATTACCTGGGCCAATTAACAACTAATTTCTTCGTATCACTTATTTCACTTATTTCACCGGGCAATATATTCCATAGCAACGCAACAACAAAAACAAAACAAACAGAGAAACTAATCAAGCACAGCATATATAGTGAAAGAAAGGAAAACGTTTACAGTGGTAAAATAATACATTTATTTCTGTATATATATATCTATCTACAGGAAAATAATAGCACATTTTATCCCTATAATTCATAATTCAACGGTTAAAGGCTGTCGCCTGATTTAGGGTATTTATATAGAATAAGCTATTCTGATATATCAGTAATCCATCATACATACAGAATAAACTACAGATATATCCATATTCATCAGAACATCCAGAACACATATGTTTCCATTACAGTCCACAATAGGAAGATTAGGGGCTCAACCCTCTCGATTAGCTATCAGATCAGTGCTATTGAGGAGCTCTACACGGACAAATTTACTAGTAAGGAATAGATTACACTATCACTCATTTATAATGCCTTTACTTCCTTCTCAATTTATTCAATTTATACATCTAAACTCTTCACGACAATTGAATAAGTTAACTATATTAAGCTCTAAAAGGTTAATATCAATGTTTCCAAAGATGATAGGGAAAATAATTAAAGCACCCGCTTATCTTGGTGGTGCAATGGCAGCTACTGGTAGTTACATTGCTTATAAAGTTGAACAAACGACAAATTACACAATGGATAAGTTTGGACAACTACACGATCTTTCAAATTCAATGAAGGATAAAATAAATCAGTGGCTACCAGGTGTTGATGTTTCACAACAACAATCTAACAATAGCGGTAATAATGGTGGTAACAATAATCCTGATGGCTCCGTACCTGGTGCTACGATATTAGGTGCCCTAACAGATGATGAGAAACGGGATAGTAAACGAACTGCCGATGATAATGACGAAGACGATGATGAAGATGACATGGAGAAAGAAGATACTACACAAGATGAAATGCTAAATTTAACAAAACAAATGATTGAAATCAGATCAATTTTGAACAAGGTCGATTCATCCTCAGCTCATCTTACTCTACCTTCCATAGTTGTCATTGGCTCACAATCATCTGGTAAATCTTCTGTCCTAGAATCCATCGTAGGGAAGGAATTTTTACCAAAGGGGTCAAACATGGTGACCAGAAGACCAATAGAATTAACTTTGGTTAATACCCCAAATTCTAGCGAAATCACAGCTGATTTTCCATCCCAAAGATTGTACAATATTAAAGATTTTAACGATGTTAAGAGATTGCTAATGGAATTGAACATGGCTGTTCCATCTACAGAAGCAGTATCTGAAGATCCTATCCAACTAACGATTAAGTCTTCCAGAGTTCCTGATTTATCTTTAGTTGATTTACCTGGTTATATTCAAATCGAGGCTGCTGATCAACCCTTAGAGCTTAAATCAAAAATTCAACAATTATGCGAGAAATATTTAAAAGCTCCAAATATTATTTTGGCAATTTCTGCTGCAGATGTCGATCTGGCTAATAGTTCAGCTTTGAGGGCTGCTAAAGCAGCGGATCCAGCTGGTCTAAGAACAATTGGTGTCATTACTAAATTGGATCTAGTGACTCCGAATGTTGCTAGTAGTCTGTTGAATAACAAAAGATATCCATTGAAAATGGGTTATGTTGGTGTTATAACCAAAGCACCAAGAAAGTTCAATGAAGGAGGATCTTTGAACCTGTTTGATGATGCAAATAATAGATCTAGTACGTCTCCACTAGGAAATATATTTGGGAAGAAACATTCTATTTCAGACAATGAATCTCAATTGGACTCGAACTCCCCATTAGGTTTACAACAGATACATTCTTATCAATTTGAAAAGCACTATTTCAAGGAAAATAAGAGAATATTCTCAAATTGTGAAGTTTCAACAAAAAAATTGCGTGAAAAATTAATCAACATCTTAGAAATTTCTATGTCCAACGCTTTAGAACCCACATCAACTATCATTCAACAAGAATTGGATGATACCTCCTACCTCTTTAAGGTTGAATTTAATGATAGACAGTTAACACCAAAATCATATTTATTAAATAATATCGATGTCTTGAAATTATCTATCAAAGAATTTCAGGAGAAATTTACAAGGAATGAATTAAAATCAATCTTAAAGGCTGACCTTGATCAGAAAGTTTTAGATATATTGGCACAAAGATACTGGAAGGACAATAATCTCCCAGAATTATCCACTCAATTGAACAATGAAACTGAAATGCTATATTGGCATAAGAAATTAGAACTGGCCTCTTCTGGTCTCACCAAAATTGGTATCGGTAGACTATCTACCGTACTAGTCACGAACTCCATCTTAAAGGAACTTCAAAATATCTTGGATGAGACACAATTGAGAAATCATGATCTTATAAAAGATTTAGTAAATAACACAGCCATTAATGTTTTAAATACCAAGTATTATTCCACGGCAGATCAAGTCGAAAACTGTATCAAACCATTTAAATACGAGATCGATTTAGAGGATCGCGACTGGAGTTTGGCTAGAACCCACTCCATCAAACTAATTAGAGAAGAGTTAGCACAATGTGAAGGACAATTCAATACTATTAAGAATTCAGTAGGGTCAAAAAAATTGAACCGTGTTATGACATACCTTGAAAATGATGGTTCATCTCAAAAGGAGACATTAGGAATGTCAAAAATTTTGTTAGAAAGAGGTGGTGAAGCTATATTTTTAAAGAAAAGAACACAAGTATTAAATTTTAGATTGAAAATGTTGAAGAATAAATGTTACAGTTCAAGTGAAAAAGATCGTTGCCCAGAAGTGTTCTTGAACGCCGTTAATGAAAAACTGACATCGACTGCAGTATTATTTCTTAATGTTGAGTTACTGAGTGATTTTTTCTACAATTTCCCAATCGAATTGGATAAAAAATTAGGTACGTTAAATAACGAACAGATCGAAATGTTTGCAAAGGAAGATCCTAAGGTTGCTAGACATATCGAATTACAAAAGAGAAAGGAATTGTTAGAGCTCGCCTTACAGAAAATCGATTCTATTCTTGTATTCAAGAGAAGTTATAAGAACCTCGGTAAGAGATGAGATTATGAATCTTAAATTCAAATAGATATATTTTAAATAATTATGCCATTGTGTAATTTAACCGGAACCCCTTGATATTCTTTCCAATTTAACAGATTGATTCTATCGATGCCCTGCTTGGTCTTGAATCACTTCACAAATGTATACATATATGGAACACCCATACATCCTTGGTCCTGAAATTTTTTTTTCAGGTTTCGCTTCTTTGGGGTGGTCATCGAGATATTCTTATGTAATAGAGATGAGAAAAATAAATATCGATCTGAAACTCATCTCTATCTTATATACAGAAGAGTAGGTAATATTTTAGTTCATCTAATTTGGAATAGCGTAGGCTAGAAGGAACATCAAGTGTAAGATATCTACCTCGTGAATTCACAAAAGTAACACCATTTTTTGTTATGTCAAAGAGTGCGATCAAGAAGAGAAAAACTGATTCCGGTGTGGAACACACTCATGGTAAGGATGAAAACTTTGAAGCGTTACTAAAGCCTGTATTTAAAGGCAAAAAATTGACAGACGAAATCAATACTGCTGAAGATAAGTGGAACCTGCTACCAGCCTTTCTTAAGGTTAAGGGTTTAGTTAAACAACATTTGGACTCCTTCAACTATTTTGTAGATGATGATCTAAAAAAAATTATTCAAGCCAATCAATTGATCCTTTCTGATGTTGATCCCGAATTTTATCTTAAATATGTTGATATTAGAATTGGTAAAAAATCTTCTTCTTCTGCTAGAGACTATTTAACACCACCACATGAATGTAGATTAAGAGATATGACTTATTCCGCCCCAATCTACGTTGATATTGAATACACGAGGGGTAGAAATATTATTATGCATAAGGATGTTGAGATAGGTAGAATGCCTATTATGTTAAGATCCAACAAGTGTATTCTTTATGATGCAGATGAAAAAACTATGGCCAAATTGAACGAATGTCCATTAGACCCAGGTGGTTATTTCATTGTAAATGGTACCGAGAAGGTTATTTTAGTTCAAGAACAATTATCAAAGAATCGTATCATCGTGGAAGCGGATCCAAAGAAAGAGATTGTTCAAGCATCTGTTACTTCATCTACTCACGAAAGAAAATCTAAGACATATGTTATCACCAAGAATGGGAAGATTTATTTGAAACATAATTCTATTGCAGAAGAAATTCCTATTGTCGTTGTTTTGAAGGCCTGTGGTATTATATCAGAATTGGAAGTAATGCAATTAGTTTGTGGTAATGATAGTAGCTATCAAGATATATTTGCTGTCAATTTAGAAGAAGCTTCAAAACTAAACATCTATACGCAACAACAAGCGCTGGAATATATCGGTGCAAAGGTTAAAACAATGAGAAGACAAAAATTATCTACTTTACAGGAGGGTATCGAGGCTATTGCTACTACTGTTGTAGCTCATTTGACTGTTGAAGCTCTAGATTTCAGAGAAAAAGCTTTATATATGGCAATGATGACTCGTAGAGTCGTCATGGCAATTCATAACCCAAAAATGGTGGATGATAGAGATTACGTCGGTAACAAACGTTTAGAACTTGCTGGTCAACTGATCTCTCTATTGTTTGAAGATTTGTTTAAAAAATTTAACAGTGACTTCAAAGCTAGTATTGACAAAGTCCTCAAGAAGCCAAATAGGGCAATGGAATATGATGCTTTATTATCTATTAACGTCCATTCAAATAATATAACAAGTGGGTTAAATAGAGCTATCTCTACTGGTAACTGGTCTTTAAAGAGATTTAAGATGGAAAGAGCGGGTGTCACACACGTTTTATCAAGATTGTCTTATATTTCTGCATTGGGTATGATGACGAGAATTTCTTCTCAATTTGAAAAATCAAGAAAAGTGTCTGGTCCAAGAGCTTTACAACCTTCTCAATTCGGTATGTTGTGTACAGCTGATACACCAGAAGGTGAAGCTTGTGGTTTAGTTAAAAATTTAGCTTTAATGACACATATCACTACTGATTACGATGAAGAACCAATTAAGAAATTGTGTTATGTTATTGGTGTTGAAGATATTACTATGATTGATAGTTCATCTCTTCATTTGAATTATGGTGTTTACCTAAACGGTACTTTGATTGGTGTCACAAGATTTGCTAATAAATTTGTTACACAATTTAGAAATTTAAGGAGAAGCGGGAAGATTTCTGAATTTATTTCTATCCACACTAATACTCACCAAAAAGCTGTTCAAATCGCCACAGATGGTGGTAGAATTTGTAGACCATTAATTATTGTAAGTGATGGGAAATCTCGTGTTACAGCTGAACATTTGGCTCCTTTAATGAACGGTGAACTTGTTTTTGATGACTTTTTGAAACTTGGTTTAGTCGAATATTTGGATGTCAATGAAGAAAATGATTCATTTATTGCACTATATGAAAAAGATATATCGCCAGCTTCTACACATTTAGAAATCGAGCCATTTACAGTCCTGGGTGCTGTTGCTGGGTTGATTCCTTATCCTCACCATAACCAATCTCCACGTAATACCTACCAATGTGCGATGGGTAAACAAGCTATTGGTGCAATTGCATATAATCAATTCAAGAGAATTGATACTCTGTTATATTTGATGATTTATCCGCAACAACCTATGGTTAAGACCAAAACTATCGAGCTAATTGATTATGATAAACTGCCTGCAGGTCAAAATGCTACAGTTGCTGTTATGTCCTATTCTGGTTACGATATTGAGGATGCTTTAGTTTTGAATAAAGCTTCTATCGACAGAGGTTTCGGTAGATGTGAAACACGTAGAAAGACGACGACTATATTGAAAAGGTATCCAAATCATACACAAGATATCATTGGTGGTATGCGTGTAGACGAAAAGGGTGAACCAATATGGCAGCATAAATCATTAGGACCAGACGGTTTAGGTGAAGTGGGTATGAAGGTTGAAAGTGGTCAAATTTATATTAATAAATCTATTCCATTGAACTCTACTGAACCATTTTCTGGTGATGCTGGTTCACAGTACAAAGAGACTCCAGTTATATACAGAGCTCCAGAGGCTTCTCATATTGATCAAGTTATGATGTCCGTATCAGATAACGATCAAGCACTGATCAAGGTTCTTTTGAGACAAAACAGAAGACCGGAACTTGGTGATAAGTTTTCTTCCAGACATGGTCAAAAGGGTGTTTGTGGTATCATTGTTAAGCAAGAAGATTTGCCATTCAACGATCAAGGTATCTCACCTGATATTATTATGAATCCCCATGGTTTCCCATCTCGTATGACAGTCGGTAAAATGATCGAACTGATTTCAGGTAAAGCTGGTGTGTTGAATGGGTCCCTGGAATATGGTACATGTTTCGGTGGTTCTAAACTGGAAGATATGTCTAAAATACTTGTGGACCAAGGTTTCAACTATTCCGGGAAAGACATGTTATATTCTGGTATTACAGGTGAATGTCTTCAAGCTTACATTTTCTTTGGTCCTATCTATTATCAAAAATTGAAGCATATGGTTCTTGACAAGATGCATGCCAGAGCAAGAGGTCCTAGAGCTGTCTTAACACGTCAACCTACTGAAGGTAGGTCAAGAGATGGTGGTTTGAGACTAGGTGAAATGGAAAGAGATTGTGTTATCGCATATGGTGCATCTCAATTATTATTAGAAAGATTAATGATCAGTTCAGATGCATTTGAAGTTGATGTTTGTAACTCATGTGGTTTGATGGGTTATAGCGGCTGGTGTACAACATGTAAGAGTGCTGAAAATGTTATTAAGATGACCATCCCTTATGCGGCTAAATTATTATTCCAAGAATTGCTATCTATGAATATTGCACCAAGATTAAAATTAGATGACATATTCCAAGAATAATAATGGATTTTGTATCGTTTTATTTTATTTATTATGGGTATGTTCAATATAAAAGGCTGGGAAATGCCGAAGTTATTATTTAATATATATATATATATATTTACATTGAACAAAATTAGCATCTTTATTTCTATATAGTATATGACAGTAAAATGTTCAATTTATTAAAGTATATAATTGCTATGAAATAATTTACAAAAATAAGGAATCTTCAGACGCGTACGTGAAAATGCTAGCACTTAGTCAGACATCTCGACATCCTCCTCATCCTCCTCAGAATCGTCCTCCTCGGTCTTCTTAGCTCTTTCCTTCTCTCTATCATCTTCTTCTACAGATTCTCTTAGAATCTTTGCTTTTTCATCTTTAACTTCACGTTGAACAATAACATAAGCACCTAATGGGGTCTTCTTCCATGGAACGTCGTTTAGGAATCTATTTGCTTCAGTTTTATTGTTTGGACTGAAATCAATTTCTGATCTCTGTTCTTCAATGAATTTAGAGTTTTGTTGTAGTTTGTCGACAACGTTCGATAGTTGTTTGTTGAATTTAACATTTTTAGAGTTCTTGATATAACGACGGAGAACAATTACTGCTGGTGTTACTAATTCTGGGAATGACACACTTTTACAGTACAAACTAAAGAATTCCCCAAGTAAATCAACGAATTGACCAGCCAAACCTTCTTGATAAACTCTAGTTCCCAAATAGGCCTGGGTACATTTAATGTTATGATCAAAGTCAAATGCTTCCAAATTTTCTTTCTTTTTTGGTACTTTAGTGAAAGCAGTAGATGAAAGAATCTCAGAAAGGATTGGGAAAATCGGAATGTATACACCTGTATTTTGGGACAATCTAATCAAAGATCTAACTAGATAGAATCTTAATGGGAAAAATTGAGCTGTTGGGATCAATCTGGTAACACCAATGGTTACTTGGACCAATGGGAAAATCATTTCTCTTAGTGGTGAAACGTGACCTTGTTCTTTCTCAGGATTACAGGAGAATGACAGAACACGGGACCAAAAATCTAAGGAATGACAGAATTGCCAGTTGTAAACAATTTTGTAAGCTTCTGCTGGGTTAGCTTTACTAGTTTTCTTTGTGGTTGCGTTCATAGTATTTCTAAGATGAATTGCCAATTGTCTGATATATTCAAAACCAACTTGATAACTTAGTAATTCGTCAATTGCAAATAATTCAGCAGCAGAATTCTTTTGGAAGTTAATCAGTGGCATGGTACGGATATTTGTCTTACGACTGTTTTTAACAAATGTTGAATATGTAGATTTTAAGACAGATTCGAGCATAGCCTTCTTGAATTCCTTGGATGCATTATGCAAGAAAGCAAATGATGCAATTTGGGTTTCCACTTCTCTACTAGTTGCCCATATTTCAACAACACTTTTAATAATTTCTTTCAAAATTCTTCTGTAAGAAATAATATATGGTAAGAATTGATTAACAGAATGTAAAACCATTGCGGCAGTTTCAGTATTAGTGATATCATTCAATAATACTAATAAAGATGCACAATGAGCCTTGATGATAGAAGAAATTTTAGAAACATTTTTATTAGATGGTAAAGTTCTAGAATCTTTGATAATCTTGTAAGGAACCATTTTTTGAACGGCGGTTGGTAAATCCTTTAGTGCAACGAACATTAATTCTTGGAACGCCTTTTCTTCGGAAATAGTATATTTGTACTCTTCTAGATGCTCGTCATTATTCATATTAACAGCGCCTTTGAAAGCTACAGCAACGTTTCTTAATAATTTTAACGTTGGTTTCTCACGAAGATCTTTCTTCCACTTTCTAACTAAGATGACAGTTAGTTCGATCTTTTGAACAGGTTGATCGCCTGTAACCTTTTCGGTTTCCTTATCATTCTCATCGTCACTAATTGCATCCAATGGATTTGAGCCACCAAAATCTAATAAACCTTTATCGTTATCTTGTAAATACTTGAAGAATTCTGGATCATTTTTGGATAAAGTGGCCATTGAAGTTGCCATATCTTCTTCTTCAGAAGATGAATCATCATTTTCTTCGGATTTAGCCTTTCTTGCAGCTTTTGATTTCTTATTCTCTTTTGGTAGTTCGATTCCCTTGTCGAAATATTCTTCAACAGACATATCCTTGAAGACTTCTTCCTTTGCAGATTGTTTTAATTTTTGATCATCTCTGGTTAAAGCACTCCTAACCTTTTCTTCTTCAGTCTTGTTACCACGACGACCTTTAATCTTTTGTTTTTGAAGTTTTTCTTTCTTTCTATGATCTAAAGTATGCTTCAGATGCTTACTCTGAAATTTCTTAGTAGCCTTTGATGTTTTACCCATTTTACCTGACTTGTTCTCTTTTATTAGTCACTATCTTAAATATATATCGATCTGCTCAAGACACAAAAGAATAATACGATTATATTATAGATCTTTACAAGCTTTTTATTAAAGTAGTTGTATTACAACTTCTTTCAATGTATATGGTATCAATGCCCAAGAGAAGCTCATCTCATCTCATCTCCCAAAAAAAAAAATAAAAAATTTCAGTCTTCGAATATCTTCGCCTTGAAAATAATATGAGTGCAAAAAATTTTCAGTTCGTTGTAAGTGACCACGTTCATACTAGTCAATTTATATAATGTGAGGAACCTTTTAACCTTAAAAGATAAGAAAACTAATTGAAAGAGCATTTAAATTTGACGTACATTTTTCAAGGGATCAGTTTGCTAAACATCTTGAGGTGATGTTGATGAGATGTGCAACCCGACAGAAATTTTTGAGACCTGCATCCATTTGGAGACGGTTTATCAATTGTAATTCATGTGGTGTTGAACTACAAAATATAGATTTGCATAAGAAAGGATATTTCGTAAAGAGAATCGAAACTGATCGAGCACAGAAACCATCATTAGATAGGCTAAAATATTTACTGTTTGCTCAAGATATTCAAAAACTAAACGATGGTCATGAAAAGGACAGAGTTAAAAAAGTAGAGTCCCCACCGATCTGTAAACGATGTAATGACGCCTTACATCAAAACAAATATAATATTGAAGACTTCGAAAAATATACATTTAATGAAATTATTGCTAATATCCCTGATCAAAGTAATATACTCCATCTTGTTTCATTACCAGAGTTTCCATTAGGTTTAAATTATCGGCTACTTCAAGATAAGAAGCATAATGTGGAGTTAGTTTTAACAAAAGCAGATCAAGTTATTCCAACGAAATCCATACTACAAAAAAATGTACCATTATTTTTGAAAGATTTTATGAAATATCATTTAAATATTATTTCGAACAAAAGTTTAAGTATATCATCGTTAAAAAACTGGAACATTGAAACTATGTACTCCATGTTAAAGTCTAAAACATACCTTTTGGGTAACGCAAATGCAGGAAAGTCATCATTGATTAATGCATTGATTAGGAAATACATGGGTAAAAAAATAACGTTCGATAAAAGAGGGAATGCCATTACAAACAATGACTATACGGTAGAGAACCTTAAACATTATTTGAAGAATAATTGTGCTGGTGTATATCACGTTCCTAACATGACCAGAAATCTACAAGCATTCGATATTAATGGGAAGGAGATTTATGATTTACCAGGGTATTCTGAAGAAGCCAATAATAACTACCTCGAAAATATCATATCAAAAGATTGGCTACAACAAATAAGGAAAACTGAATTATTTGATAGTAAAAAAATTAAAAAGAAGCATTACACAAGTTTTAAAGGAACAGAAAATGGGGCATGTTATACAATAGGTGGCATATTTTATTTAGTTCCTCCAAAAGGAACGATCAACCAGATAGTTAAATATATTCCTGGTCAACCAAGTGAATTTAAAAACATTGATAAAGCGTTAGAAGTCTTTGATGCATGTACATTACCAGACTCAAAACATCCGTTGAAGAACTACTGTGGTATTAAAAATAATGCTTGTAATAAAAATGATTTAGTAAGACACGTAATACCACCATTCCAAGGGAGCATCGAAATAGTCATGAAGGATATAGGTTACATTTTGTTAAGATCTACTGGTTCATATCAATATCAGGGTTTGTATGAAGTATGGCTACCAAAGGGTATCGAAATGTGTATAAGAGAACCATTAGAAAAATTAATAACAGAAAATTATGAGAAATATATCAACACCAATGGCGCATCAACTGTTTGCCCTAAAAATAGACCTATTATTAGTTCTTGTTATCCTATGAACCCAGATGAGAAGGATACATTGACAAAAATGAAAGAGATGTATTTAGATAGAACAAATAATGACTTATCGGCGCGGAGGCATAAAGATATTGACCCAGTTAGTTTATTGGGAGCTAAATCTGAAGAACATCATAATATTTACTGGTATTATAAATGGTGATGGTTATATTAAAAATTCCTGTACATATATATATTAATTTATTTATTTTTTAATGTTACAACTATCAAACCAAAGGTAAATAAACCAAGAAATTATTGCAGCATGAAAGTTTCTTCTTGAGTATAAGAATCGTTAGTGAAAAAATATATTATTTTTCTTTTGGTAAAAAGTAACCAAATTTCCAAACTATGACATTCAAAGCTACTGAACTGAGTATTCTAAGGTAAATGGTATGAGATATTCACATGAGCATAAAAATTAACATTAATTAAATGACACATAGATTATTGTGTGCAATTATTATAATTGAATAGGCCTATACAAAGATACTTGAATAAGAAGTTCATGGATGTGAAGGTTAACAATCATGCTACTAAACTCGTAATATATAAAGACAGAGGTTTGAAATACATAATCTGTATATTATATAGTTCTTCCGAAATGCATGAAGAAGAATTATCTGTATAATATCTTTATAATAAAAATGAATGAAAATAAAAATATAATCAATGCTCAACCAAATAGAAACGAGGAATTCTATCAAAAACTATTTATTATTCCACATTTTTCAGAATTCTCTTTCATATTTCAACCCCATAACTCTGTTCAAAGTTATTACATATTCTAAGATCAACTAGTGTAGCGTATATTATACATACTTATCTTCCTATGAAACATGACTCAACTATGTAGGTGTATATTCGAAAAAATTTAGAGATGTGTCATCATATTGGACATAACCGGAATTACTAAACAAAGGTCAATTATCCAATCCGTTAGTTGGTTAATATAAATTTGGGAATAGTCCTATGACAACTCTACCGGAAGTATTGAATATATATATATAAACTCCATGACCTTGTAGATTGTTGTATAACCTACAAATGATGAAAACATTTTTTTTTAAATATAACAAATATAGTAATAATAGTTTAGTATACAATAAATATAAATGCACCATAATTAAAGAAACTTTTAAATTAGAAAGTCTCTTTAACCTTTTTAACCCTAAATATAATGGAAAAATATGAATTTAAAGGTCAATAAAAATTAAGTATGCTAGACTTGTTTTGAATATTATAGGAAATAAGAAAAAAAACACTTAGTTAATAGCTTTTATTTTTAGCTATTGTATTTTTTCTTCTTCTTCATTGGTATCAAGCTTCGTAAATGTAAGAGAAATAAAAATGCGTGACCTTAATCAAAATGTACTTATTTAGTTTTAGTTTTATTCGTTTTTTGTTTTAACGATATTTATCGGAATAAATTTTGATTATTGTGTATTGTTATTCATAACAATCCTAGAAAATTCTATAATGGTTTTATTAACCTAAAATAATAAAAAAAGAGTGGATGTACAGGAAAAAGAAAATAGAAAAAGTTCCACAAGTAATGAATAGTGCACTGGATACTGGTATGCTTTACTAAACAACGACATAATAGGAAGGTAAAAAAAGCAACAGAAATAAAGTGTTAAAAGAAAAGGGAAGTTATTAAAAAAAATTAATATTTCTTAAGCAAATAAACGTGTAATAAAAAGAGATGAGATTACCACCAGGATTGGTTGTTGTTTGATGAGGAACCGTTGCCCCAACCACCGTTGTTGGATCTACTACCAGAGTTACCCCAGTTAGAGCTACCAGAGTTGCCAGAGTTGCCAGAGCTACCCCAGCCAGAACCAGAACCACCTCTGGAACCACCCCAGTTGTTATCTCTACCCTTGTTACCACCGAAACCACTACCACTACCTTGTTTACGGTAATCTCTGGAACTGTTACTACGAGATCCAAAACCTCTGTTAGATCTACTTCTACCTGAATCTCTAACGGCATCAGATAAGAATTGAGGAACTTCTTGATTAGCTTCAGTCAAAATTTCAAATAGACCCTTAGCAACGTTACTGTTATTTCTGTTAAAGAAAGCAATAGCGGTACCAGTGTTACCGGCACGACCAGTTCTACCAATTCTATGGACGTAGTCATCAATATCTGTTGGTAAATCGTAGTTAACAACTTGAGTAACATTTGGAATATCCAAACCTCTTGCAGCAACAGCAGTAGCAACTAATAAGTTAGCTCTACCAGATCTGAAAGCAGCCAAAGCACGTTCTCTTTCTTGTTGAGTACGATCACCATGAATAGCAGTAGCACTGAAGTTTTGCATGATTAAGAAATCAGTTAAATTATCAGCTTCTCTCTTAGTTTCAACGAAGATCAAAGTTAAACCTTCATTTTGAGCAGATAAAATATCTAATAGAGCGGATTTTTTATCCATATCATCAACGTACATAATCTTTTGAGTAATGTTTTCAGATGTAGAACCGACTCTACCAACAGATAAGAAGATATAATCTGATAAGAAATCACGAGCTAAATGTTGAATATCATCTGGGAAAGTAGCAGAGAACATCAGAGTTTGTCTTTCACCAACTGGAGTCATATCACAATCTTCGACAATATGTCTAATTTGAGGTTCGAAACCCATATCTAACATTCTATCAGCTTCATCAAGTACTAAATATTTAACGTTAGATAAAGAAATCTTACCACGTTCTAGTAAATCATTTAGACGACCTGGAGTAGCAACCAAAAGATCACAACCTTGATCCATTTGTCTCATTTGGTTACCAATTGGAGAACCACCATAAACAACACAAGGTCTAACCCAGGATCTGTAACAGAACTTCTTAGCTTCATCATAAATTTGAGTAGCTAATTCTCTAGTTGGAGCCATAATAACAGCAGTTGGATAAGCTTTTCTTTGGTAAGAATAACCACCATTATTAGTTACAGGTGAAGGACCATTCTTAAAAGATTCAGATAAGACAGGGAAAAGGAAACCACCAGTTTTACCAGAACCAGTTTGAGCACAAGCCATTAAATCCCTACCAGCGGCAATAATCGGAATAGAATATTTTTGAACTGGAGTTGGTTTAGTGAAACGAGCTAATTGAACATTTTCAAATAAAAGATCATCTAAAGGTGGAGCAGTGAATTCAGTGATTGGTTCAGGAACATTTTCACCAGAGGCTTCAACTGGAATATCATCATAATGATCGAAATTAATACCTGAAGATTGGAAACCTGGATCATCTGGAGCACCAAATAAATCCAATTCAACTCTTTCATTCTTTCTACCTGGAATATGTTTGCCATCATCCCATCTACCAAAGTTGGAATTTCTGGAACCACCACCATTATTATTATTACCACCAAAACCACCACGTCTGTTATTGTTACCAAAGAAACTGTTGCCTCCTTCACGTCTACCATTGTTACCGAAGAAACTACCTCCACCGCGTCTTTCATTGTTACCACGATAGTTATCATTAGATCTTTGAGGTCTGTTACCACCAGAGTTTCTTAAATGAGGTGGAACGTAACCATCTTTGTCATTCTTGTCATTGATGGATAAGTTTTGTACTTGTTCAGATAAATCAGCCATAATATTGGTATATATATATGAATATATAACTTTTTGTCTTTATTTCAGTTTTATTTCTTAGTATGAAAATAAAAAATAAGATATACAAATAAGGTTATTGAAACTTAAATTAAATATCTATTCTTTTAAAGAGAGTATATCTTTTAGCTAATACTTTTACCACCAATAAAGAAAGTTTCATCAATTCTGCCTTTCAACGTTGAAACGAAACGAAAAAAAGAAGAAAAAAAGCAAAAAAAACAGAAAAATAATAGTAGCAGGAACATCGTGTTGTACGACACACACAATAGCAGAGCCCATCCGGATCACTTAATACGAGGTGCATATGACTTAAATTATCTATATATTATCTATATATTTATTACATTAATACACCTTTAGTTGATGGAATGTCGTTAGTACCATTAGATGAAATGGCTTCTTTGATGGCTACGGCCAATGCTTTGAATGCACTTTCACTTCTATGATGGTCGTTAAAGCCTCTTAAACAATCCACATGCATAGTAACTCTAGCTGCATCAGCAAAACTTTCTAAGAAATGTGGAATCATTTCACATGAAAGATCACCGATTTTTTCTCTTTTTAAGCCTAATTCAATTACAGCAAACGGTCTATTAGATATATCTATCACGGCTCTTGATAATGCTTCATCCAATGGAGCAAACCCATTACCAAACCTACGAATACCACGCACAGCACCTAATGCTTCTTTAAAAGCTTGTCCCAAGGCAAGGCCACAATCTTCAGTAGTATGATGATCATCAATATGTAAATCTCCAATACATTCAATGATTAAAGACCAACCGGCATGTTTAGCTAAAGCATGAATCATATGATCTAAAAAGCCAATACCAGTATGAACATCGATAACTTGTGATGATGTATTTTGTGTAGCTGCATCTGCATCCTTTTGTAATTGTTTATCTGAGAGTAAAGCCGGTTGAATTCTATCTATGTGACCACCATCTAATGACAATGAAACTTGTATCTTCGTTTCATTAGTAATACGTGTAACTTGTGCCGTTCTTCCACTCATTTCTTTTTCTTTCCTTTGTCCCTTTTACTCCTCCTCTGATAGATAATATTACAGGTACCTATCTCTCAAACAGTGTGTAATCATTTCATTCCTAATACTCTCTCTGCTCAACTGCTTTATATATATACAGGAATGAATGAATGGATTTACTCTGAAAAACTATTTTCGATTTTATTGCTCGGGGTGTCTGCCTGTCGAAGCGGGTGTTTGTACGGGATTGTCTGTGCATATACGTGTTTGAAAAGAACCCTCGGGTGACTCTTTCTGTTAATTAATGCTAAATTAATTTAACTGGGTTGAGGCTCTGTAAGGTGATGATAGGGGGAGGGGAGAGAGATGTGCATGTCTGGTAAGGGACTTACTTAGGTGTGGGTGTGCGTGTGTGCAATAAACAACCACTGCTAAACTAGCAATAACATACAATGCTTGTCTACTCAAAGGTAAACATGTTTGTATCTCTATTAACTTTGTCTGTACTCCTATAAGTCACAGCAATATGCAGATTTTCTTGCTTTGAAATAATAACGCGATGAAGCCGTGTTTTAGCCCATTTTTAAAGATAAATGAAACTTTCTCGTTAGATATATAAGATGTAATAACTTGACAATATATAGGCAATACGCTGTCGAATAGATCTAGGAACCTGCCGCCCTCCCACATTTGAGAAGAGTGCCTTGTCGTACGTTATGTGGAAAAGATCGTTTACTAGTAGTAGTTCACCTTTATTGAAGAAAATTGGTGGTAATAAGAGAACTTCATTTGATAAGTATTTAGCGGTAGAGACCCCTAAGAAACCATGGCAATCAAACAATAACAGAAAGTCATCAAGTACAAATAAAGAAGATTGGTTTAAATCAAAATATGCTCATATTCATGCAAGACAAAAATTAATACCAAAAAATGATCCATATGGGAAGAAAGCAGCTCATGAAAAGAAATTATATGATATTAAAAAGGATAATAAATTACAAAGATTATCACACCGACAAAATTTTACACAGTATGGTAATTCGAGAGATGTTTTACAAATGAATCCTTTATTAGAGTATATTTTTGGTACGAATAGTGTATTGGCCGCTTTATCAAACCCTAGAAGACATATATTTAATAAATTATATTATTATGGTAATGAATCATTTGAATTAATTAATAATAAATTGAAAGAACTTAATTTACAGATACCTTTGCAAGAATCAAATAAACATGAATTAAATCAGTTAAGTAAATTTAATCTTCATAATAATATCGTCTTAGAGGCTAAACCTTTAGAAGATATTGAAATTAAAAATTTAGGTTCAATTAATCAACTTACAGATAATAATACCAACGTACCTTCGACTACTTTCCAAGTTAATTTAATTAATCAACAAGAAATTCCAATATTTAAAGAAGATAAAGTTATGCCCGATGTAATTAGACAAGTAAATTTCAATTCAAGACCTTTACAAGGTAAAACGTTCCCAATTGGAATTTTCTTGGATGAAATAACAGACCCTCATAATGTTGGTGCTATCATAAGAAGTGCATATTTCCTCGGGGCTGATTTTATAGTAATGACGAAGAAAAATAGTTCTTCATTGACTCCAGTAGTCTCAAAGGCAAGTAGTGGTGCAATGGAATGGTTACCAATATATCATGTTGATGATCCAATAAAATTTTTCAAGGAATCACAAAAAGAGGAGAATGGTAGTTGGACATTCATTACAAGCCATTGTACAAGTGGTTCTAATGAAAACCCGGCCACTCAATTCATTAAAGATAAGACTTTACCCATAGAAGATCTTGATGGAATGTTGCAAAGATCACCAACCATTCTTGTCATGGGGAACGAAGGCTCGGGAGTTCGTTCCAGTTTAATTCAAATTAGCGATTATTTAGTAGAGATCCCATACAATGGACCGCCACCATCCACTAACATTACAAACACCGTAGACTCCCTCAACGTTAGTGTAGCGGCTGCCATCCTCATGAACCATCTACTGCCTTGTCCATAGCTCTTCTTCTTTTTATATAGATTAATCATAGCACATCCCACTGTAAAAGAAGGCTCTACTGCCGGAAATATAGGGCTTGCTCCATGTACATACAAATAGACACCCCCACGACATACAAACAGATGCACCACAAGTTAGGGCTACTGCCACCTCTGCACATCACGTCCAACGACGCGACAGACAGCCAAAAAAAAAATTGTTCACGCAGAATGAACACGTCGTCGGTCAGAACAGTGAAAAATTCCACGCGAAAGTTTCAAAGGACGTTTGACAGAACAACGAGTGTTTTGGTTGTTTTAACTGATCGATCGGGAAAGGAAACAAGTTGAGTAAGTGTATTCGGTGGCCTGTTTTGGTGTTTTTCTTTCATATCTCTTATATATATATAGATATCAATTTAAAAGTGACATTATTAACCTTTGTTACAATAATTATTTAGAATATTTAGTTTAGTTTGTTTTTGTTTGTATATAGCAGATCGAACAACTGAATTTTTTTTTTAAGGTCTGGTTTTTACAAAACAAAATGTCTTCTAACAACAACAATACCAATAACAAGAATCAACATAAGTTTAAGCGTCCTGATGTTTCTGTCAGAGATAAGAAGCTAGACACTTTAAATGTTCAATTGAAGAAAGTTGATCAAGAAGTTTCTTTATTAAGAAAGCAAATTGATCAATTTCAAATTAATGATAAGACTTCAGATGCTAGAAAGAATTTACAAAATCAAAATAAAGAAATCATTAAGACTCAAGCTGATTTAAAGAATCGTAGAAATACTATTCATGAAAATATTAAACAATTAGATGCTCAAATTAGAAGAAAAAATAATGATATCGCTGAAAAAATTGGTAAAAAAAATAAATATAATACTATTGCCGATGCTAAATTAAGAATTAATGAAATTGACGAATTGATCGGTACTGGTGATTTATCAATTGTTCAAGAAAAATTAATGATTAAGGAAATTCAATCATTAAATAAATTAATGAAAGATTTATCTCTTGTTGATCCAATTAAGAAATCTTTAGATAATGATAAGACTAAGATTACTCAATTGAAAGAAGAATTAACTTCTCTAAATTCAAAAGAATTATCAAACACTTTTGAAACTAATCAAAAGAAATTGGATGATATGCATGCTTCTTCTCAATCCATGTATGATAAGAGACAAGTTTTATTTAACAAGCGTTCTGCTCTATATAAGAAGCGTGATGAAATTTATGGTCAAATTAGACAAATTAGAAATGATTTCGATAATGAATTCAAAGCTTTCAGAGCTAAGATAGAGAATGAACGTCAAAGACGTGAAGAAGATGAATTATTATCTAAATTGATTGAAGAAAAAGATGGTAAACTTGGTAAATTACAAGAAAAATTAAACCATGTTAAAGTTCCAGCTTTCACTTATGAAATTGAAGCCATTGAAAATGCTTTAGTCGTTCTTGATCCAACTTATGAAAAACCAAAGAGAACTACTACTTCTGTAGTTGATAACAAGAGCGATGCTGCTCTAGATACACATCATGCTGTCACTAAGGTTGAAAATAATGATTTAGTTAGAGTTGAAAAAGTTCAAGATCTTGGTCATTTGAATACTGCCCCATCTAAGTCTAAGAAACACAAGAAGAAGCAACAAAAACAACAAAAGGAAGCTGATCAAGGTGCTTTCAACAAGGTCGATGGTAAATTCTCCCTAGAACCAACTTTGATTGCTACTTTAGCTGAATTAGACGTTACTGTTCCAATTAGTGCTGATGATGTTACCAAGAGTATCGAAGAACTAAAGGTTAAACACGAAGATTTCTTAACCAGACAAGAAGAACAAACTAAGATTAACATCGAAACTGTTGAAACTGAAATCGAACAAGTTAAAAAGGCCTACGATGACAAAGAAGTTCAAATTAAAGAAGAACTAGAAGCTAAGAGAGCCAAGGAACAAGCTGAAACTACCGAAGAAAATTAATTGGGATAAAATTTTTTATTATCCTTTTTCATTTTCTGTTTACAGCATTTTCTAAAATAAAACTAAGAAGAAATATTATTTGATTTTTAGTAGAAATTAAATAATACTTCTTCTTTTTTGTTATTATGACATATCATTTGCATCCTTTGAGTGTCCAGTTAGTAACGAATTTTTTATATAAATAATACGAATTTTATAAATTATGTATATCATTAAAAAACAAATAAAAAAACAATATACATTAACCCATACCACTTTGATATTAGATAAAAAAAATCATTATTATATAGACACTTATACGATTACTGTCTAGAGGTTAAAAATATTGTTTACATTATATTTTGTCTACATAATAAATTGTAGATTAACATCCATTGGGTGAGATGCTGATAATTGAGGTTTTTGAGTATATTTACTACTTAATTCTTGTCTCATATTTTGTAGAAGGGATAAATATGATTGTAAAGGTTGCAATGTTAAACATTTGATGAATGAGTATGACATTGCACCAGTATTTTTACCATCTTCTATAGCATCTGCAGATGTTTGATTATCCTTTGAACCAGAAAACATAACTACGTCGGCTGCAGAAAACTTAATTTGTCTTACCTTTTCTCTATCGACGTTATTATTCATACCTTTTCTCACAGTATTAAACATCGACCCCAAGGAACTGACTAATGCGGTTCTATTCCCTGTGGCATAAGCCATAGCAGCTTGTAAACCATCGCCTCCTACATCCTTCCACATGTTAGGTTCCTTCACTACACCTTTAGTTGAATAAACGTAAGGTAAATCTAACGCAGTACCAGAATGACATGAATCAAATAATGCAGTTAATCTAACACCTGGTAATAATGGTTTCACCATAATATCATGCATTTCATCATCAACAATGTGGCTTGTAGCTTGAAAATCTACTGGATAAACAGTACTATCAAAACCACTTTCTTCATCACCATCTAAATCCTCTGTTTGTCCACCATGACCTGAATAATGGAAAAATAAAGAATCGTTTGGTTGTGCATCCTTAACCAACCATTGCATTGCACGAATCATATTAGCTCTAGTTGGTACTCTAACTAAATCAGTTTGATCATCTGTTAGAATTACAATATCCTCTGCGGCATAACCATGATATTGAGTTAAAAAATTAAAGATATTATGAGCATCATTGATACAACCTCTTAAAGCATTTTGGGTACCAATATAATTAATCCCAATAATTAATGCCTTACGACGACCTGTACATTGGGAATATTGATACTGTTCATTAGTAAAATTACCATTGAAAGATTGTGGTGTTGTTGGTGGAGCTTGAAAATTTGAAGGTTGAGAATAATTTGATGGAGCACCTGAATAACTTGGATTGTTTAATGATTGTGGTGGTGCACCTGTAGGTCTTTGATAACCATTGTAATTGTTTTGGTTGTTATTATTTTGATTATTATTACTATTATTGTTACGGGATACACTATTATTATAACTTGGTGGAGCTCCAGACGGTCTATTATAATTTACCTGATTGTTACCATTATTGTTATAATTCATCTGAGCATTACCATTGTTGTTGTTATAGTTCATCTGATTATTATAGTTCATTTGACCATTGTTATTGTTATAGTTCATAGGTGGAGGTGGCATTGCAGGCCTACCATAATTACCAGAATTTGCATTCCCATTATTATATGTATTAGGGTTGTTATTATTGTAGGTATACCTTCCGTTACCTGGATACATTGTTATGTAATCTCTGTGGTGCTCTATCTTAGTACTGACCTCTTTAACAGCCCAACTATGGATCACAAACCTTGTGGTTTACCTCATTCCTTTAAGTAATCGGTCGTGACATTCCTTCCAGCCTCCCCCCCCCCACACTCCTTCTCTCAGCCCCCCCACGCGAACGGAAAATTAAAATGAAAATTGCGCTCACCGAGAATCGAAACGCGGCCAACCAGAATCAAAAAAAAAAATATTCAGCGGCGATTGGCGCGACTTCTTTTTTTTTGCTTGTGATAAGAATAGTTTGATGCCATTCCCTTTTTATTGATAGGATTTCTAATCAATTTGCTAATAGATGAGGAGAAGAAGAAGAACAGACATATTCGAATTCGTTCCTGGAAATAACTATAAATTAAAGACGAAATATTATTGTGAGGAACCTGTTTTATTTTTAATTTGTTTATATTTCAGGGAAGGAAGTAAGAGAAAACAAATACACACACACATAAAAAAGAAAATAACATAAGGATACTAGTGATATGTTGAAACAATCAAGTGAAACTGTGACAAGACGTCTCTTGTCGACAACTGCTTTGAAAAATGTTAGTACTACCAGGACTAATCAAAAAGGCAGTAGAAGACGTATGACGGAATTTAGAGACGCTATGAATGTTGGTCCATCTTTTCAAGATTTTATTAGTGGGAAAGCTGCTGACTATATTTATGATCCATTAGAGAAAACTCGTTTAGCTAATACTGATAGTAAAGAAAAACTGCCTCATTGGTTGAAAGTTCCTATTCCAAAGGGTAAGAATTTTAATAAATTATATAATGATGTTAGTACACTTAAACTAAGTACAGTTTGCCAAGAGGCTAAATGTCCAAATATTGGTGAATGTTGGGGTGGTAAAGATAAATCAAAGGCTACCGCTACAATAATGTTATTAGGTGATACCTGTACAAGAGGTTGTCGTTTTTGCTCTGTGAAAACTAATAGAACACCTGCTAAACCTGACCCAATGGAACCTGAAAATACTGCAGAAGCTATAAAGAGATGGGGTTTAGGTTATGTTGTATTGACTACAGTTGATAGAGACGACTTAGTCGATGGTGGTGCACACCATTTAGCTAAGACGGTACGTATGATTAAAGAAAAGACTAATAATAAAATCCTCGTAGAGACATTATCTGGTGATTTTAGAGGAGATATGGAAATGGTTGATGTAATGGCTAAGAGTGGATTAGATGTATATGCTCATAATTTGGAAACTGTAGAGGAATTGACTCCTTTTGTTCGTGATAGAAGAGCCACTTATAGGCAATCTTTAGCTGTATTGAAAAGAGCTAAAGAAACTGTTCCAACTCTTTTAACTAAGAGTTCAATAATGTTAGGTCTTGGTGAGACAGATGAACAAGTTATGCAAACTTTAAAAGATTTAAGAGAAATCGATTGTGATATTGTTACATTTGGTCAATATATGAGACCAACAAAGAGGCATATGAAAGTAGTAGAATACGTTCATCCAGATAAATTTAAATATTGGAAGGATGTGGCAGAGAAAGAATTAGGATTTCAGTATTGTGCATCTGGTCCATTGGTTAGATCTTCTTACAAGGCTGGTGAATCATTCATTGAAAATATTTTAAAGAAACGTACTGCTAATTAATATATTCTTCATTATCTTTGGTTCTCACAATCAACTTATATAGAAGAAGGGGAAATATCCAAACCTTCTTATATACATTATTTAATTTCAAAGTAATTCATGTAATTAATCTATTTATTAAGAAAGAGAAACAAACAGATAGAGACTTAAAACAGGAACTAATTAATGGTTCTCATACATTAAGGTTTCTTTAGTGATATGCTATATATATATATTGACTTTCATTTTACTTATTTAGCTTCATTTTCCATCGTTCTTAACAATTCTTTTTTCTCCTCTCTCTCCAAATGCAATTGTTTATTTATTCTATCAATTTCTTCCCTCATGACTCGGTGTTCCATTGTCATTTTTTCAATTTGTGTTTCATATTTCTTTTCATACGATTTCTTTAAACTTTTGACTTTCTGTTCATGTTTTGAAGAATATTGATGATACAAATCCTCAGCGAGTAATCTCAATCGTTTATTTGTATCTTTCTCTTTATCTTCCATTTTCAATTTCCAATCTTCAATTTGTTGCTTGAATCCTTCTAATTGCTTATCCTTTTGAGAATTATTTGTTTCAATGTTTTGTTCGATTTGTTCCTTAGTTGTTGTAGCAACATCTAATTGACGTTTCAGCTCCGCAACTTGATTATCGAGGTCAGCATTGGTTTCTACACTTGCATCATTCTTTGACAACAAAAGAGTTTTTTGTTCTGCAATTTTTTCTTTCAATTCATTATTCTCCTTTTTAGTATTTTCCACTTGTCTTTGTGCACTCTCTAAGGAATCACCAATATTTGATAATGTGCTTTGAAGCTCACCAATTTCTTTTAGATATCTTGATTCAATGTTGCTATTTTTCAATTGAACACTTTCAAGTTCAATGGAGGCTTTTCTATAATTTTCAACTTCATCTTTTGAACTAATATTTTTTTGATCTAGTTCTTGTTGCATTCTATTATTAGTTTCTTCTAAATGAATTTTTGACTCCTTTAGAGATTCAATTTCAATATTTAATTCCGCGACTTCAGCAACACGGACTTCACATTCATCGTTTGCGTTTTCTAATTTCTTCCTAATTTCATTCAATTCTTGATCTTTATTTTCTAATTGGTCATTAGCCACTCTCAAATCATTAGTGTATGTATCAATTTTAGTTAACAATTCTTTATTTGTCACCTCAAATCCATTGGTAATGTCTTTAGTTTTTTGCAACTCCGTATCAGTGTCTTGCTTCATGGTTTCTAATTTTTTCTGTAATGATTCTTTTTCTTCAGTTAAAGCCTTAATATTCTCCAATAGATCTTCAGAATTAGTCTTCTCTGAATCTGCCATCTTATTTAAAGTTTGTTGAGTCTCAAGTAATTGATTAGTTTTAACTTCAAGTTCACTTTTATAACTTTCGGCATCTAATTGTGCGTGTTCCTTTTGCTGTTGTAATTCCTCAATCTCAGTTGTATATGTTTCAAACTTCGACTCAAAATCTTTCTTTTCATCTGTAATGGTTTTAATTAGTGTTTCTTTTTCTTCAATCACCTTTTGAAGGGATGATATTCTTTGTTCTAACTCTTCTTGTGCTTTTTTAGATGATTCATTTTCAGAACAAATATTATCATATTTAGTTTGTAATAAATTTTGATTGGTGTTCATCATTTTTATTTCATTAACAAATTCTTGAAGTTTAGTCTTTAGTGGTTGAATCTTACTCTTATGACTTTCATTCTCCTCTTCTAACTCTTCAGTTTTCAAATTTGCAACCTTCAAATCTTGTTGTAATTCATTAACCATAGAATAATAATTTTGGTATCTTTTATTTAATCTTTGATAATCAACAGCTAAATTATTCATCTTAATATTGACTTGGTGTATATCGTTACTCAATTCCATATTTCTCTTTGAGACCATATTTATGAATTCAGAATCATCATTATCATCGCCATTTTCTTTTGAAATGATGTCAATATCGTAAGTATGTCCCTTTTCATGCTGTATGATTGGTGATAACATATGATTGCTTGAAGTAGGGCTGGATTTTTCATTTGCAAAAACATTTGGAGTCTTCGCAGAATTATTAATTATAACGTCTTCTTCTAATTCTGGTGTTGAGTCAACATTATTAGCATTAATCATTTCAATCACCGCAGGGGATTCAGCATTTTCATCATAATTTTGTTCATTATCTGTTGGAGGTGATTCCAATTTCTGTTTCTTTTTTGTCATTGTTGCGGTTTCTTGTTTTTCTTGTTCTTCAATAAGGTCCACGGTATCAAGATTACGCTTCCCAGGTGATATTATATTAAAATTAGATTGAGATTGTTTGACCATTTTACCTTCCAATTTTAGAGGTAATGGTTTATTAACATCCAGTTGTTCTAAAGTCTTTCCAACGGTTTGTTCCAATGAAGTTAATCCCAATTGTCTATTATTAGAAGCATTAGCATTGCCATCATCATCATCATCATCATTTCTACCAACTTCTAATGACATATCTGATATGTTCCCCATATTTTGAGTGAAGGGGTCCTGTATGCCATTACTTGAAGTCATCATATTTATACTTTTATCGGCAAAGAGAATCGTTGGTGTAGTATCCTTCATAAGTTTAAAATTTACTAAATTTTGATCTGCCTTTTTCTTAGAAGACAATCCATGATTATAGCCTTTCATGTGATACTTATCAACCTTCATGTCTTCTTCGAGATATTCCGGAGATAATACAAGTGAAGAATTGTCATCTATAATATCATTTTGGGGAGACTCTCTATTTGGTGTTGTCGGAGTACTTTCTTGCATTAGGCTTTATTTATTTGAAAAACTGATAGAAATATTATGTGATTTGTTGAGTATATTAAAATTCACGTTTGACACACGATTTCACAATGATGTTATTTATAAAATTGAATTCAATCTTTTATTATAGACGCCCAACTATATAAGATTTGTTTATTTATTTTATTGTTTTCTTTTTTAGTTTAATTCATAATATTTACGTTACGCGTCATCAAAGAAAAAGTAGAAGGTCATCATTTTATATGAAAATAACTCGATAACAATTTTATTTATATCTATATATCTATTCAAATCGAAATAAGTCAGTCATTAATTGTCATTTTTGCTAATAAGTTAAGTGCACACTAATCGTATCATTAATATTTAAGCTTGACCTAAACCTGAACTAAATATGGTTTTTTGGAAGTCAACGATTCATAAATTTTGTTTCTCCTTAATAATATCATTTTTAGCTTGTTTCCACATTTTTATAAAACTTGTAATACCTGAACCTAATGATAATAATGGGTATACGATCGGAGGAGTCTTAACATTGAACAAATCTATTGAATTAGCAGATGCATCAAATGACAATTTTAAAATATCCAAATGTACTAAACGTTTATCAAGTTTTATTTGATTTAATTTTCTTTTAATAATTAAATTTTCATTATCGCAATCATTTAAATTTTTCAAATCATGTAATAATTTTTGCCTTACTGGAGATAAATGATTGTTATTATTTGTATATAATTGAGTTGCACGTTCTTTAACTTGTAATTGAATAGTGTATTCTAATTCTTTATCTTGTAAATCTGTTAATTTAATAAATAAATCTTTTAAACTGAATATAATATCAGCTTGCCACGTCCAACTTTCATGTCTTGATATTGTTTCAAATAAGATTGGATTTGACCATAATTTAAATTTATATAATAATACCAATTCATCACAAATAGTATAATATAAATTTAAAATATCTCTAAAGGCATTTTCATTACCAAATAAATTTATTAAATTTTCTTGAAATGTTATTAATTTATTATCGTAACACCAAATTTTTTTAATTTTTTCAATCATTTTATAAATTAAAAATGGACTATTACCAAATCTTAGAATATATCTATAAGTACCTAATTGATCTATAACATAACCTAAATTCTTATTAATCTTTGATGATAAAATATAAACGAAAAAATTTGGTTTTAATAGAATGTTTTTCAAATTTTTTAAAAAACTATAACGTATGATAAGATCATTAGTATTTAAATTTTTTCTTTTATAATTTTTTAAGACATTCGATATAAATAAATTAATAATTTGAAGAATATATTTTAATATTTTAGCTAATTTATCTTTACCACCTAATGAATTTATTAAATATTGTAAAATTTCCATATTTTCAACAACAATTTTTTTCTTATTTTCTTTACATTTATTAATTTTTATCGTATCATCTTCACCACTGGGGATATGTTTCACTTCTAATATTTGTGTATTAGTCTTAGTCATTGGTTGATTGAATATATTCGGTACTATATCAGTTGTAGGATATTGATTACTTAACAACTCTTCCTGCGATAAATATGATGAATCCATTATCGAAATATATATATATATATATATATATATATATGTATGTATCTCTTCTTAACGAAATGCCAAACACGGAGAATATATGTATTATATTTATATGTTAACGCATACACAGGAACAGAATAGCTTACGACCCACTGAATACAACACAGTCCAATATGACAACTAACCACTCCTCCACAATCAATTGTTTAATCTCTAATGACCATCCATCCTCTTTGTGAATCAATTGATCATTCACTTGGTAGAGATACCCTTGCTAGTATTTACCTTTCAATATTCGGCGTATAGAATTTCATCTCTCAGTTTTCGCATCTTTTTGCTCTCTGCAAAACGGAAAGATGAAATTCTTGTCTTGTTGCACGCGCGTCCGTCTGCTGTAAATTCATCGCAGGGAGGGGGCACAGAGAGATGACAGTTCTTCGGATTTAATTATTTGAAATCCTTTAGCTGTTATAAGAGTGACACAATATATAGTGATATAGGTAGTTAACTGATCACTCCTCTATCCATCGTATTGACGGTGATGTTATCAGGATTTGTCGTTTATGCGTGACAGTATATTGTTGAGTTGTGTCTTGAGAGAAGCTTGTTTGTGTTACAATTCGTAGTAATAGACCTGGCAGGAACTAGATAATTAATTAACTTCATTATTCTGGAAAAACCAAAAAATATAGCTATTACTAAACATCATTGTTGATATGTTATACAACGGTTGAAGCAATGATAAAATAAAACTAGACACAATAAAAAAAACACTTTAACAGTAGAAAGAAATAGGTTCAAAAAAATAATAGCGCCGCTCGGTTTCGATCCGAGGACATCAGGGTTATGAGCCCTGCGCGCTTCCACTGCGCCACGGCGCTGCTATTAATGAAAGTAAGATGTGGTTTCAGAATGATTTATTGCCAATATGATGTCCGGGTAACAGCACTTTTTGACACAATTTTTATAATAAAACGGCCAGTTATTGCGCCATAATTCGTTCACACTGGAATTCCTGTAATGGTTTATAGTTATTAACATGTTTCCTGTGGATTTAATGAAAGATTAGAAAAGCTATCTTACCAATTTTGTCAGTAACCGAGGGTAACTTATAGTAGCATTTAGTTGAAAGCTATTTTAAAGAAATGATTGGGAACGTCGAATATTAACCAGCAAAATTATAAGATCGTGCACGGAATATGAAATGAAAACACACCAACTAGTTATGCAAGAGAACTGTTCAAAAGACGTTGAGGGATTGTATAAAGCCACAACTGTAAAATAATAAATAACTTAAATTAATTAATTTGTAGATTATATAATTTAAATTAACTAATCAATTATCATAATAAAAGATGTCCGAATTAGATATCACCAAGAAATTAGAATTAGCTGAATCAAAGGAGCATGAAATCTCTTCCTTAGATTCTCTACATATTTTGTTTGAAAACCTTGCAATTTTTGTTTGGGGGGTATTAGATCTACTTATTTAATATTAGTTATAGGTTTTACCTGAGAAATGTTATATGTTACAGGTACGTATTATCTAATGCAGCCTCCTCCCCATAACATTTGAAGTTCGAGTTTTAGAGTTTCCTTGGAAAATGATATAAAAGTATCAATTCTTTGAATAACATGGTGGAACGTTAAACACGTCTTAGGATGAGGAAACACAAGACCTAAATATTTTATAGATCCATCACATTCCAAATAATCGCCGGGATAGTTCCATCGTTCACTTTTTCACTGACACCAGAATGCTCCAGCTAAAAGACAGGATTTTTCGGGGTGATAATGCTTGAACTTTCTTCGCTATAAATTCCTAATTTGATTCCTGCTCGTATCCAAGGGTATAATTAGTGTATGGATCTCTCAAAATTCGTTAAAGTATCGTAACAACAAGACCAATTTCATATCTGCCTCAAGAATGTCAACATTTATCTTTTTCTTTATAAATAACCTAGATTAATAGAAGTAAACTCACATACATAAATTTAACTTCAAGATTAGAAGGAAATGATTATTTTAATTTTACTGTTTAAGGGTATATATTCTTTCTTCTTGTTTATAAGTTAGCAGAGTACAGATATATTATTCGGTATTTCTAAACCATATCTGTCTTCTTATCTCTATCTTGTATAGCCAATCTTTTTTACGATATATTACCGCCTAATAATTACAAAAGAAATGAGAATTGGCATTTCTTATTCTGACTTTCATAAATAAAAATTCCCGATTTATTCTTTCATTTGCATTCAACTCACATATCCATGTTCTGAAATTTGGGTATCATAACATATGGTAAAATACAAATCCATGCGCAATATCCCGTCATTAATCCCTAAACCACTTAGTGTGTAAGTTTTAGTAACGTCTCTCTGGTATTAAAATGACGGTAATCTCTTTTAATAAAATTATTAGAAACATCTATCATCTGGGTGTTTTATACGTTGAATTGTTTACCCACTCGATTTTAATATTTTATTTATTACCGGCGAAATTTCACACTGAACGAAAATAAATCAATTTCATCATTTTTTAATATTTATTTGTAAAACATATTTCGATGAAAAACCTTTGACAGGCTGAGCATAAGTCGATAGGACAAACACTTTGAAGGTGTGTTTACTCTTACTTACAAAGCGAGTATATATATACATACATATTACTATTGCTTAAAGGAAAATCTCTTTAGAGGTCCATTTCAAATACAATAGTGCAAACCAATTATTAAGTCACAATTTTGTGAGGAACACAAAACAAGATGACCAGTCTTTTAACAAGAAAAATGATGAGAGAATGGAAGACTCTTTCCTGTTCTAATTCAGCAGAAGTTCCTCTCTATTACTTGAAACCCCAGGATTCAAATATTTGCATATGGCATTTACTATTAATAGAGCCCAGATCATCTATGGAAATTTATATTCAGTTGTATATCACTGATGGAAAGAGATCAGAAAAAGAATCATATGATCAACCAACTGTGATCATTAGATGTTTAACGCCCAATAACTTATTACCTCTAAACAGGAATGTATCTTTGTCGCATCTTAGCCATATCATTATGGATGAAGGTACTAACACATTCATTATGAACCTTTGGCATACATTTTTCACAACAACATATACATCTGATAGTAAGTTTCACACAAAGGTAATAAATGCCTCTACATCTCATATTTGGAATCGAATTATGTGTCGAAGTTTTAAACTGCATTTCCCTGAACTCGTTGGATCTTTACAAACTGGAGATTATCGTACCGTTAAGGCTTATTCGAAGTGGTTAAGAACTGTATACCCTTCACACTGTGGTATTTTCAATAATAACAATAATAATAATAATAGCATAAACGTAGAAATTTTCCAAAATTTGATCTTCCAACATTCAATAGACAATAATAAGAATAATAGACTAAATAATAACAATCTGCAATCATTAACACCTACTTGCATAAATTCAATAGTGTCTCATCAATCAGGTTTATGTGATGCATATAACATGACGCATTCATATCCATTTAACCAACAGAGGATATCAGTCTTTGACAAACGCACAGAAGATATTGATATGTTTGATTTTGACGAAGAATATTACGATGATAATAATAATAACAGTAATAGTTTAAAATTTACAAGAATTTCAGACGAGAAACCATATAACTCCTACAAGAAGCGTAAATTTTAATTCCATAACATCACATACTTTAATACGGACTTTTTGCATCATAAAATTTATTTATCTATACATAGACATACATATATACACACATACACATATAGATAGATAAATCTAGCTACAAATAATAAAATTCATAAATTACACGTTAAATTATGCTTCATTTTCTGTTTACATATCACTTTTTAGAATGTGCTAGAATCGTCTTAATCATATCATTACCAATCTTGGTAGCTGTGGGGAACATAGGTTCAAAAAACTTCTGAACAACTTCAAACTGTTTTTGGTAAAGATCAAAACTTTCAAACGATACAATAGAACTCCATTTTCTAGCTGCTACAACAAACTCAAGATCTATACTTCTGAAAGCCTTATCGTCTATAGCGGCATCAATAGTCTTATCCAATAAACCAGGTGTCAAGAATAAATACTCTGAGACACCCAAAAATATTCTAAATAGTGGTGTAGAACAGATCATATGATCATATGGATTAATTCCTAATTGGAACCATGAATCGACGATAGCTAATAATGATAAATGAGAATTTGGTACACAACTCTTTGAATTCCTACCCTTTTCTGATAAGGAAAATCCTTCTAATAGAGAATCATCTAATAGTAGTAGGCCTGTATGATTTCCAAATACAAATTCCTTGGCCTTCAGTATCCTTTCAGTTAACTCTTCCTTCTTATGGTCAATAAAGAGTGTAAAGAGTTCAGTGACACTGGTTGCATATTGTAAAATCTGTTGATGTGCTTGTGGATTTGTGATTGCCAGACCGGCATAAACATGCCATTTATTGGAATAAATTCTTAAAGAGATATTAATTTTAACATTTTCAATACCACCATACCATTTGTTATCCTTTGTATCCCAGGGATAGATTTCTGATTTTGCCCATGCACTACCCATTGACAAAAATGCAGCATGAGTAACTGCTTGAGTATCTGCCGTTATTTTATCATGTTCATCGCATGTTAAGTACACCTGTTTACTTTTTAAACAAGATAGAATGGAATCCACTAATGAGAGAGAGTAACCATTATCGTTGGATCTGTGATCAATTATCACCAAAGGTTGGCCTTCGGTATTAATTTTAGGGCCATGTAAAGAATGTACAGTTATAATTTTTGTGTCACTAGGTAATAACCTTTCGAAAGCAGAAACTTCTGGTCTTTTACAACTAGTTTGTCCACCAACGATAGCATTCACTTTCGAAGAAGGACCATAAAGGGCTACAATTTTCTCAATATTAGCAGCTTCAACACTGTAGATGATGAAATCACTAATTCTACTCACTCTGTGGCCATCTTGGACTAAAGTAAATTTGGAATTGGCATATTTATCCTTTAAAGTATCATACAATTCTTCTCTATCGCATGCCACAACATTCCAACCTGCTTCCGAAAATTTCTCAGCATATAACAGCCCCATATCACCTAAACCGATGATACCAACTGTCTTTTCTTTCTTCCATTGTGTGATCTGCTCTTCTGTACCGACTGCCATTGTTCAATAGTCGTGCATATAAATATTATTGATTCTGTTCACACTGTTAAACATCAACAATTGAACCCTCTAGAGAAGGATCATATTTTTTAATGGTAAACGATGACTCTATGTCTCTATAATATCCTGGATGTCTCCCCTGTGTTACTGGTACAACTCTTCGATTGGTTTCGAGGTTACCAAATTTTCATCTTTCGTCGGTCATTTAATTTTTTGCTCTCTGCCAAAACATCGTGAATGACACATAATATTGTTTCAGAGATAAGTTTAGTAAGTCTGTCAAGCAAACAGTTCGTGAATGTGGATGTGTTGGTGGGTATCTTTGAGAGAATATATCTAATTCTTTTCACCGCACATATGTAATTAATTTGAAAAATTAGGTACATATGCAGATATATACATATATATGTATTTACACATGGTCTTGAAAAATCCAGGAAAAATTTCCATCATTATGGATAGATCTTGATCTCTATCCCACTTAAAGATCGTTTCTTCAGCGATGTCTCCTTGTCCCTGTCATCTACTACTGAATTATTATCGTCGCCTTCTGCGATGTACTCATCTATTACGTCGACACTTTTGGTACGTATTTCCAGGCGTTTACCTTTTTCTTCTGCAAAATAACTTCCTAATGCCATAGTCTTTTCTGTTGCTTTCCCCATACCTAGCAGAACAATACATTGAAATTGTGGATCTTTCTTCCTCTTGTGAAGATCATTTAAAAATTTATTAATTCGTTTGATCCCACTAACAAATGGTGTTGATGATTTTATATATATTGTTGTCTTTATATCATTATGTGTAGCCTGCTTCAACGTTGGATGTTTAACTGTAATTTTAGCATTTTTCTCTTGCTTTGTTATCTTTCGTATCACACCCATTACTTTAAGTATGTTTGTTTCGAGGTCAAATGCAACTTTTTCTAGCGAATAATACTTAATTAGTAGTTACCTTTGGTATATTACTTTTCTTAAAAACGTATGCTCACACTAACTAAATCAATACTGGATCAATTCATGAAATAGCCAATGGATGGGAGAGATCTTGTCTGTTGGAATAATCGTTTGTTCCCATCTCATCTCTTCTTTAAAATGTGTTTTTTTGTTTTTGAATTTTTCATTTTTTAAAGGAAAACCGAAAAATGAATTTAATTAGGGAAATAAGGTGAACAAGCACTTCTTAAACAGATTCTCCAAAACTGGATAGATGATGAATTGGTGATACTGCATGCAAGTTATAATTCTTAACTGAGTGATTCTGAACGTTTCAGGTTATTTTATCGATTCCTTAGGAAGTCCATATTAATAAATACTGTCAGCAAAAGGTTACTCTTTCTAATCGTACTAAGTGTGTCTACACTATTGGGGTAAACGTCATACATATTTTATGGAAAACTAGATTAGTATTTTCTATTGCCATTTCATGTATTTAATAGATCAATTTTCAGGGCTACTTTTTTTATAAATTTTGAACTGTGATAAAATTACGACATTTTAAACATACAAAAAAGAAAATATACCACTAACGTCAATACTCCAATTTAATATATATTTTTACAGTGATTATGGAATCACCACAGCATGCAAGTTTTGTTACACATATTAACCAAAGAATACCGCTAATTATGTCTACACCTCTTCCAGTTTTAAAAGGTTTGTCGGATATATATCCTTTGCTAATAATCATTGATAATATTTTGAGTACATTGTTATGGACCACTGATGATTCTGGTACAATTTTTGTAAACATGGTGATGATATGTCTCAGTATACGATATTTAATCATACCTACTAAACTTAATTTGACTGAAATAACCAGTCAATATGTGCTATTAGATTATCTTGGATTGTTATGTTCAAGCTTTCTTTTCTGCTCCATAGGTTACTACTTTCATACCGTTATATCGGAGACAAGGAATTCAGAACCACCAACAGTTGATGATATTGTTATGTTGTTGGAAAATGTTGAGAACAAGTTACATGTTATTAAGAAACAGGTTTTAAATTTATTTATGATTGATAGTTATAAAATATTCTTCCAATGGTTGACTTTAGCAACTTTCATTCAAGTATTAATTTTCAGACTTCATTTTATACCATATATCGATGATACCAAGTCATATTTAATTTTAGCATTCATCTTAAGTTCAATATTCCACACTAGAACATGCCAAGGATTGTTGCAGCTATTATGGAGAATTAAAGCTGTAAGAATTGCATATTTCTGGTGGAGAGGGTCAAATGATAAGTTATACAGTGTAAAACGTTTAACGCCTTTAGCTTATTTTAATATGATAATTTCAGATAAATCATATATTACTGTTACCTTGACTATTCATAACACAGATGAGCTAACCAAGATTGAAACATTAAGAAATAGATTAATAGAACTATATGAACAAGGAGAACATAGCACACAGCAAACTGAAATGTCTACACCTTCTTTGACTTTCAACATTATAAAGTTAACTGTTCAAGAAAATCAAAGAAAATGGGGAGGTATTAATTGGACAGGAGAAACATTATCCTATGAGAGAACAAACTTCATAATTAATTCTCCATTTGGGACTATATTCAATTCTGATAATCCTTTAAATTATGACACAACTTTTCCAGGAAATTGGATTAAACTAGATGAAACATGGAATAAGTCCCCTTGGACATACCAGGATGGTAATTGGGGAATTATTGGGTCAAAGGACTCTCCGGAATGTTTTACAAGATCTAGAACTTGGAGTTTAAGAATATTTCAAAGGAAAATCTAATAAATACTATTTTACGTAGTTTCTTTTTACTTATATATACACACCTTGGCATTCAATAAATTTAATATATTCTTTATCGAAACTGATAATTCATGAAAAATTACCTCTCTTTCATTTATACCCTGAGGATATTAATACACAAAATTTTTATCTGTACATATATATATATTTATTTTTATCGTAGATGTTATATAATGGGAGGGGGTTAAATATTAAACAAACTATGTTGTAGGTAAAGCATATTAGAATAGAAAACAATGTTTGAAATAAACGTTATGCAAACTAATCTAAATCAACATCACCTTCGGCATCAGTCTTGCTATCCTTAGCTTCAGCTTCAGCCTTTCTTTGAGCAGACAACTTAGCAGCCAAGTCAGCCATTTGAGAAGCTTCTTGCTTGGCTCTTAGGGCTTGTCTCTTTTCTTCTTCCTTTTGTTGGTATCTACCCTTGATTAGGTTACCTAGGGAAGCTAATTCTTCGTACTTAGCAATGTACTTAGCCTTGATGGAATCGTAACCGTCGTCGTACAACCAGTCTTCAGCCTTTTGTAGCATTTCCTTTAATCTGGTCTTTTCATCATCAGAGGCAAAGTCAGAGTATTCTTCGTCAAGCTTACCACGTAGAGTGTAAATGTATTCTTCTAGAGTATTCTTACGGTCTTCAGTTTCGAAGACAAGTTTGTCTTGAGCATTCAATTCGTTTTCCTTTTCGATCAATTCGTTCAAAGCCTTGGCATCTAGAGCGAAAGTGTGAGCCACAATAGTTAGATCAGCCTTCTTGACAGTCTTAGTGACTTCCTTGTATTCAGGTTCAGCATCTTCAGCAGCATCTTCTGGAAGTGGGATTTCTTCCTTAACGATGATATCTTCTAAAGTGTAAGCTTCTTCAATGGTGTGTAGACCAGATGGGTCACATCTTAGCTTTAATTTAACTGGGACAGATTGTTCACCTTCACCTAGTTCAACACCAGTGATTTCCCACTTAGCAATTTTTTCAGTGACATTTTCTGGTAATTCTTCCTTGTTGGTGTAGAAAGCTTCCATGTTGAAGTCACCAGTACGGTGTAGAGTAATCATCTTAGTAGATGGGTAAGTGGAGTTCTTTGGGAAAACTTCTAGGGTATCTTCATCTTCAGCTTGTTTGTCCCAAGAGTAGGAAACAGAGTATGGATGGATATCTTCAAATTTGAATGGTCTAACTCTTAGAGTTGGGGAATGGATAGCACAGATGAAAGCAGCACCCTTAGCGATGGCTTCATCTTGGTTCAAAGTAGTAGATAATGGCTTACCGAAGGCATTAGAAATAGAGTCCTTCAAAGTTGGGATACGAGTAGTACCACCAATGACTTCAACGAAATCAACTTCATCGGCAGTTAAGCCAGCCATAGCTAGAGCCTTGGTAACTGGTTCGGTGACACGTGTTAGTAGAGGCTTGACTAATTCTTCTAGTTCTTCACGGGTCATTTGGGAAGAGACATCGACATCATTCATGACGGATTCGACAGAGAATGGAGCAGCAGTGTTAGCAGATAGAACCTTCTTTAACTTTTCAGCGGCAGTAATAATTCTGTTGTAAGCCTTGGCGTTTTCTCTGATGTCAATCTTGTACTTAGCCTTGAATTCATCGGCGAAGTGTTCAGTAATGGCACGGTCAAAGTCTCTACCACCAAAGTGTTTGTCGTAAGCAGTACCTAGAACCTTTAATTCACCCTTCTTGAAAGCCATAATGGAACAAGTGTAAGAAGAGTGACCAATGTCAACAAAGGCAACAATTCTTGGCTTTTCTTCACCTTCTGGTAAATCAGTCTTGAAGACACCGTAAGAAACAGCGGCAGCAGTAACATCGTTAACGATTCTAACTGGGTTTAGACCAGCGATTCTAGCAGCGTCACTCATAGTGTAACGTTGTTCTTCGGTGTACCAAGCTGGGACGGCAATGCAAACATCAGAGATGTTAGCTTTGGTTTCATCGATGACAGTATTCTTAACCTTGTCCATGTACATGGCAGCCAATTGAGTACCAGAGTAAGTTTGTTGTTCACCAGCAAATCTGACTTGGGCACCGACGTTACCATCGTCCATCTTAACAAGCTTGGAAGTAATGTACTTAGATTCTTGGTCAAAGTCCTTGTCATCGTATTTCAAACTGATAATTCTCTTTAGACCAGTAACAGTGTTCTTAACGTTTGAAGTTTGCTTAGTCTTACCTGTTTCACCTAGGTATCTGTTCTTTGGACCGAAACCAACAACGGATGGAGTGGAACGGTTGGAAACTTCATTGACAACAATATCAATACCTCTGTTTCTTGCAACAGCTAGAACAGAGTTGTCGTTACCGAAATCTAGACCAAATGGAGTACTCATTATTTATTCAAAATTATAAACGTATTGGTTGTTATATAATATGTTTTGTTAAAAACTAAATAAAAAAAAGGAAGACTCTTAATAACTAATGCAAGATTTAGAAACCTCCAATAACTATAATTAAAGATAACAGTTAAAAGTGTGATTCTCTTATATAATTAAACCATCGAAAGTAAAAGATAGTTTCACCACCGGCAGCCCAATGCAAGATGTGATGGGTAAAAGTGCTTTAGTTCTCTCACAGTCTGGAGTCTCTCGGGGTCCTAACAGTGTTCATCATCCAAGCATCGCAAATTTTTTCAATTTTTCCTGCGAAAATTTTTCGTTTTGTTCCTTTTTTTTTTCCAGCCGTCATTAACGATCTCTCGAGAACATTCTAGAAATAAGTGCTTGCGGTCATGTGACCTGACAAATACACCTAAGCACTCTCTTGAAGGATCATTATTAATGTTTGCCATTCAGGGGTTGTAATAAGTTGTAATAGAGGGGTCTCGTAATCCTCATCAGGGGCTGTTGTTGTAGCAGCTTTGACCAAAAGGTTCCATTGTTCTTCATTCAATATTTGAAGACTATGAATGTAAATAAGAAAATGGAAATTTGAGATTTGTTCATGTAACTCATTGAAATTATCACTTGTAGCGGCTTGGAATATATATTTCTTCAATTCCTGATAATCCTGAGAATGTCCCATTGCTTGTCTATTAGCCCATGGGAAACTATTTTTACTAATAAATTTCGGAGAATTTGATATGGATTGTTGTTCTGTGTCATCTGAAGATTCTGTATTTGGAAACCCATGAGATAAAGAAACTAATAAATAATCATTTGGGAATGCCGGTTTGGCATTCTCCTTAACAGTTAAATTATATTCATTTTTCTTCATGTAAAATATCTCTGGAACATATCTTTTATTGTTGGTTTCATTGATGTATGACATAGATGGATGAGTAGAACCGCTAATGATTGTTGCATCAACTAAGGCTTCTGCATCGGTTGATACTTGGTAACTAGATATATCAATATTGCCTTCAAGGTTCCCAGAGACAACGCAAGTGACAAATTTAGAAGAAAAAATATTTTGTTCACTAAATTTGCATATATTTGGGTATTCCAATTGGTGTTTTGCGGCCATGATCACTTCAAATGATGAAAGGAAAAACGAATCTTTATGTCTTTTACAAAACACAGAACCGTCACCATTACCAGAATCGGTTAAATCTGTAAATATTAGACCAATTCTTGATAATCCCATCTTTGTGGCTAATGCATCTATATCTTTCATTTCTTTTACAACTTGTTCTTTATCCATTGTTAGACCATCCTGTTCATCATGTTGAGGTGGTTCATAAATTGCTTCGACGACAGCTTTAATACCCAATGGTGTTGAGTCATATTTTTTATAAGTACCATACATATAAGCAAATCTTTGCATACCGGTGGATCTCCATGCTTCTATAAAATTATTAATCAATCCACTATTTTGAAATTCAACATGATCTACCATTCTAAACTCTTGTTGTTGTAAAGTAATTGCAGAAGGTTGACATTTAGAGCAAATACCACGAGGCCATGGTTCATGTCCATTACTACAATGTAAATCGATTTTAAAGTTTGATTGAGATAAAGGTGCAATATATGAACTCCCATTTTCTTTTTTATTTGTGGTTTCATTGATTCTTTTCAAGTAAGAATGAAATGAAATATGTTTAATATTATTTTCTTCGTGATAATTTTTATCCCATGGTGGTAACGGGGAACAATACTCACACATCCCTTTATCACCATGTTTACAAAGCTGAGATCTCTTTCTTGGAATAGATCCATTTTCATTCTCCAATTCTATATCAATTGGTAATTCAGGGACATTAGCAAAATTATCTTCCTTATTCTTTAGGGGCTCAATTTTAACACTATTTGCAATAGAGTCATGCTGTTGTGAAATATGTGTAGTGGCAACAGCTGCAGTTGTCTCAATAATATCTGCTGCTGAACTTTTGTCATAATTTATGTATACAATGTCACCATGACTTAAACCCAAATCATTAACAGATCTTTGAATTATATTCCCTACTGGTTCACCATCATTACTGGATCCAGGTTTATCGCTAACCGTAATTGAGGAAACATCTACTGGTTGCTTTAATTGAGTTAAGAATTTTTCTAGTAGTGTACCAAACAAATCAGTCTGTTCACAGGATACTCTGTGCATCCCATCCTTTGATCTGAATCTAATTAACATGATTGAACTATCTGTATTGCTGTAGAATTAAATGTAACCTCACCAATTGAAGAGAGAGTTGAAAGATAACCTGTTAAAAGAAAATACAGCTAGTTAATTGAAAATAAAATTATATCGTAGTTCACTTCGTCGGTACTTGATCCTCAAAACGGTGATTTCAGCAGCTTCTTCAATCCAAACTGGTTCTGATGATAAGTGGCAAAAATCCCTTCATTTCTTCTTATGGGCTACGTTAAAGACTGACAGCTTTTTACCACCCCATACCCTAACTTTCTAACCCTATACCAAAATATCAAATTATTTAGTTTTCCGCCATTCGAACCTCGCACATTGCTAGAATATTCTATTTACTCTTTTGGTGTGTCGTTTTCACGAAAAACGAAAAAAAACCTTTCGTGGCAGAAAGACGAAAAAATTGTTGTTTCTGTCGTGCAGTAGATTCAGAAGAGCAAACAAAGTGAAAAAAAAAAGTGTGAGCAAGCAGCTCTCAATGAGAAATTGCAATATATTTAGGTGACAGCACATAAGAAGAAGCTGAACATTTCAATCAGTGTTTCTTAAGTTAGGTATTGGTGTTCAAAGTAAAACGAGATTCCCGTTGAATAAAACAACTACATTATAGAATGGCCGATAATAGTACATTTCAAGAAGGGTTTAATTCTACCTATTCAGACAATTTCAACGGTACCTTTAATGGTACTTTTAATGGTACTTATAGTAATAACACAAATGGTACTTTTACCGATACAGAAGAGAAAGTTGAAACAATTCCAATTTCTTTTTATACTCCAATCATTTATGCAGTGATCTTAATTGTTTCATTGATTGTCTTTGCTAGACGTTATAAAGAAAGTAGGCTTCAAAAATTGGCTGAACAACCAGAAATCTTTGATGAACATGATGCTAAGGAGTTATATTTTGAATTGAAAGAAATGAGTACAAAAGAAAAGATACATGAAAAAGTATTAAAAGCTGCTTTACTAAATCGTGGTGCTGAAGCCATAAGACGTACTTTAAAATTAAAGGAATTAGGTCCACAAATTGAATTGATGTATAAAAATGGATCTGTTGGTGAAGATTATTGGGAAAGATTTCAAGCTGAAACTAAGTTCGTTGAAGTTGAATTTAGAGATACTATACAAGAGTCTGAAAACTTACAACCGGGCTGGCCTAAAATGTTTGCTGCTCTATGTCAAGAAATTTGTTTCAATCAAGCTTTAAGTAGACGTTATCAATCTATCTTGAAACGTAAAGAAATTTGCATAAAGGAATGGGAATTAAAATTAAATAGTGATGGTACTTTGGCTAAATAATGATATCAGCGGTTATTTTAATTGTTTTTACAAACTAATTCATATAAAATATATGTATATATAGATAGTTATAAACATCATTATCTCTTAAGATAAAATAAATAAATAAAAAATGAAGAAATTTTACATATATATATATATATATTCCTCTCTTAACTTATCAGGTAATGAAATAAATGAAATATTCATTTTATATTTACAAACATTTTACACATGCAAGAATAAGCCTTGTTTTATTTTTATAATACATAATTGAAAGAGCTACAATTAGGTTACAAAAACACATTAATGTACTTATATCTAAATTTTATCAAAGAATAATGTTCTTTGTACGTCATGCTCTTATTAATGTTTTCTACCTTTCTTCTTACTAACAACTTGGAATTCCCAGTCATCTTCATTACCTTCTGGTAAAGCTAATGCTTCACTCCAACTCAATGGATCCTTTACTTGTCTTTCACATTGAACACGTTTCTTAGTAAATTCTGTGGCAAATCTTCTTCCATCCATTACGGAACTATTGGAATAAATAGTATCTGCAATAATTTCATTAGCAATTGGTCCTGATGGTAAACTTAATAAAACCTCAAGAACACTGTTCATAGAAATCCCAGGATTCAATTTTAATTGTGATTTACACCATCTCAAGAACTCTTGACGAGCAGATATGGAAGCATTACCTGGATAATTATTAGTCGTAGCAGCTACAGTTGGTTTCTTTAAAGTCGGAACACTAATGGATTGACCCATTGGTTTCAAAGTAGCATTCTTTTTGTCTATACTACTGGATTTCTTAGAAACAGTACTCCATGCACCGCTATCGGATGTTGTGGTTTTGCTCTTACCCTTGTTACGTTGAACTTGTTCCCAGATCTTTTTTTGTTCTTCAATAAAGCTTGGATCTTCAAGAGGTTCATTGGTTATTGTGGATTTTGCTTGATTGTTCTGTTTTGGAGTATTATTCATCAATTGAGACTTAATATCAATGGAAACAGGTGGTTGTTGGGAGCTTGTAGGCGTAGAGGCCCAATTTAACATTGCTTTTCTGCTCTTTTCTGATTTTTCTTCTAAAAGTATTTGATTGTTAAGCTTCATAGCCCTTTGTCTGTCCTTTGATTCTTTCTCATCTAATTCTCTTTGAGCACGAATGGCTTGTTCTTTAAGGTTAATCTTTGGAATAGAAGATATGTTATTTGTCTTGTTTGCCCATGGAGCAGACACTGCTGGAGTAGTTGTGGAACTCTCTTGCTCAGTGATCAACTCCTTTCTTGCTGATACTCCGTCTTGTACTTCGGTCTCTGTATTTGTTGTCATTGATAATAATTGGTTTGTCTTTTCAGCCTTTAATGCTTCTAATTTTTGTTTTTGGTTCATTTTTTTCTTTTCTTTATGTACAGTTTTCTCTTGTTGTTCTTTTAACTTCTTCTGTTTCTTTTGAAGTTTAAGTTCTTCTCTCTTACGTGATTCACGCTCTGCTTTTTCTTGTTCTTCTAATAATAATTTAGCTGCTTTTTCGGCTTTCTCTTTGAGTCTCTTTTCTTCATTCATTCGAGCATCTTCTTTTGCTTTCAATTCAGCTTCTTTTTTCATTTGTTCGTTTTTAATTGCTGCCTGTCTTTCATTTTCTTTTCTTTCCTTTTCAATTCTTTCTTGTTGTTCAAGATTCTTAATTTCTTCTTCTTTGGCAAATAATTTCTTCTTTTCAATATATTCAGGAGTTTCTTTAATAGCCCAATAATCACCTAGATCATTTTCTTTAATAATAGTTGATGTATCCATTTTTCTAATATGTCTTCTATTCATTGCCACTGGAACAGTGACTTCATGATAATAACTTCCATCATCACACTTCATTTTAAATATTTCATCTTGAGTATAATCGCCACTAGCTTGAATATCTGCCTGTGCAACTAAATGTCCTCTATCTCTATTAATTTTTTGTTTCAAAGATAAACCACTTATATCTTGATCTTTTTGTTCTTTCCCATTTCCATTTGTTGTTTCACTTGGGAAGAAATTCGAGACCCCAGGTAATGTATTTGCAGCATTAGTGATTGTTTCAGATGCAACAGAAGGATTGAATGAATTATTTGGTAGATGCATCTGTGGTGGAAGACCTTGATGTTGTTGAGATGATTGAAACAATGTAATCATTTGATCAAATGCACCAAATGGATCCTTAACATTTTGTACTAAACGTGCTAAATCTGTCAATGTAATAAATCTATCATTAATTCCTAATGGTTCATAAGTTGGACCTATACGACATAAAGATAAATCTGGTTGAAAATAATTAGATTCATACCAACTAGCCATCGTTGTGGAATCGAAGGGACCTTGAGTATTCCCTTGCATATCTTTATATTTCCAATGTGAAATAATTGGTTGTGGTGGTGGTGGGAATGGTAAAAATGAATTCATACCAGGTGGTGGAGGGTTCATTGTTGGATTTGCACCTGGGGGATGCATTTGTAAAAGTGATTGTCCTGTTGAAGAATGTAAAGGAATCTGATGATTAAATACAGAGGTTTGGTTAGTAGTGGTAGTGGTGGCAGTAGTACCATTATTTGTTGGCAATGATGGATGTAATGTTGTTGGAGTCGATGGATCATTATTTTGTTGTTGTCCAAGAGAAGTCGTAGAAGGAGCTTGCCATGAATTGAACAATGCACTTTGAGAACGAGTCGTAGTCAATGGTGGTCGTTGTTGATTTAAGATATCGTGATGATGTAGTTCAGAAGTTGAACCATTTGCAAACGGAGAAGAACTCCTTTGAATACCAATAGAATCCACTAATGAAGAAGTTCGAGTCAAGGGAGCTCTGTCACCCAACAATGGATGTATTGGAGCACCGGTGGTGTTATTATTATTGCTATTATTCTTATTGAATTGTAAATTTTGAAATTGGTAACTTAAAGGATCGTTATTCATTATTGGCTGTAGATATTAGTATGGGTAGTAATGTAAAGAACAAATACTGTTTGATTAGGTTGGTGGTATATAAATTTAAAAGTATTTGCTTTATACAAGGAAATTACTCGGGGGGGGGGGGGGTTGGTGTTGATCTTAAGAGAAACTATTTAAAATTTAGCCAAAAAAAAAAGTTGTTCATCGAGTATTAAATTTTTTTTTCCTGTCTCACCATTGCAAGCAACGAAAAGAACCCATAAGAGAGAGGGAGACAGAGAAAGAGTACACAGGGAAAACAAGAAAGAGTGAGAGGGAAACTCAAAATTGAAAATAAAAATAAAATTAAGTGAAATTCTGACTTCAAGAGTTAAGAATTAGGGTATTTCAACGAAATAAAAGTGATCAGTTAATATCAATGGGATTATTATCTTCTTGTTAAAATGTGTATATATATATATAGGTGTATATTTAAAAAAAAGAACTTATATATAAATATGTGTGTGTGTGGCTTAATTCATAAATTTAAATTATTTTCCATTACTGTATGGATATCCTTTGCTACAGCAGTAGATGTAATTTGTTCATTAGTAGTATATACATCTTCCCAATCGATTGAAGTATCTTTATTTAATAAGATATCCTTATGTAGAGAATTTCCGTTATTATGAATTGGATTAAAACCTGACTTTTCAATAATTTCTAATTCCATCACTCTTTTCATTGGTTCAGCAATACCAAAAATTTGACGATATTGTTCCAATTGTCTATCTCTTTGAGTGGATTCCCAGTTAGTTATACGATCTTGTAAAGGATGATGATTACCTATTTGACTTGATAATGGTACAGCACCACCATTTTGTTGACGTAATGTATCAGGTAATGAAGGTATAGCGTTTGATTGATGTAGAGTATCTTGAGATGTAGATACAGAAGTGTTAAAGTTATTTCCAGGTATCACGTTCATGGTTGTTGCTTAATTCGGTTGATTGTGCGTGTGTGTGTGTGTGTGTCTTTGTGTATTGAATAGTAGTAAGTCCTCTATATGTATATTTGCCACCTTCCTTCCCTTTTCATATATATATATTAAATTGAATTTTAAACATTGAAAATTGTAATTAAGGCGCGGAGAGGAATTGAAACAAAACAAAAAAGCATTTAAATAGTTAAGAAAGAAGCCTTTAACAGAGATGGAAAGGCATAGTATTCCTGTATATAAAGATAGAGAGAAAGCAATATGATGTGTGTATGATAAATTGAAAGGATGTATAAATTAGTATCTACACCACACCTTCCAAGTCCCGATAACAATCATACTTATTCTACTGTTCAAATATCACCAAATGGTCAATTCATTGCAATTCCACAAGGTAAACAACTGCAGATATACGATCTTAATAACGAATTATTAAAACCAAAAATTATTCAAACTAATCATACTTTACCAATATCGGATGTATGCTGGTCACCTGATGGAGAATGTCTTGCCACAGCTAGTGATGACCATACTATAGAGATACTCCACGTGACAAAATACGGGTTGTTACATATTCTAAAGGGCCACACGGGACCTGTAATAACGTTATGTTATAACAGCAAAGGCAATTTATTGTTTAGTGGGTCGATGGATGAAAGTGTGAAGACGTGGGATGTATTCAATGGCAAGTGTCTGCGAACCGTGTCTGCACATTCGGATTCTGTAGTGAGTTTAACTTTACCTTGTCACGATGATTCTGTAATGGCGTCGGGTTCGTATGATGGACTTGTACGTATATTCGATACGCAGACGGGGCACTGTCTGTCTACGTTAACTTATGATAAGGATTGGAAGCACAGTGGACGTGTTATACCAATCACTCAATTAGAATTCTCACAAAATGGGAAATTTTTGTTAGTGAAAAGTCTTGATGGAGCTGTAAAACTTTGGGATTGTATTCGTGGAGTCGTTGTGAGAACGTTTGTGCAGAGAGAACAAGATAAGAATAATGAATGGTGGAAAAAATTTAGTGGTGGGATAGCCATTGCTTACATTTCTGCAGAGAAGACTTCACAAGAGAAGAATGATGTACTGGTAATTAGTGGAGATTCTCAAGGGGTGATCACTTGTTGGGATACACATACTAAACGTTTTTTACAAAAAATCGATACGGGACAAAGGAATCCAATTATGAATATATCTTCTATTGGCGGCACGCTAGCCGTTATCACGCGGGACGGCTGTTGTAATATTTACAGATGGGAGGAGAATTGATCATGCGAACAGCGCAGTTAGAGTTCCCCCTCTCTCACACTACATATATATAAAACTAGTGTAATAAGTATAATAAGAGAAACTTTTCTAATATGTGTATTTAGTAGGAACTGTTAGTACAGTATCACTGTTGGGGATACAAAATACGTAGACAAAACAACAACAACAAAAAGATGTTTGGATTGAAGAAGTACACATTCGGGAATAAACCATTAACCCGGTTCTTCAAACAAAGGTATTCATCACATCCTGTTAATAATAATGTCAGATCGCTAACAATTGCCGATATTAAAGATAAATATATGAATGGTATGCCCTTAACAATGATAACAGCCTATGATTATTTAACTGCCAAATGGGTTCAGGAAACTCAAAGCGATATGTTACTTGTAGGGGATTCGATGGCGATGACTTCATTAGGTTATACATCGACCACAGAATTACCCTTCGAAGAATTTAAATATCATGTTGCTTCAGTGACACGTGCATCGGGTTCTTCGATGATTGTTGTAGATATGCCATTTGGATCATTTGAACAGAGTTATTCTTATGGTGTAGCAAATGCAATTGAATTGTTAAAGATTAATCCAAAGGTAACTTCACTGAAGATTGAATGTGGGAATCATGATCGAGATCATTATACTATCGGATTTATACGTGAACTTTGTGAAAGAGGAATACCCGTAATGTCACATATTGGATTAACACCACAACGAGCTAATTCACTTGGTGGATTTAAAGTTCAAGGTAATCAATCAGCTAATGATATTTTATCATTATATAATACAGCAAAATATTTACAAAAAATTGGTTGTTGGTCAATTTTGATGGAATGTATACCATATAAAGTTGCAACATTTATTACAGAAAATTTAAATATTCCGACTATTGGTATTGGGGCAGGCAATGGAACAAATGGTCAAGTCTTGGTAATTAGTGATATGTTAGGTTTATCACCCGATAATAATTTACAATCATTACCAAGATTTGTTAAAAATTATGATCAATTAAATTCTGTTGCAATAAAAAATTTAAAAATTTATAAAGATGAAGTTGAACAAAAAAAATTTCCTTCAATTGAACATTCTTTTAAATTAAAGGAAACAATTTGGAAAGATTTCTTAGATTTAATTAAATAAATTAAAGTAATTTAAAAAAAAAAACATTATGTAATTGGAACTTTATTTACTTATTTATTTACTTATTTATTTATGCGAAATTTCAAATTGTTTACGAAGACGCCATGTTTCAAATTTAGCTCTTTGTTGTAAATTATATTGTTGTTTCATTGTTAACATATTACTATCATTGGTTTCACTACGAATCACCGACCCTATAGACATGAATAGACCAAATGTACCTGCAGACCCTGCAATATATTTACCTAGAGTTCTAACAACTCCATCAGGTCCTGCACCTTGTGTCATTATAGTAAATCCACCAAACAATACCCCTGTACATACACCAACTGATGTACCCATTAATAAACCCATCTTAAATTTATCCCAATTTGATGCTTCTTCTTGTCCATAAACTTGTTTAACTGGTGGCATTGTGTGTTATATTGTTGTTATGATGGCTTATGTGTATACTTTTCAGTACTTCTTTATCAGTCTTTCTCTCTCTCTTGATTTAAGCTGTTACTCTTCTTATTCTTATTTTATTTCATTTCATTTTATTTTTTTTTTTTTTGGTTAGTAGCCGGATCCTTTAATTTAATTTACACAGTTTAATTGGATGACCGCATGATCATGATGATGATTATGATGATCTCTAAAAGTATATAAGTATTTATATGTTTATATATGCAGAGTGAACAATCCGCATTCTCTTTCTTATGTTGTAGCAGTCCCTTACCCTTACAACTAGGTTAACTAACTAATCTACGTTTTGAATTAGCAAATAATTCAGAATCACACCATGCAATAGTAACCCAATTCCATATCATAAATGGACATAACCATATCCAACACCAATAATATAATGCAGTAGAATTTGACGACACATAAAGGTAGGATATTATAGCAATGGCTAAGACGGACCATGTACCGGCAAGAACAACATATCCTGCTGTCTTTTGTCTCATAACATAAAGAAGGACCTATCTAACGTCGTATGTATGTCTTTGTTGCTGTTGTTTTAAAGTAGTTTTCCTTATTGATAATTTGAACGTTCGTACACGTACAAATATTCTTTCTATCTCTAAGTGAATAATTCAATCTCAATTTGTTTTGCTATGTGTCGTGTATGGGGGGTTGTAGGTTTCTTTTTGTTATTTTTTTGACTTTTTTTCTCTTAGAGATTTCGCTCTCTTTTTTGGCAGGTAATAATAATAAAGTTAAGCATAGAATATTGCTTATACAAACAAAGGTTTATATACATATATAGGCAAAATTATGTATTTACAATACATTTTTATCAAAACTATCAAAGAATTGAGCTAGAGTTCTAGTAGACCATGAGTCCCCATCGGATTGAATATATGACAAATGACCACCTAAATCTGTTTCATATAAAGAAACATTTGAATTTTTATTTAAATATTCTTGTGGAATTGCAATATTTCCAACAACTGGATCATCCTTTGAATTTATTGCTAATAATGGAATGGCAATATTTTGAATTCTATTTAATGCAGTGGCTTCTCTATAATAATCCATACCACTTTTAAATCCTAAACATGGTGCAGTAAACATATCATCAAATTCAATAATTTTGGTTAATTTAAAAGCTTTCTTTAAATTGGATTGAGTGAAAGTATAAAATTGTGGATTTTCTACAGTGGGTTCATTTTCAGGTTTTGTACCTTCTGGAACCTCTAATTCGCCCATATTTACTTTAACTAATCTTACTAAAAATTGAGTAATTGTCTTGGAAAATAAATTTCTTGACCAAAAATCATTTTGTAATTTATCAGCTGATAAAACCATATCCCATGGATTACATAAAGTTGCTGCTGCTTTTAACGGGGTCTTTTCACCAACACGACCTAAATAATTAGATAACATTAAAGCGCCGAAGGAACAACCTACTGCATAAAGGTTTCTATTTGGTTGTCTTTCTTTTTCTCTTAATGTGAAATGTTCAATATCAGCAGTATGTAACCCAGTAAATAATGCATGAGTAGTAATCTTGGATCTTGCACAACCTCTAGTGTTCAATACAACAACTTGAAACCTACCATTGTCAATTTGAGATAAATGCATAGCAAGAGATCTTATAATAGGTTCATGAGAACCACCTGCTAGACCATGCATGATAATTACAATAGGACGTGTATCATTATGAGTCTCACTCAATTCAGATTCAGACATATATCTAGTACGAGGGTGTAAACGAGGCCAATTATCAGGATGAGTATTTGCTTCATCTTCTTTAAAGGTCTCTTTATCAAATTTACCAGTATTTTTATCTTGATTATACTTAACTGCCCAATCTGATTTAACCCAATCGGCAGTACATACACCATCTTCAAATTTAACAATTTCTCTACCGTAGAATACAGGGAACGATTTAGAGTAATCTGCAGTACTTAAATACATGGTTTGTAAAATACCAGTAAAAATTTTGGGATCTAATTTAAATTTAGCACCATTCTTTAATGAAGGTACATACTGTTGAACAAATTCATTAAACGGTATAGTTTCTTTAGTATCCGTTAATGTAAGTTCAACGGAACCACTATCACTTATATGTTCTTCTACAGTACCATTGTAACCCCAGTGTAATGGGTTGATCAATGGGTATGTCTTAATTCCATGTGTTAACATCACGATTTAGTTATTTGTTTTGTTTTGAAAAGATTTCAAAGTTAAAAGATCTACTGTTGATATTTCCCCTATTTTCTAATTAGTAGAACAAAATTCTCGAGACTAAACAAATATAATGAAAAACGAAAGAAATATCTAATTTAACATAGAGAGAGATTAGTTTTGTGTCCTTATATGCAAGGGATCAACAGACGTGAACTATATTCTGATTTATATATATACACTTCACTACTTTGATCGAAAAATGTAAATTTCTGTCAATATTTATTTAATCAGAAAGCAAACTGTCCTATTCCGCGACTTCCGAATTATATTTGTTTTTATTTTATTTGTACACGAAGTTTACTGGTAGAATGTGAAATTTTACTAACAATGTTCATACCTCGGATATAACAGATACAATTCCGAAAGGATGATTGTTAAAAACATATCAGAAGAGTTATGTCATCATATTATAAAACATTCACAGGTTACGTCAGTTTACATCTGTATACCAGTATTGAGGTAGGCTTAAATACCCAATGTAATTTTGTGCTTAGGAATATATATATATATATATATATATTAAACATATGCACTAGTATATATATGTCGGGGTTTGGGATGGAAACAGTTTTTATTTACTTTCAGTGCTATCTACTTAGTCGACTTCGAGGTTGATGTTATTAACAATGTTTCTTTCAGAAGTAGCCTTTTGTAAGATCTGATCAAAGAATTTTATAGAGATCCTGTTATTCTCTTGTTTTCTTTCCAGATCATGTTTCTTTCCTTGCTTCTTATCAACCTCCAATTCGCATGTTTTAACTATTTCTCTTGTTGGAGTCTTTAATACATCATGTACTTCGTTGCTGATACGTCTGGCATTTGTATGGATGTAATCCATCTCAGTCAAATGCTGTTTGTATTTGATTAATAAGTTTTGAGGTAATGCTCTAGGAATATCATAAATTATATATGCCATTCCAAGTAACGAGCCGGCAAATACAACTGAACCTGCAATTTGTCCAAGTGATTTCCAAGAAAATGCACTGAGTCCATTAAAGATAACTGTCGTTACAATTTTGGAACCGCCAAATGAATATATGGCCAATGCTGGTAATTTAGAAGTGAATAACAAAGAAGGTCTCTTCCAATATTGTGTTAATGGATAATTTCCAAGGCCCAATACTGAACCTGCAGTGGTGATAGATTTGTTGGAGTCGGTTGCAGTCGGTTTCTCAATTTCAGCAGGCTTTTTATGCCATGATATTTTCATGGGGCTAAATAATGCCCATGATAGATATTCAATCAATCCATCCCATGATGGAGCGTATAAATCCGAAAATGTTAAGGGCACAGAGAAATTTTTGGATAGTTGATGAGTAGTTTGGCTAAACATTAATCCAACATCAAATACTCTGTTAGACATGAATTCATCACCTAATTCGTCTCTACCCGTTAAATAAATTTGTTCAACGATAACTTTTGTAGTATGCCTTGCATGCAGTTCACTTGCCACAATACTAGTCTTAATTTGATCCTTGAAATAATGTTCTGTTTGGAATACAAAATCATAAAGACGTGAAATACCAGGATATTGGGGTATATCTTGACAATCAATTGAGAGACAATTCATGATATGATTCTTCGTGAAATCATATATCTCTGTGACAGTTTCTTCTGACAATTTATCAATAGATTGTGTTACACCTCTGTAATGTCTCTTAACCCTATCTACATCATCTGTTAAGGACACTAATTCCTCTTTGATTTTATTTTCCTCGTTTCGATATATCTGCAAGTTGTTATCGGAAATTTGGGCAATGTCAGAAAGAACTTTGCACAAATAAGTCTTGGCCGGTAATAACTTTGACTGAGACCTTCTCTTTAACACGAAATTACGTAAGGAATTTTCAAGGTTTTCAAAATCAGGATCTATATTTATATCATCATTGTCACTATCATCACTATCTCCATTATCATCTGGGTTTGGTGGGCTAATTTCTGACTCAGGTTCGGATATAAAATGAACAAATTCCCTAGCTCTTTTATATGTCTCTGGTGATAAATCCTTTATTTGTTCTAAAATCAATCTTTTACATCTTTCTTTGTCCTTAATTCTATCGAATTTTTTCACTACAAAGAACATTAATTTTTTTTCTCTTGAGGCAAGTGCAATAAATTCTTTAGCAGAAAGAGTTAGTTGATTCTCAGCATTCACTACAAATATTACTAAATCAATTTCTTCTTGACGAGCCATAACTTCTGATGTTTGAACTGAATCCATATTCAGCCCTGGAGAATCAATTAATGAGATATCCACAGTTCCATTGCGTAAAAGACTTTTCTCTGGAGTTCTCTTATCATCCTTGATATATATCTTTAATAGTGCATATTTATCATTTTGTGTTACCAATTCATCCAATTCATTTAATGTATGTATTTCATAAGTCATATGATTTCTAATATCATATTTATCAGCACATTCTTTAACTGTAGAGGCGAGATTATTCGGTATCGCATGAACTTCTTCAAGACCTTCATTTTCACGAGCTTCTAATATTTCACAGAACACATTTGTACAAGGTAACTGATCCTCGGGTAACAATTGTCTTCTTAATAAATTGTTACAAAATGACGATTTCCCAGTATTTAAATCACCTGTAATAAATACTTTTGAGGATACATCATCTACTCTACGTTTCAATGAAGCTAAATGTTCAATTGCTTTCTCTATTTGATTATGTAATAATATTGCCATTGCATCATTATCTAATTGAAAATCATTTTTCCCGTTAGATTTATTATTATAATGACCATCCATTCTTAAATTAATCTGTAATACTTGTAATTCCTGAGTTATATCTACTTGAACAGGTCTATTGGTATTTTCTTCATTAATCTGTTGTAATAAATTTCTTAATTTTATAATCGATTCATTTAGTTTTGATCTATTATTATTATACGTCCATTGACTTAATTGTGAAGAAACTTGATGTTCTTGTGCAGCACCATTACGGGTATTTTTATTATTATTGTGGCGACGTCTAGGTAATCCATGTACATTATGTTCTAAATCATATTTTAAATCCTCATCGTCTAAATCATCTCCATAAAGATCCTGCATAGATTGTGGGTCTTCGTCATCATTAGTTGAAAAAGTTCCAGTATTTCTTGAATAAGTTATAGTATTAGAAGGAAGTTCTGTATTCTTCGTTCCTTCATCTTCATCCTCGTGCTTCTGACTAGGTTTTTGGTTATTATTACCAACATTCTTTTGAGACATTTTGTTTGCTTTGTCTTCTTAACGATCCTTATTTATAATATTACTATGGATAAAAAGGGACTCACTAATCAAAGAATATATATATATATATTCCATCATTTAAATCTCTATTTTCTCACTAAAAATATAGAGCTTGTCCTTTTCACTATGCGTTTCTGATTCAGATCAACGTTATACTAAATATATCACACTTGGCTCATCATCAGTCATGTACCAGTATCTAACCTCCGGCTTTTCTTGTTTCCCAGTAAGGCTTTCCCTTTTTTGGTATTGGTTGTTTCGGTCTTCTCCCCGAGTAATATTTTGCCCCAAAATGGGAGATGATTTTATCTCATTGGAAGATAAAAGTGAGAATTCTATAAGCTTTTAAACTGTTGTACACCGGGAAATGAAACCACTATTATCCAGCTAATTCAAGTGAGATAAAACTAACCCTTATGTATATTGATTTGCATGGTTGTAATTTTAGCCTTAATTACTAAAATATTATAATCTATAATACAGGATAACTCTATTCATTCGCTTTAAGATGTAAATATCACGTGAATATCACATGTAGGTTATTCCGTAAATAGTGACCATGTGAAACAAAGAAAAGAAAAAAAATTTAGAAAACGAAAAATTTTCTCTTCGCAGAACAGAGCGAGATAGAGCTCATCTCATCGCATGAAATTTTTTTTTTCTTACCTGGGGCATCATACAGGTAATATGATAATTTTTTATTACTTACTTTTAAAAGAATTCTTATATAATTCTTAGACTTTCTTATTAGTAGTTTATATATTAGTTCTTAGCAAGGTTTAAATAACTAGCAAACGTTCATCTCACCAAGATAACCTAAAAATATAACGATGCAACTATCCTGGAAAGATATCCCAACGGTTCCACCTGCTAACGATCTGCTGGACATCGTTCTAAACAGAACCCAGAGAAAGACTCCAACTGTCATTAGACCTGGTTTCAATATTACTAGAATTAGAGCTTTCTATATGCGTAAAGTTAGATTTACAGGTGAAGGTTTTGTTGAAAAATTTGATGATTTATTGAAAGGTTTCCCAAATATTAATGATGTCCATCCTTTCCACAGAGATTTAATGGATACTCTATATGAAAAGAATCATTACAAAATTTCTCTTGCTGCGATCTCTCGTGCAAAGTCCTTAGTCGAACAAGTTGCTAGAGATTATGTGAGATTATTGAAGTTTGGTCAATCTCTTTTCCAATGTAAACAATTGAAAAGAGCAGCCCTTGGTAGAATGGCTACCATCGTAAAGAAATTGAAGGATCCATTAAACTATTTGGAACAAGTTCGTCAACATTTAGGTAGATTGCCATCTATTGATCCAAATACTAGAACTTTATTGATTTGTGGTTACCCTAATGTTGGTAAGTCCTCTTTCTTAAGATGTATTACTAAAGCAGATGTTGAAGTTCAACCATATGCTTTCACTACTAAATCCTTATATGTGGGTCATTTTGATTACAAATACTTACGTTTCCAAGCCATTGATACTCCAGGTATCTTGGATAGACCAACTGAAGAAATGAATAATATTGAAATGCAATCTATTTATGCTATTGCTCATTTAAGATCTTGTGTATTATATTTCATGGATCTTTCCGAACAGTGTGGTTTCACTGTTGAAGCTCAAGTTAAACTATTCCATTCTATTAAACCATTGTTTGCCAACAAATCTGTTATGGTTGTTATTAACAAGACTGATATTATTGCCCCAGAGGATTTGGATGAAGAACGTGCCAAATTATTACAAACCATTAGAGATACCCCAGGTGTTGAAGTAATGGCTACATCTTGTCAGTTAGAAGAAAATGTTATGGATGTAAGAAACCAAGCTTGTGAAAAATTATTAGCTTCTAGAATTGAAAATAAATTAAAGTCTCAAGCTAGAATTAACAACGTCTTGAATAAGATTCATGTTTCTCAACCACAAGCTAGAGATGATATTAAGAGAGAACCATATATTCCAGATCAATTCAAACAGTTGAGAAAATACGATCCTGAAGATCCAGAGAGAAGAATGTTGGCTAGAGATATTGAAGCTGAAAATGGTGGTGCTGGTGTGTTTAATGTTAACCTAAAGGACAAATATCTTTTGGAAGATGATGAATGGAAGAATGATGTTATGCCAGAAATCTTAGATGGTAAGAACGTTTATGATTTCTTGGATCCAGAAATTGCTGCTAAATTACAAGCTTTAGAAGAAGAAGAAGAAAAATTGGAATCTGAAGGTTTCTATAACTCCGATGATGAAGAAAACTTTGACGGTTTCGAAGGTGATGAAATTGATGACATTAGAGAAAAGGCAGATTGGATCAGAGATAGACAAAAGAGAATGATCAAAGAAGCAAGAAATAGAAAATCTCTTAAGAACAAAGCCATTATGCCTCGTTCCAAATTATCTAAATCATTTGGTGATATGGAAAAGCATATGTCTACTTTGGGTCACGATTTGTCTACTTTACAAGACAAACAAAGATCACAAGCCGGCAAAAACAGATACGTCGAATCTGGTGCAGATGTTGTCTTTGGTGGTTCTGAAGCCGCATCTGCTACTAATGCTAATGGTGGTAAGTTAAGACAATCCGATAGATTGTTGGATGGTGTTGCCGATGGTTTGCAAAGATCTAAGGCTGAAAGAATGGCTAAATTGCAAAGAAGAGAAAGAAACAGAAATGCTAGAGCTGGTGAAGCTGATAGACATGAAACTGCATCTCTACCAAAGCATCTATTCAGTGGTAAGCGTGGTAATGGTAAGACTGATTTCCGTTAATCGGAACGATTTTTACACTTTTCTTTCAAAAGTTATTATTTACATGTGCATTTTCAACCTTTCGTTTTTTAAGAAAAAAACTATTAGTATTCCTCTCTTATGTGTAAGAGGGTAATAATTAATAGTACCATTAACCAAATAAGTATTTCTAAGACACATGGGAGCCACATACAGATAGTTATCCCATTGTTCTAAACATTATTGTATATTATTTACCTTTAATAAATTCTCAAAATATTTTGATAACCGATTACATATATTTTTTCCAAGAATATTTGTTCTACGAATGTCTTTTGTCAAGATGCTACAGATGCATAATATCGGTCACTCTGTTGTTTTAAAAACTTGGTTCATTACACTACATGTACTGAACTGAATACTCTAAGAGTGTATAGTGTAAGATATTCGCATGAGCATAATAATTGATGATTAGGAACGCTAATATTAACATTAATTAAATAACACAAAGAATATTGTGCGCAATTATTATAATTGAATAGGCCTATAAGACGATAATTGAATAAGAAGTTCATGACTGTGAAGATTGACAACTACGCCACTAAATTCGTAAACGTATAAAGACAGGGGTTTGAAATACATAATCTGTATATTAAATAATTCTTTTCGAAATACATCAAGAAGAATTATCTGTATACTATCTGTGTAATAAAAATGAATGAAAATAAAAATATAATCAATGCTCAACTGGATAGAAACGAGGAATTCTATTAAAATGTATTCTTCGTGATATGAATGGAGGAAATAAAATAGAAAGACTCAATCAAGCATGGAAATAAAAGGTTTTGCTTAATTTTTGTTTTTTGAAACCATGTTTTTTTCTATGGAATTTATGTTTCTCAGGGTCTTCCTTCATTTCGCTCTTTTAAAAAAATAATTGACAAGATGTCTTAAACGAGTAATCGGCGTCACAAACTACATAGCAGTAATATTTTTAGGACATAAAAACTCAGAGGGTATGATTTCTAACAGATAAGTTAAATATATCTAAATATATATATGCAAACTATTCTTGGGGAAAGCTTGCAAATCAATATGTTTTTCCACACTGAGCCTCCAAATAACGAGCCTCAGCCTATTATTATGCAATCAAGTTCTAGTTATGATTCATTTAGATCGGTAGATCCGTCCCATGAAGAGGTGTTAGACAGTAATTTAAATGCCGATGTTGAGATTGGTACAAACGAAAATTCTAATATAGACCATACATTGACTGATTTTCCCTTTAATGTTGCCCAAGATAAATCACCCGGAAAAGATTCTACTGTTGAGTTAGGATATACATTATCACTGCATGACATTCCCTACAGTTGTTTCACTAAGTGGCAAGTTTTCACTATTTTCTTCATTGTAATATTTATAGGATTTTTGGGACCAATGTCAGGTAATATTTATATACCTGCATTGCCACTATTACAAGAGGAATTCAAAGTATCAACAACAGTGATAAATAGTACAGTCTCCGTTTTTATGGGTGTCTTTGCTATTGGCCCTCTTTTCTGGGGTGCCTTTGCTGACCTTGGGGGAAGAAAAATATTATATATGATCTCAATTCTGATAATGGTTATTGTTAACATCCTCCTTGCATCGATGCCAACAAATATTGTTTCGTTATATATATTAAGGGTGGCCCAAGCGTTTGGTTCTAGTTCTGTGATGAGTTTAGGAGCAGGTACCGTAACAGACTTGACAAAACCAACTCACCGTGGTAAAGCAATTGCCTACTTTATGTTGGGTCCAAATCTTGGTCCAATTGTTGCTCCAATCATTGCAGGTCTGATTCTGATGCATGGGGAACATTGGAGGTGGTTATTTGGATTTACAGCTATAATGGCTGGTACTGCATTAATAATGGTTATTGTTGTTCTACCGGAAACATTAAGGTGCAAAGTTGGTAATGGTGATCCAGGTTGGAAAGATTTTAGAGGAATTAACGACATTCAATCAGGAGATGATGCAAATCCGGCGGTTAACCCACAAAAAAAGAAATGGAGGTTTTTCGCAGATATAGGTAAGTTTAAACCAGTATCTAATTGTGTTGACTTTAAGGAGTTATATCCCAGTCCACCTAGATTTAATTTGAAATTATACTGGAAACTTCTCCTAGTGTTACCAGTATCTCTGACCTCGATAGCTACAGCATTACTTTTCGCTAATTATTACGCATTCAGTGTCACTTTATCTCATTATCTGAAAGATAATTATAATATGACAATTCTTCAGATCGGTGCTTGCTATGTATGTCCTGGCGTATCAATGGTATTAGGTTCACAGATAGGTGGACATCTTTCTGATCATTTGAGAAATAGATGGTTAAGGAAGCACGAAGGTAAGCAATATCCGTTGGAATTGAGACTTGTATTGCAAATTCCCGGAATTTTAATTAATACATTAGGTTGTATTGGTTACGGATGGGCAATTCAAAAACATTACCCATTGGCTGTTGTACTTGTATTTTCTGGTCTCAATGCATTTGGTTTGACGTGGTGTAGTAACACGACAATGACATATTTAACAGAACTACTGTCGCGAAGAGCAGCAGGGGCTGTTGCCTTGAGTAGTTTGTTTAGAAATATAGCTGCTACAATAAGTTCTGCCCTGATTATAAAATTTACTCAACTAATTGGAATCGGAATGTCCTTTACTGTGCTAGGACTATGTAATATTATCTCACTTGTCTTTAATTGTTACATCATAAGGTACAGTGGGATCTGGCAAAATAAGGTCAAACATATTTGAATAACAAATATTACCGTTTGAATATATATATAACTGAATTATCTATAACACACAAAAAAATACTAAAACATAATAATCAAAAGTTTAAGATTTATTAGGCTATGCCAAAATTATACAATATAAAGAAGTATGAAGTAGAGAGATATGTATGATTCCTACAACGAAACTTAAGCCTTTAGGGAAGAAGCTCTTCTCTTTCTGATTTCAGCCTTTTCAGCCTTCTTTTCAGATAGTCTCTTAGCCAATAGTTGAGCGTACTCAGCAGCAGCTTCTCTTTGAGCTTGAGCGTTCTTGATCTTTAGAGCCTTTTGGTTTCTCTTTCTTTGTAGTCTTTGTGGAGTGACTAATCTTTGGATCTTTGGAGCCTTGGTGTAGGTCTTTTCACCCTTGGTAACTTCTCTTCTAATGACGAAGTCACGGACATCATCTTCCTTGGTTAGACCGAAGAACTTTCTGATCTTGTTAGCTCTCTTTGGACCTAATCTCTTTGGAACAGTGGAGTCAGTGATACCTTCTAGTTCTTGTTCACCCTTCTTGACGATGACTAGAGATAGAACAGCTAGATCTGGACCAACAATGGAACCTCTAACGGACTTTCTCTTTCTTTCACCAGAACGTCTTGGTCTGTAACAAGAGACACCCTTGGTTAGAAGCAACTTAATTCTAGTTGGTAATAGAACACCTTGCTTCATTGGGAAACCTTGCTTATCGTTACCACCAGAGATCTTGAAAGTGTAACCCTTGAATTCGTCACCGACGGATTCACCTTCAACTTCTTGACCGATTCTCTTGTCGAAGAAGACACGAATTCTGTGTTCATCATCGATTTCGTAGGTCTTTTGAGTACCATTAACTGGGTAGGAAATGTTCAACTGTTAAAAATATATATATATATGGATATATTTGTTGTTAGTAATTAGGACATTTATAACGTTTTTTATAAGGTGGTAATTAGAATATTCGAATGTCATTGTTATTTCTCAGAAGCGATTCTCCATATTTGAAAATTCTGTTTTCCTTATTAGTTATCATTTTTTTATTCATCGTCTTTCGTCATTATTACAATTTTCACCAATCAATTTTTTAAAGTACTCAGTTTATATACCATTAGTTTGTGATTCTCATATTGCATTATTTCCTTTGTAATTTTCATATCGCTTTATTATATATGTCATTGTCGATTCACTTGGAACTTATATGATTTTTAAAATAAAATATATCACACGTAGTCTTATTGTTTAATATCCAACTATATTTCACTTCATAGCTTCTATCTATTGCACAAGAACATATCGAAAAATTCGTCCACTCAATACCTCTCCACATACCTTCATGATTTCGCACTTATCTTAACGATCTTTTGTGTTAAATATTACAAAAATAAACTCTATTATTTAAGTATTTCACCTTTAATTTGATATATATCTTACTTAGCATACAAATTTCAGAATTAATGTCTACAACTGATACAAGGTTGCTGTTACTTAGTTAGTTAGTGCTGTTCCCTCTGTTTCTGGGAGGCAGAGGGTTGTGTTAGCACTAATGGCGAAACATTTTAGCAGTGGGTAGTGAATTGAGCATCATCTCAGCGCGCTTCTTTCTCTCACTCAGTTATTGTTGTATATGAAAATTGTAACTTGAAAAATTCAAAAATTAGAGACAGACAAAGCTTTCAACAAAACATTTCCGAAAAGTTCAAAATTTAAATTTTTTTTCAACAAACAAAAGATGTATGGGTGTTAGATGGGTGTTTGGATGTTAACGTCACAGAGTTGATTGTTTTGTCTCTTTTGACAGGTTTCTTCTACAAATAGTAATACTGCTGATTTTCTGCAATGAACTTATGATGAAGAAAATATCTCCTTCTTTAACTATTGAGATACTGAACTAAGTTGATGCTAGATTATTATTTGAATGTTTTCTATGTTTTTTTTTTAAATACTATTATGAAAAGATTTTATATAATATTTATCTCTTTAAATTTATAAATGCCACATTATATATGATTATATTCGTTTGCCTGCACAGAACGTCATACCTTTTCAGTCTCTGTATTTACGGAAATCTGTGACTTTGGAGATTGATGGAACTGGTGATGGCTTATATCTGCATTACCAGTGGTATGAATTGTGGTTGAAGATGCACTACTTGGTCGTCTGACACTAGGTAAAACGATTCTATCGAATGATGTTGGCGTCGGTGGTAAATATCTTTTCTCAGGTACAGCCATATTGGTCTCTATATGGGGAGGCCCCACAGCAATTGATTGTGGATATGCTTGTAATCTTGGATATTCTGTTTGATACATTGGACCTGATGCCGTAACGTAGATAGGTACTGCTGCAGCTACGCCAGATAATGGTGCAGTACCGGCTTGATACCACTCATGAGAAGCTGTCATTGGCAATGTTGATGTGATATTAGAATCACTTAGGTTATGTCTTTGTAAAGTTCCTGCTGGTACAGGTTGTAAATACCGTTGATTGGTTGTGTAAGGTAATACCCTCTGTGGAAAACCTACAGAGACTTGATGAGGCATAGGAGATGTCATAGGTAAATGTTGAACCGGAGATGGAGCGTAACCTGTTGGAGGAACTGTTGAAGTTAATCCATTCGAGTACATGGGTTGTTGTGGTACCATTTGATTAAATTTTAAAGTAGGTAACGTATCTACTACAGATGATGGTGGAGTAGATCTATTAGATGATGCAACACTTTTTTCTATGAGAGGTGGTGTGATGGAACGTCTTTGTGGTTGGGGAATATTAGTATTAGTGTTAGAAGTGTTTTCATGTTTTAATGGCACACTATCAGTATGAGATGCGTGAAAGTTATGTATACCATCAATGTGAGGTAAAGTTGGGGGTATATGGGTATGATCAGCAGATAAAGTTCTGGTCTCAGGTAAACTTATTGTACTATGAGGCGAAACTGGGGCAATTGTATGCTCATTTTCATCCAATCTTGGTCTCTTTGCTGGACGTTGGTTATCAGAATCAATATTTTCAACTTCTTTATTTTTAATGGCATCTTTATCATCTGTATTCTGTTTCTCAGTAGTAGTAACAGTTGTGACATTTTTCTTTGCATAATTTCTTCTTCTAATGTTTTTATTTAAAGTAACAAATTCTCTTTGTTTAAAGTCGCCGAAATCTGAAGGATGTTTAATAACATGTCTTAATGATTTATCATCATTATAATATTTCATTAAATCATCAACAGCAACAGAAGAATATTCATAAAATGTATTATTTGCACCTAATATAATTAAAGAAACTTCAGCTTGACATAATACGGATAATTCATGAGCTTTCTTAAATAAACCAGCTTTTCTCTTAATAAAAGTTACTGTTCTATTTCTATCTTCTGTGATAGGTTGAATATCAATTTTCCGTCTACCCATTGTAAAAAGGTGTGAGCTTGTGTATGTGAGATAGTTTTTTGTAAAATAAAAATAAACTTAATACTAGTGGTATACTGAGAGAGAGAGAGAGTCAGTTTACTATGATTCAATGTAATTAAAAGGAAAAGATAAGAATATATTTATATGAAATACAGGTGTATATATATATAATAAGAGAAGTAGGCACAATATAAAAGAAGGGGAGAACGAAAAAAAAAAGCCAAGAAAACAATTATTTTAAAATACCAAGAGAGAGAAGCAAATCAATTGTCTCTTTATATATTTGTATGCATAGGTACTTTATGTTATATAATTAAAATAAATTCAATCAAATATGAATGTAAAATTTCATATACCAAAATAAGCATATCCGTTTTCCCAAACAACAAAAGAGAAGTAAACAAGCAGAGAAACAAAGAAAATATAAAAATATCCAATTTTGTGAAGTAAGCACGAAAGATGATAAGAAAACTTCTTGGCAAAATAAAAATAAAAAATTTGAAACTGAAACTGAAGGAGAGATACTAAGAACCAAGCAATTAATTATATTAATTCGTGTGCGACCTAAGGATGACAAGTACCAGTTTGAAGTTCAAGGCTAAATATTGATGCGCCACTTTTTTTTTCTTCTTTCTCTTTCTTTGCGTTGTTTTAGTAAAACAACCACTTTGGTGTTCGAAGCGGAAACGGTGTCATTATCCAGTCATCTTTCCTCATCACCGTTATTTCACATCAAAATAAAGATAAAAAGATCTGCTTCATCTTAGTCAAATTGAGAGAGAGAAGAAATACTTACAAACTAACAAAGGATTCTTGTTTTTCCATGGGTTGTATATATTTCCAATAATGGCTTATTTCAATGTGTGTCGTTGTTGGCGTTATAATTCCTTCTAAAAACGAAAACAAATTTAAAATTCTTAAATATTACTCGTAGTACATTCATTTCAAAATTTCAAATCTGGATCAGCCAAGAGGACTCTACACTTACATATACACAGAAAAATGGTGGGATTATTAATATAAAGAACTTTAGACAGTGAATCTCAGTACTACTTTATTCGTTAGTTCTAATATTGTTTCTCAGTACACGGTTTTAATGTGTTCTTTGCCTCCGTCAAGTTAGTAGATGTAATAATACAAGCTTTGAGTATATATATATCTATAGAGGTATCTGTGTTTATTCGCGTATTTAAATTAAGGTAGCTTTCTTCGAAGGGTTAGTAGCTGACTGAATGCCCAGCTAATAATTAATTTTGTTTAATTCTGCCAAGTGAAATTAAACCAAGACACAGAGATAGAGGGACAGAAAACAGTTATTTGATATCAAAATTTCGTTTAAGGTCAGTGTTTTTCAGGAATAAACACGGTGGAAACACAAAAAAGGCAGATATCTCTGGGGGGTTTCTTCTCTAATAAGAACGGAATTAATATGGACTGTCTGCGCATTTTCTTTGTCGTTTTCTCATAAATTTTCGGAACATTCGGGCGTCTAACATTCCGCACCTTCCATTTTCTCTCTTCTACCATTCTCATTCAATTAAAAGAAACCATGTTTTTGTAGGAGGAGAAACTAGGAACAAACTTGGTAGCAACGTTTAGATAGTATATTATCTATTCATGGAATTTCTTACCAAAACAGGTAAAAAGACAAAGTTTTTATGTGGTTGTATTTTTTGTTTTCTTGGTAAATATTCCTTGTATGAGACTAAACGGAAATAATGCCAAGCCTTCTTCTAGTTTATTTTATTTGCTTGAAATAGAAACAGTTATATTTGTTTTCTCTTATAACAAGCCTCGTTATTGTATTCTCTTTGATTAAATAAATTTACGTCAGTAAATGTAGGCTCATCTACTCATATGATAAATCCATGTTTCATCTTAGTCTCATCGGACCAATACTACGATCTTTAAGTTCAGAATTTGTTACACTCTTGTAAATTATGTAAATAACGTTAACATAGATTGTTGGCATTTCTCTCTATATATTTGTGTTCCTTTTATCATTTTGTTCTTCTCTCTACCTACAGTTGTTAGAAGAAATCAACAAATAAACATCCAAAGCCACCCTCGGTTAATTATTATCTAAATATTGATGCAGTACACAACATTCCGAACGCGCTTCGGGTCATATAAGTGCAAAACAAAGAAAAATAAAAGACTTCTAAAATTGGAGGGCGACATAAAAATAAAGGTCCAGAACATTCAGAACCAAGTTATTTTTTCCCGTTTTTCTCCGTGGAAGTTAAATATTTATATAGAAGTGAGATTATTTTGTCTCTACTTAACGTTCTCTCTCTGTTTAAGTATTTTTTCGGTTGTTTGCATTTTTTTTTAGCACATAAACATAACCTATGTTATTGTTTTTCTTTCTGCTATGTTCCTGGGCTAATGTTAACGTAAAATAATCAAGAATAACAAATAATTATATTGTAATGTAAATTACTTTTAAAATATTGATATATATTTAGTAGTAGTAACAACTGTTTTTCCCCTTAAATATAGTGAGATCATTAATATCACGTTAAGAGTTGGTGATTGTTATATTGTTCTTATAAAGTCTCATATAGCCACATTACATTTCGCCCTAATAAATATATTATTTCTTATATTAGGATGGTAACGTTATGTCTTCGTAAAAAATAACATATTATTCGGTGAATACCGAAAAATTAAAAGTTTGTTATATACCACCAGCCCACTACGTTTTCATATAATGATTCCCTATTAGTTGTGCTTCTTTGATTTTTGGTTCAGTAATTCTCAACAAATACGTAAATAACTTAAAGTTCTTTCTTCTTTTCCTATGTCGTATAGAGGCTTAAGGTAGAAGTTGTTTTGTCTTGTTTGTTTTTAACTTTAATTATATTTTTAGGGTGTATTTTTTTTTTTGCCAAGAAATTAATTTTTTTACAGGTGACATATTTGTGGCTTATAAAAATAAAATAACAATTGATAATAATAATATACGCTTACACTTAAAACATATTACAATAACTACGGGAGTACACTAATATATCTTTATTTACAGTACGAACTTTTTTTTTCCTTTTTTCGATTTGATTGTTTGAAATTGTACAGTATTTTCATTGAACATATATTTTTTGCCAAGAAATTAAATTCATACATTTACTTGTATATCGCTATTCAGAAAAGAAAAGAAAAAAATATGTAAAAATTTAAGGTTTGAACAAATTTTAATAATGACATACGATATTTTAATACAATGATTTAACATTACACAATAATTTCGTAATATATTAGTAACCTGAGCCTCCTTTTTATTACTTTCTACAATGATTATTTTACTTTATTGGATTGTTTTCATTTATTGCGCTGAATCAGACTAAGATTATGATTACTTTCTATGTATGTGAAGAGAGTGTGTGAGTAGGGCAATCAAAAATGTTTATCAAGTTACATCTGTTGCTAATTTTGTAAATAAACTTGTAATACGTCATAATGTTTCGATTTTCAGAAAGAGTGACTTTCTTTTTGCCAAGCCTTTTATTTATCTATTTTATATCCTTGAAGTCTGCATATATCTGTGTATTGAAACACAAACGAGGCTTAAAATATACATTTATTAATATCTTTTTTTATATTTGATACATTTTGCCAGTGAGTTTCTTTTAAAAAAAATTTATTAAGCTTTTTAATAATCGCTTTACTAGACAACATAATGTAGTGGCAGTTATTTTTGTCAATTTTTATTTGTTTTATATACAAGATATTTATATTATGTTCTTTAAAATATTTAAAATTGTTGTTTTTCTATTTATTAGTGGAATATCTTCAAAAGGGAATACGACAAGTATCTTATTAGTCTGTCGATCAATATCAGAACAAGTTTATCTTCTCTCTTTTTTTTTAATGTTTTTGTTCAGTTTGGTGGTTGTCTGAAAATATCACCATTTAGTCTCATGTTTTTAACAACTTGCTTTCTATCTACATCACTATTCTTTGGAAGTTTAGCATTTGGTTTACTTTCAAATACAGAACCAATTAATATAACTTGATCAGTAGTAGTATCACATAAAAATACCATATAATCAACAATATCTCTTATTTGTTTTTCAGTCTTTTCAGTATTTTGATCAAATTTAATCAATTCTTGCTGCGTATCAAATCTATAAACAAGTTGAATATTCTCTAAAGGCTTACCAGGCATCATAATTGGTTCAATAGAGACCAATTTTGGAACATTGTTAAATTTTAAAATTTGCCAATCTAGAATTAAATTCTTAGGAAGTCTGGTGACTCTATTATTTAAAGCTTCTTCCACCCATAATGATACTCCAGGTGAAATTGATTTGATATTCTTATTAGCAAATGCTTTATTCACTTGAATATATGATTCAATTGCTTTATTCTTCCATAATAAGAATTTCGGAGTTGTACCTGTTTGAAAACGAAATAAAGCTACTTTAAAAGTATTAAAACCAAACGTATAACAACGTCTAATTAAAGAATTGAAAACGGCAATTGGATTGATTAATACATTAGGTAAATTCTTATAACTAGTTGGTATATACATGTTTGCTGTGACACCTAGATATCTTGGATTGAAATTGTTACCAGTGTCATTTTTCTTTGGGGTTTTCTTCTTTTGTTTCTCTTCTACATCTTTACTTTCCTGGAATACTTGTATACTTCGAGAGATTAATCGAGTTTGATTTATAATGGAAATGGTACTTCTTGTGGTCATATAACTGCTCTTCACAGCAGGACGTAATAATGACATCTTTTCAACGTTCTTGAAACAAAAGATATCAATAGTAATTTATTTTTTCTGTTTCAGTAGGATCCAACACAATAGTTCCTGATATTTTAACTCCTGAACTTCCGCTAGTTATATCTGACCTCGATAACTCTTTAGTGGTCCTTTCGTAATCCCTAAATACTAGTAGTTGTTGAATATCCCTATGTCTTACTGTCTGTATTACTATTGTAATTGGCTCCGGGTCCCTTCTGGCGAAATGCATTTTAGTTCAAAAACAAAAAAAATATTGAAATCCGTCACGTGATTTTTTGGGAGTTTCAATAAAGTATACGTTAGTGAATGGAAGAGGGAGATACGATAATTTACACACTATATTTTAGATATTAGTGGAAGGATAGTCTTCGTCTTCTAATATAAAAGGGAAGAAACTGTTATGGTACATTGGGATTCAAATAGTAAAAGCTAAGCATATATTCTATTTTGAAGTACTAAGATGAAACCATGTATTATTGAATTAAAACTGAAGGACACAGAAGAGTTGAAGTGGAAAAAAGTCCTGTCGTCATATTTAAAGAGGGTATATGGAATACAACAATGGAGTCAATTTTTTGATGAGAAATTAGCCTCAGAATTAGACCATATTAGAAGTAACTCGAATGGAGAGTTGGCTCTTGATACGTTATTGGAACAAAATTGTACATACTATGCCTATTTGGAACAATTGAATCAAAGATTAGGTAATAACACCAGTGTATTAAAGATAGATTTTGTATGGTACGATGCAGAATATACATTATCGAATGAAGCACAGAAATATAAACAACATACTTTAGTGTTCGAAAAATCGGCTACACTTTACAATATTGGGGTTCTTTTGAACAATGCAGCAAGGGAAAAAATTGATACAGATTATAAAACAGCCATTAGTTATCTTTCAAAAGCTACAATGTGTTTCCAATTTCTTTCAGAAAATTTTCTAAATTCTCCATCGATTGATATACAGGCAGAAAGTACTCAATTTTTGTCTAATCTTTGCCGTTCTGAGGCTCAAGAGATGTTTACTATGAAGCTAATAAATGGCCCAACAGCAGAAAAACAAGCATCATTAATCAGTAAATTAGCCTTGGCAACACATAATGGTTATGAAAAATGCATTTCTTTTCAAAAGAGACCGGATGGTGGATTAGCACCATATGGTGAACCAAGATGGAGCACTATCGTGACTTGTAAAGTTAGTTTTTTTAGGGCAGTTGCGGCATATTACCATAGTATTGCATTAGAACAACAAAATAAGACTGGGGAAGCTATTGCATTTTTAAAATTGGCCGTGAATTCTGTGATAAACGCATTGCCATTCAAAGCATGGTTAATGGATTTCATCGACTTCGAAGGATTTAAAGAAACAGTAGAATCAAAATTGCAACAACTTAATAAGGATAATGATTATATTTATCATGACTCTATACCCCAAAGTGTTTCCGTGGAAAGTATTAAACCTATGGATGCAATTAAGGCACCAACATGGTTAGAACAATTGGAGCCCTTTAATCATCATGTCATGAAGAAAGCAAATATACTGTACAAGGGTATCGTACCAATGGAGGCATATGAAAAGGAAAGTATATATTCTGATCAAAAAGATAGCTTACTTAGAAGAGAAACGGAGACTGCCCAAACTGCTAACTTTGAATACAAATCATTCATTGAATATACGCATTTGGATAGTCTTGTTAGAGATCTTGAGAATAAATATAAAAATGGTAATACCGTTGGAGCATTTGATGATATTGTGCAACAAATGCGAGAGTCTTTATCTCAGATGTCGATAAACGTTCAAAAAAGTAATTTCAAGGACATCTCCCTAGCAATGAATGATATTGCCACGAAGAGGAGAGAAGTAACTGAGGTACTTGCAACTTTACCTCCAGACCAAAAGGAAAATGGTGTTAAGTTAAAGACTTCTCTTATTGAGGCATCGAAGTCAGATGATAAATTGTTTTCAGTAATTAAACCCTATGTCGAGGAAGTCAAATTATTAAACGATCCTGAAAAACTATGGAAAAATTTTAATACTTATAATACAGAATCTTCATCTCAGCCAAGTCTATTAGATGTTGATGATACACAAACTACCACTATACTCTCCAATATAAAGGAAATAAAGCAAGGATCAGAAGCCTTACGTGTTTTAAACGGCGAACGTTCTGAGATTCTGGCTGAATTAAAGGATAAGATCAGTGAAGATGATATAACATCTTTGGTTATAGCTAATAACAACAAGTCAGATGATCTTCAGGACCTATTTGCTAAAGAATTAGAAAAATTTTCACCCTTAAGCTCGAGACTTGAAGCAACAGTTTTCAAACAAACTTCTCTGATTAATGATATTAAGGTAAAATTGGATGAAATCTTCTCTATATCTGGACTAAAGACCAGAGCCTCTGATGAGGCAACGAATGAAAAGAACAGAAGAATTTTCTATGAAAAATTAGAGACAGCCTCTGTTTCTTTCTCAAATTTTAATAACGATATTATAAAGGGTCTACAATTTTATGACTCTCTGTTGAATATGAGTAAAGAGTTAGTTCATGCAAGTGCTTTGAATAGTACTAAAAATGAAAATGAAACGTATAACTCCACTTCATTGCCTCCACCTTTACCTGAACAACCTGGGTATAATAATCCAGCAAACAATGGGTTTGCTTCGTTAGACTCACAAATGGCGAACATGTCTCTGAACACTCCGCCAATTCCATCTAGAACCTATAATATGTCGCAACCACCACCATATTCTTCTGCAGCTCCACCTATTCCTGTTCCTGGTTCTTTCAACCCAATTCCTAGTGGAAGCAGCCAACAGTTTTCAACGGGTATGACACCTATGGTTCCTCAGAGACCACCAAGGGATGTTCCCTTTGGTATGAATGGTTTGATGGCAAGACGTGAACAAACAGCGCAAGAAGAGGCCGAGTTGCAAAGAAACCCAACAGCATTTTATGATAAATCGTCAGTTTTCGATGAAAATCTTTACTCTAAATATAGTAAATAGATATTATTTATGGTAGATGCATTATATAGTAGGTAAAACTTTTATTTTATCTCTGACTGTTCCTTTTCTTTCCTATGATTATCCTTGGATTTGTTTGTTTTTCTCCAATTCTTGTTAGGTCTTCCTATTGTACCTTTCGGAGGTGGTACATACCAAACATTTTCAGAACCAAAATCAGCTTCTGAAATTTTTGCAAAACTTACTATACCGTTATCCATTATTGCTAATAGGAAACTCCGATAACCATTTTTTAATCTTTTTAGTTGTTGAATATGTGGAGGTAGTTCTTTACCAGGTTTTTTATTTTTGTTTTCAGTTGGTTTCTTCGTAACTATTTTTGGTTGTTTGTTCTTGTTTCTAGCATTATTTGTCAAATCATTTAATATATCTTCTCGTAATACTCCGTTGTTGTAAGTATTTTTATTCCAAAAATCTGTATTGGAACTATGTTCAATAAAATTAAATTTATAATCTAAAGATCTAAACAACGCTTCTAACTCGTTAAATGTTGGAAACGATTGGTTTGTCATATTTTTATTGTATGTTACTACTTGATAATCTGGTAATTCTGGGTATTTTTTCTTAAAAGTAGGGTTAGGCTTCCAGATATTAAATGTAATATGCAAACTTGTTGGTGTTGAATTGCTTGTCGATCTTTTTAAAGAACTATACTCGTGACGTAAATCTGTGATTGAATGAGGAATCTTATGATATGAGATCAGTTTATTTAGGGACTCGTAGATATCTGGTGATGATCTATACCTCCTTAAGTAGAAATGCCATTGACTAAATATAATTCCATTAAATAATGAAATCCCTGTATATGTGAAAGTAGATGAGATCCTATTTATTATATTTCTCATAGAACCTATTGTATATGATTTAAAATTCATCGGTGGATAAAATGAAGTATTATTTTTGGTAATAATATATTGATCAGAACTTCTTACAATGAAGCCTAATCTTTTTAAATGAGCATATATGGAAAAATTATCCATTTCTTTTTGGGTCTTAAAATAAGAATATAAATCTTCAATACTTAATGGTAATTCGACATTATTACCATAAGCTTTCCAAAATGGTGTTATTGTACCTCTTTCAGCTAGGTATAAAAATTCAAAAAAATGTAACCATAAAGTACCATCTTTATCAGTTTCACCCATTGATTGAACAAAATTACCTTTTGCATATGGTACCATAGCTATGTGTTTATCAGGGATATAATAGCCTTTAACTTGCGATTTTGAAGTAGAACCACGTACGGAGTTTTCTAAAGTGTCAAACATTGCCTTCTTGGCCCTATATAATAATAATTCTTGGATATCAGTACCATCTGGTTCATAATCCTTTTCACCCCTCTTCGGTATCGATAATATCGGGTTATCATTTTGAATCTTTGAAATATCAGACCAATCTTGAATCACTTCATCCTCATCTAAGTTCAAGTCCGTATCTTGATTCGTTGCAGTTGACATTTTTTGATCTTTGAAAAAAAAAAAACAGAACCAACTTACTGGGACGAGTAGATATAGATATAACTTGGTATCTGGCTTAATAATTAAAGATAGAGGACTTCCACTAGTTATTTATCACTCTGCAAAACCGTGTTTGTTCTTAAAACTACGTAATGAACCAACAACCGTTTGCCTATTAGAGTCAAAAAAAAAATATCAGCCTCAAGATTTAAAGAGTCGATGAATTTGACATTAAATTTTCACTACGAATAAATTTCAAGATTTACGCGCAACTCATCGCGAAATTTTTATTATGTAACAACCGCATTAAGCGTTAGTACAAAATTCCCTTTATTTATATAACAAAAAGATATAAATAAAGGGGGAGACTGCTTGTTTATGACTTATAAACTCGAGGTAATCATGGTGAAGTTGTTTTAGTCTAGATGTGTGGGTAAGGGTGGTGCAGGGAGGTCTAGATTATTGCTATGTTACCTGTAAGTAAATAAAAGACTAAGTAAGTTATTCCAAAACCGTATCCATATCATAGTCCATTATTATAATATGTGTACTCTTCCCTTACAGATAATATTTACAACTATGTTCCTTTCACATTGCATTTACAAATAGTTCTGCTGTCCATCTTCGAAATGACGCTATTTAATATCAAAATGTATAATGATAATGTACCCCATGCATTAATTGTTACGGCTAGCACACCTCCTACTGAAAAACGGGCATCCTTGACATTATGCAAGAAAACAAATATATAAAATAAATAAAGACCACACACACCCTCTCTCTTTCTCTTCTATTGTCATCGGCCTATTTCACTTGCAAGGGATCAATGACTATTGTTAACGCTTCTATATATATAACTGATTGTCAATTCTATTGAGATGAGAGGTTAAACCTTGATGACGACGCGTCGTTGCAGCGGGTTATTCTGGCCATTTTTTTACTTTGAAAAATTTATCAAAGCAACGCGACCATGGAGAAGTCTGAGTTAATCAATGACATTTTTTTCTGCAGGAAAAATGTTAAGTCAACGCTATTAATGGTAAAGGTACGGTTGTAACCGGCCTCTGTTGTTATTTGTTTTATTCATTTGTAAATAAGTATATATATATACGTATATTTTGTGCTCGTATTTGGGTTAGAACTAGAAGACGAAAAAAAAAGCCTTCGAAGACCATAACATTGGGTTAAGTATTATTTTTTTTACCATTATCCTCTGGTTGTTACCTTTATATTTATTTATTTTTTGGTGTTGAAATATAGTCAAGTATACAAAATAAGAAATGCAAACTTCTTCATTATTTTGGTCTCTATTGCTTCCATTATTGATGCAAATGGTAGGAGCATCTGAAACTGTTCAAGCTGTAACCGCAGATGCTGCTTCTGCTGGTCATACCGATGGTCGTTCTGATTCAGCATTTAATTCTTTTCTAATGTCAACCTCTATGATTATCTTCTCCGAAATTGGTGATAAGACTTTCTTAATCTCTGCTTTGATGTCTATGCGTCATCCAAGATGGTTAGTATTCACTGCATCTTCATCATCTTTAGCTATTATGACTATTTTATCTGGTCTTTTAGGTCATACTTGTGTTTCATTTATTCCAGAACGTTATACTGCTTTCTTAGCAGGTTTGTTATTCCTAGTATTTGGTTATAAATTGACTATGGAAGGTTTAGAGATGTCAAAGGATGCTGGTGTAGAAGAAGAAATGGCAGAAGTGGAAGAAGAAATTGCTATTAGAGATATGAATACACATATGGATGATGTGGAAAGTGGTAAAGTAGAAGAAAAAAATGAAAAATCTAAACTTGGTATGACTCAATTAGAACAAATTGGTACCTCACTAAAAAGATTAGCATCGTTTGTATTTTCTCCTATTTGGATTCAAATTTTCGCAATGATCTTTGTTGGTGAACTTGGTGATCGTTCTCAAATTAGTATTATTGCCATGGCTTCAGATAGTAATTATTGGAATGTTATCTTTGGTGCTGTAGTGGGTCATGTACTATGTAATGCAATGGCTGTCATTGGTGGTAGATATCTAGCAAACAAGATTAGTATAAGAACAATAACCCTATGTGGTGCTTTTGCATTCTTTGTATTTGCATTAATGTATGTGTACGTTGCATTCACTATTTAAAAATTGAGAAATTAATTTTTTACACAATTTCAACCTATTACATTTTTTCATTCTTTTAATCACAAAGGAAATTCTTTTCTGTTATTGTCCTTTATAATATTCATGAATAAACTCTCTTTTTTTTGTTAAAAGAAAACTACAGTTACTAAGTTTGGGGTAGATATTTATAATTGGTTGATACAACTTAAAGTTTGTCGTCCAAATGAAGTTTATCATGATTATATTACTATTGACGCCCAAGCTATCAGGTTAAAAATAAAATAAAAAAAAGTAGAAAATATTTCTATTATATTTCAATTAACCTTTTGTTTATGATACATGTATTTAAATTATACCTTATGCCTTATGTATATCTGCATATCTTTTTTCTATTATTATACACTTTGATACATTTTTATTTAATTTAATTCAAAACATAAAATAAATAAATAAAAAAGGAATTTTTTTAATTGTCATTACATCATTATATTATTATTTATCAGATATATCGGTTACTACACGACGTCGTAATATATTCTTGATAGAAATATTCGTCCTTCGTTGTAATTCGTCTAAATTATCCTTCATTTTAAGCTTTAAATCTAATGTGACATCTTCATTGATTGACGTCTCTTTAATCAATGGCAATGTAGTTTCAGTCTCAGGAGAACTCTCATTCGGTATTGTACTCGTGGTTCTATTGTGGTTTACTTCAACTTCATTTTTTACAACGATTGTCTCCTTTAGCAATTTGTCAGTTTGTGGACGTATTATAGGGTTTCCAGTTATTCTTTCATGCAGCGCAATGAGCCGTTCTTCCCTCTGTTGCAGTAGACTTTCTAACAATGACATAGTGGACAGAATAAAGAAGTTGTATGCAAACAAGTAGAATATAACCTTCTATAATTGTAGTTCTTATAGTTCTTATGTGTTTACTTGAGAAATGGTCTGTATACTAGGCTCTTTATATTGAATCTAATGACTTTTACCTCTCTAAATAAATATTTCTTCTTTAAGAATTCTTTTATCTGAAATTAAATTGATGAGCATAAGTAAATATTTTGGGGGACTGCTGTACATCCGTGCACCCTTGAACCATCCTTACATGTTTCAAAACAAAAATTATGTTTTCTAATTTTTCCATTAAAACATATTCTGGACCACTCTCTTTTTTTGTCATTTTGAACTTGTTCGCGCGATACTGAATTTTTCAGTTTGAGACCATGAGCACAACCAATGAATAGCCAAATAGTGTGAACGATGAACCTATCCATGCACTGTAGATGTGGTGATGCTTAATGGTCCATAGTGTAGGTAGTCGCTCGATGGTTCTGAAGCTGTTTTACTGCCTAAGCTTAATGTTAGCCCAGTATCATTATTATTACTTGAGTGAAGTAACTGTGTTATTTAAAAGAAACTTGATTCTTAGTAATTTTCATTTATTTACAAGTTAACTTTTAAAGATCACCAGACAGTTTTCCAGATTTCAAGATGCCAAGTACGTACTATTATAATTATAAAACGATATGAACTAAAGGAAATATTACATTCGGTGAAGTAAATGCATGACGTTCGAAGTGGTTAAGCTCGATAGAATGACATTAATATGATATTAGAACTCTTTTGACTGATAAATAAATAGATCGTGGCAAATTATATACATGATTTAATGTAGGAATTGATAGTGCCTTGTGCACATTTTGCTTTAAATTTATAACTAATCATGATAAGAGAGGATACATTGATTACCAATGATATTTATTTCAGTGCATATCGTAAAGAAAGAATTATGTGTTTGTTAATTTATGAACACTTTTTTTATTAGCTAATTAATACTAACAAAAATTTACTTATTTTTTCTATTTATATGATTATTGATGACTATATTATCTTCATAATTATAAATATTTGAAACTTCATTATTTTATTAATTAGGAGCCCCAAGAACTTACTCCAAGACCTACTCTACTCCAAAGAGACCATATGAATCCTCCCGTCTAGATGCTGAAATGAAGCTAGCCGGTGAATTCGGTCTAAAGAACAAGAGAGAAATCTACAGAATTTCTTTCCAACTATCTAAGATCCGTCGTGCTGCTAGAGATCTATTGACCAGAGACGAAAAGGACCCAAAGAGATTGTTCGAAGGTAATGCTTTGATCAGAAGACTAGTCAGAATCGGTGTTTTATCCGAAGACAAGAAGAAGCTGGATTACGTCTTAGCTCTAAAGGTTGAAGATTTCTTAGAAAGAAGACTACAAACCCAAGTTTACAAGCTAGGTCTAGCCAAGTCCGTTCACCACGCTAGAGTCTTGATTTCTCAAAGACACATTGCTGTTGGTAAGCAAATCGTTAACGTTGCTTCTTTCATGGTCAGATTAGACTCTGAAAAGCACATTGACTTCGCTCCAACCTCTCCATTCGGTGGTGCCAGACCAGGTAGAGTTGCTAGAAAGCACGCCGGTAAGCCAGCTGAAGAAGGTGAAGCTGAAGAAGCTGACGAAGAATAAATTAATTGATAATTTTTAGTAATTATTGTATAATAAGATCCTTTATTTTTTCTCTATATTTTATATAACTAAAACTCAACTAATTGATTTTCATCTTCCATTATAAGTTATTTTCTTCTTTAATTTGTTTCTATAAATGATTCTGCGTTGAATTAGAGTGTTATTTGTGACAACTTGTGTAAGAAGTGAGATAGAGAATGGTTCTCAATAAGCCTAAACAGTGACTTGCATCCACACACCCACTAATAACATCCGTACATTTAGTCATTTCTTAATTTTTCAACTCCAAAAGTTTACTTTCTTTTTTTGCATCTTTTTTAGAAAGAAAGACCGAAATCGGAATGGAAAAAAAAACAGAAGAACTCTCAGAATCGTACGCCATTTCCACTGTCAAATGATTTTATTGAAATTTTGTTCAGTAATCACTAACTAAATGGAAGTTTTCACTTCGCCTAAGAGGGAAAGGTTGGTCATTCTATAGTCTCATTGCACTGTGGGATTAACCAACGTGGGCTTAACGTTTACTACCAAAGTAGTAGTACTCTTACTACTAGACCGAATCTTGGTGATTTCCCCCCCCCCAATTGTAGTGAAGAATTGTATTGTATATGTCGAAAGCTATTTAAAAACTTAGTATTTTAAGTAAGAATTCTTGTTTCATATTGATATTCTTGAAGACAACAAACGCAAGAACGATAAGCAAAAATGGGTAAATCGTATGTACTATAACGACGAATTTTAAAATGGAGCATTCCAGAGTTAATCAGAGTTGAATTATGTTGAAAATATCAAATATTGAATAAGTTATGGAATGAATACATGAATAATAGACTGTTATCATATGTGGAAGATAAAATAACATATAATTGTGAATAATAGATATGATATCCAATCTAAAGTATTATAAAAGGTCCATACCTTCGATTTTAAAATAAATAATTGAATTAATGATATTCCATGAGATTTTATCTGTATCAAATACTTGAGAATCAACAATGGATGTAATATACGATTATTGATAATTATCCACTCTAAATAATGAAATAATGCGTATTGAACATTCATAGAATATACTGATAGCAATATTAGAACAAGAACTCCATTGAGAAGTTAATCTATATGAACAAGTTTTACTAACAAACAAAATACATCATTACGTTTATGACTTTATCCAATTGTACTGCTCTGTATAAATGAGTGATTCAGAATGAATTATATCATCTATACAAAATCAGCAACTTACAAGTTAGAAATGTAAAATGAATTAAAAAATTTATTACAGTCACGGTTACAGATCTCGTACTCGTTACATGTTCCAAAGGGACTTCAGAAAGCACGGTGCCGTCTCTTTGACCACCTACTTGAAGACCTACAAGGTTGGTGACATCGTTGACATCAAGGCCAACGGTTCCATCCACAAGGGTATGCCACACAAGTTCTACCAAGGTAAGACTGGTGTTGTTTACAACGTCACCAAGTCTTCTGTTGGTATCATCATTAACAAGATGGTCGGTAACAGATACCTAGAAAAGAGACTAAACATTAGAGTTGAACACATCAAGCACTCCAAGTGTAGAGCTGAGTTCTTAGAAAGAGTTAAGGCTAACGCTGCTAAGCGTGTTGAAGCTAAGGCCCAAGGTGTTGCTGTCCAACTAAAGAGACAACCAGCTCAACCAAGAGAAGCTCGTATTGTTTCCACCGAAGGTAACGTTCCACAAACTTTGGCTCCAGTTCCATACGAAACTTTCATCTAATCGTACCGATATTATACGGTGTTTGCTTTCATATTTAACTTCTCCCTGGTGCATCCTATCCGCGTTTTCTATCTACATATTATAAGTTAAATTGTTGTATACTTACATAGGAATGGCAAAGGTTTGTTCTATATCTCTAATATACATATAATTAGTCATATTAATCATAATTTAAGTTCTATCGATTTTATTCTATATAAGTTATATATATTGACGACATGGTTAGTGATATCATTTTTTCACTCCATAAAATACAAGGTCTATTAGTAATGAGTAAATGGTGCTAGTTGGTCCATTGAAACGTTAAACCATATTACCTCAATTCCTAATTCCTATTTTTTATTCTTTTAGTGTCCTGATATGTCACATTCTCATTTTATTACTATAGCTCAATTCCCTCCGAGGGTTTTGCAGTGTTAAATTAAACAAAAAAACAAAATAATAACAAGAGAGGACGTCGAATTGAAAATATTGATATAAGAATATAACAAATACTAATAATGGAATTAATGGATAAAATAGAATCTAATGAGTTCCAAAAAGGTTAATCAATATATAGTACATACAGAAGTTGATTTCAGGTAAGCTTGAGCTATTATTTTTTTCCCCTGTAAATAGTCGTTGTCATCACCAAACATCAAGAAGGCGAAATATAAATTTAGAGATACAAATCTCAAACTATTAGTTAATTTCATTGTTATAAAGTAGACATTATCATATATTTATGATAAATAACAAAATTTTGAACTTGATAACTCCATTATAGAAATATATAACTACGATGCCAAAGAAGACCATTGAAGAATGGACAGATGATGCCATTGAATCTACACCATATTTGGCAAGTGATGAAAAATCTGCATCTTTTAGAGAGTCTACTCAACTGAACCAACAAGATACCGAGAATAAGATAGAAGGTCACCCTACTGTGAAACCTTGGGTACATTTTGTGGCAGGTGGTATTGGGGGTATGGCGGGCGCTATTGTCACCTGTCCATTTGATTTAGTAAAAACTAGGTTACAAAGTGATGTCTATAAAAACGTCTACAAATTTAATGCATCTAGTCATACAGCATCATCAAACTTTAAAATCGTTCAAATAGCAAGTCAGGCAGGCTTGCATTTTAAGGAAACATGCGGGATTCTTGGGAACGTATATAGACAAGAAGGTTTTAGAAGTCTCTTTAAAGGTCTGGGACCAAATCTTGTAGGTGTCATTCCTGCTAGAAGTATTAATTTTTTCACATATGGTACAACTAAAGAATTATATTCTAAAGCATTCAATAATGGTCAGGAATCACCACTGATTCATTTGATGTCAGCTGCTACCGCCGGGTGGGCTACATCGACAGCTACAAATCCTATCTGGATGATTAAAACTCGTGTTCAATTAGATAAAGCAGGTACGACCAGACAGTACGCAAATTCCTGGGATTGTTTAAAAAGTATTATAAAGCATGAAGGTGTCAGAGGTTTGTATAAGGGTCTAAGTGCGTCATATTTAGGGTCAGTAGAAGGTATACTGCAATGGCTACTTTATGAACAAATGAAATTAATGATCAAAACTAGATCGATAGAAAAATTTGGTCATGATGATGAAAAACACAAAAGTACAGGTGAAAGAGTTAAAGAATGGTGTCAAAGATCTGGTAGTGCAGGTCTAGCCAAATTTATCGCTAGTATAGTAACATATCCTCATGAAGTTGTTAGAACAAGATTAAGGCAATCTCCAGTTGAAAATGGTAAAATAAAATACACTGGATTGTTGCAAAGTTTTAGAGTTATTATTAAAGAGGAAGGTTTTAAGTCAATGTATAGTGGACTGACACCACATTTGATGAGAACCGTACCAAATAGTATCATAATGTTTGGTACGTGGGAGGTAGTAATTAGACTTCTTTCACAAATATAGAATAATTGAAAGTCGGGTACAACGAAAATGAAAATGAGACGTTTAGTCCTATTTTCAACTTCTTACTCATTCTGAAATTCATCACAATTATTGCATCATTTTTTGAATATACATGAAATTCATCACGTTAAATCATCAAGACCAAAACAGGTACATACATGCTATGAATAATTCGTTCACCTATTACTTACACTAAGAGATGTGGTACCTTATTCCATGGCTCCTTTCCATAATCATATGATTTATTCCGAATTAATATTAATTCACCATGTAGATATTTATTTTTTTATATATGGGTATAAGGATATGTAGTCGTGTTGTTATTTATAATAAGCGAAACAACAGTTTCGATCATGCATAGTAATTAGTTTGTTACTGAGTCATCTCTCTCATTCTCAGATTTTTCACCTTGTTCTTCCCCACGATATACAAAGTTGAGTACATCTTCTATCACAAATGGTGAAGAAGGTTTGATATTTTGAGATGCAGGTATGTAATCGATTTCCATCTGGTCACCCTCCATCTGTTCCTTTTTGGTCTTTAGACCCTTGAAGTTGTATTTCTCGAATTCATTCGAAAATATATCAAGAGCCCATTTTGTACACTCTTTATCCTTCTGTAGTACTTGTTTAACATTTTTTGTTGTCAGTTGAGCCTGGTCTAATCCCGACGCTTCTCTTGATTCACTGAGCCATTCATCTACTTCAGGAGTGTACTTCTTTCTTAAAAGCGTAGTTAACAACGTCTCATGTGATGTCGTCGGAAATTTAGGCAATGGATATACTACGGTAGCATCCAGTGTATCATGGAAATGTTCTAATGTGGAGGTTACGGACATCAATTGTGTCAGAGTAACATTTAGTTGTGATTGTAACGAGTACCATTGTGGTAGTTCTGCCTTCGAAAGATCATCCCTAATCTTACGAAGAGAATGTGTAAGTTGAGCTAACCTCATCCTAATTGCATCCAGTGCTTGGCTTGGAACACCTCTGAAATCCGGTTTATATGTATCGTCGTTAAGTGATAAATTCGTAGGTTTGTTCAGTATACTAGAAGAATTCTGTGACATAATTGATAGTGGGATCTTACCATATAAAGCTAATTAGAAAATGTATGATGAGTCAGTAGGTGACGGTAACGGCTATTTATTTCTCTTGGATGCCTTCTTTTTTGATGTATTCGAATCCTTTAAGTGATTTTATTTACCTGCCTTTTTTATTTCTATTTATTTTTTTTTAAAAATTCAATGAAGGGTCATCAGATTATAACGAACTCAGACGTCAGATAGCAAACAATGATAAAAAAAGGTATACAACTAATTTCTAATTACAAGTTGTAAAAGAGTGAATATTTTATAAAAGTAATTCAAAATGGATAGCGAAAGTATGTTTATCGTAGAAAATTGTAGTTTTTTTTAATTATCGATACCTTTTCCACTATGGCGATGGGATTGTAATGTTTGAAACAGATCCAGATATTAACTAGTCAGCATGATATATCCCTTTAGGGATATCTCAATAATTTGAGAAGATAAAAGACAAAAGAAGAAGTACCAAGAACGAAATAAAGAGATTCGGAAGAGTAACAGAATAGACAAACTACGAAATATTAGTAGATCAAGTTGTCAGAGGAAGATAGAAGAACTACAAAAGAAGGATACACTTTCACGAAATGAAACAACCTTCTTAGCTAAACTCAAAAATGACCTTGATTTTATGATACGAAATAAAATAGGAAAGGTGGACAATGATAAAGAAGAGGATTTAGGTGAGATATTAGGCAAAAAAAGTGTATTCTATGATCCAGATTGGAACGAAGAAGGTGTAGCTCCTCCAGGCTGTAAAAATGTTAGATATAACGAAGCAACATTCAAGAGAAGAAGAGTGGTGACTCCTAGACTTTGTGGGTTAAATGATATCCAGCTTCCATAGAATCAATTTAGGGGCCCATTATTTGTTAAGCAGTTAGTGTTACATAAGAACATTATATGTTGAACATGTGTTTGAATGCTAATGAATTGATGTACATTGTTTATATGGTGTAATTATTTATAGATATATAGATACTTCAGGATCTGAAAAGATAGACAATTACGATAATGCTTATCCTTTTATGCATCATCTACTATACTACGCGCAGGTTTCCATATGTGAGTTGTGTTATCATTTGCAACGCTACACATTAGCCAGGGGTCATGTGCATTCCACGATATATCGTTAACACCAAGCATATGACCTCCATGAACAAATATAGGTTCATTATTTGAAGAATCCCATATCTTAACGAGGCCATCCTCTTGACCTGCAGTAGCTAATATTGTGTCAAGATTTGGATTCCATTCAATTGCAGAAATAGATGAGCCGTGTTCAAACGTTGTGATTGGTTCTGTATTTAATTGTCTTATATCCCAAATATTGACGTGCCCATTTCCGTCCGCACTAGCTAGTAGCATGCTACTGAATACATTAAACCTGCAGGCATTGATCCCTCCAGAATGGTGTTTCATATCTATTTTATTCACTTCAAAATCTTTCTTCCTGGTATCCATCAACGACATTATATTACTCTCACCTGCTGCAGCAAAAAGAGATTCATGAGATGGCATCCATGTTACACAATTGGTACCCATAGCATCAAAATTAAAATTTAAGACTGTATCGGAAATATCAGGATTCTTTGTTGTATATGATTTTATATCCCATACTTTTATATCACCATTAGAATAAGATGATAGAAGTTCTCCTTCTTTTTGTTTGTTCCAATCAATAGAAAGTACTTCATTAGGTTCTAGAATATCATCCATTATGTTACCGGAAGAATCAAAACGTGCTTCATATGGTACCTGCGAATCCTGTACTTGTCTCAGTTTACGACTCCCATGTTTCGTCCTATTGAATATATATATGGAACCATCTGACGAAGCACCAGCGATCACATCTGGATTTTGGGGTAGGAAAGTTGCGCTGTTACAATCGCCATTTGGGAACTTTATAATGATATCAGTAGTCATATTTTTAGAAGGAAATTTAGTTGAGTTATCAGGTTTAAATTCCATTGTATCTATATCAAAATTATTCAATGAAGCCCAATTCAAATGTTTTGATGTTGAGATTGTGGAAATATATATTGCTTCATCGTCTGGTAATTGAGATGAGGTAAATGACGATAATAAAATTCTATGTGTATCAGTAGTTGTATCTAAATCTGGAAAGAACTCGCATGTAAGTGAGGGCCATTTTGAAGTATTGGTGTTTAAATAATCATATAGCAGTTTCGTGTTTTTCTTCCAACGTCCATATCTTTCTTGTAAATCAATTGGAATACCTGATTCCTTAGGAGGGTCGTCTATAATTTCCATTTTGAAGATGTGCCAATGTTTTAGGTAGCTATATCAGTCTTAATATGCTGCCTTTTTCAAATAATATTGAGTAACTTAAAAGTGTCAATTACGTGAATTTCAAGATGATTATCAGTTTCTTATACGCGTTAAGTAAAAGAAGCTTAAATTTTAAATTGTATAAGCCGAAATTTTGAACAATTAGTCAAATAGTTACAAATATCTAAAAATATGTAAAGAGGTGAGAGACCAAGAACACCGTGTCAATCAAGAGTTGTCATATTCATGTTTTGAGTTATAAAATGAAAAAGGCAATAATTGTGTTCAATATAATTATGTATCTGTATTTATACGTTAAAGTCATCAAAATATACATCTGTGACGAGGGAACATCCCAAGCTTACAACTAAAAAAAGAGAAGTAATTCAAAAAATGTAACCTCTACACATATCAGTATATCTTAAGTATAATGTAGTTAGCTAAAAAAAGTGCATTATGAGAATGTAGAAAAATATTTTAGCAAGTTTACATCCATTCCTTGAATTGGTTAATCAAACCGTTAGTGGAAGCATCGTGGGTGGCAACAGCAGAGGAGTCGTTTAGTTCCTTACCGATAACCTTGGCCAAGACCTTACCTAGTTCAACACCCCATTGGTCAAAGGAGTTGATGTTCCAGATAGCACCTTCGGTGAAAGTAACGTATTCGTAGTAGGCAATCAAAGAACCTAGAGTAGCTGGGGTAATCTTTTGTGCTAGGATAGAAGTGGTTGGTCTGTTACCAGAGAAAACCTTGTGTGGAACTAGACCACCAGTGGCACCTTCAGACTTAACTTGAGCTTCGTCCTTACCGACCATTAGAGCTTCTGCTTGGGCAAAGAAGTTGGAAGCCAACATCTTTTGGTGTAGCTTGTTTTCAATTGGGTTGTGGGATTGAGCAGCTAAGATGAAATCAGATGGGATCAACTTAGTACCTTGGTGAACCAATTGGAAGAAAGAGTGTTGAGCGTTGGTAGCTGGTTCACCGAATAGAATGGAACCAGTAGAGTAGTTAGCGAAGACATTACCTCTGGTGACAGACTTACCGTTAGATTCCATGGATAATTGTTGCAAGTAAGCTGGGAATCTGTGTAGGTATTGGTCGAATGGAGCAACCAAGTGAGTTTCAGCACCGTGGAAGTTGTTGTACCAGACAGATAATAGACCACCTAATAATGGAATGTTTTCTTCAATTGGAGCTTCAGTAAAGTGCTTGTCAACGGCTTCAGCACCCTTTAGGAAAGCATCGAAGTTTTCGTAACCGATGTATAGAGCAACGGATAGACCAATGGCAGACCAAACGGAGTAACGACCACCAACCCAGTTTTCGAAACCGAACATGTTCTTGGTGTCAATACCGAACTTAGCAACTTCGGTTTCGTTGGTAGACAAAGCAACGAAATGCTTAGCGATGTGAGAAGCATTGTTACCAGTGTTTTGTAGGAACCAAGCCTTAGCAGAGTTAGCGTTGGTGATGGTTTCAGCAGTGGTGAAAGTCTTGGAAGCGATCAAGAACAGAGTGGATTCAGCATTTAGGTCCTTTAGAGTTTCAGCAATGTGAGTACCGTCAATGTTAGAGACAAAGTGGACTTTAATGTCACCAGCGTAGTGCTTCAAAGCTTCAGTGACCATAACTGGACCCAAATCGGAACCACCAATACCGATGTTAACAACATCAGTGATCTTCTTACCGGTGTAACCAGTCCAAGCACCAGAACGGACTTGTTCAGAGAATTCCTTCATGTGTTGTAGGACAGCTTCAACTTCTGGAGCAACGTTAGTACCGTCAACAGTCATAGCCTTGTTAGATCTGTTTCTCAAAGCAGCGTGGTAGACGGCACGATCTTCAGTGAAGTTAATGTGTTCACCAGCTAGCATAGCATCTCTTAGACCAGTGACGTTAGCTTCCTTAGCCAATTCGACCAAAGCGTTCATGACTTCATCGTTAACCAAGTTCTTGGAGAAATCGAACATGATCTTGGAGCCATCGTAGTTTTGGAAAGTCTTAGAGTACTTAGCGAAACGGTTAGAGTCCTTAGCAAATTCGTCCTTGACGGACATGGATTTACCTTGAGCATCATAGATGGATTGTAGCTTGGACCAAGCTGGTAGGTCAGTAGCTAGACTGAAGTTAGAGAAGGTGTTTGGGTTAGCAGCAGACATCGTAACGTATATATAATTGTGCTTGTGGTGCAATAAGAAAGTTCTAAAATAAAATTTTACAATAATTAAGATAACCAAAATATTTCCAAAACATAAAAGAATTACTATTTAAAGAGAATAAGGAAGTGTTAGTATAAATAATAAGTAAAGAAGAAAAAAAAAAGGAGAATTAGTAAACTAATTAATTAACTTACAGATTCATTGAATGAAGAATGAGAAAAGTCAATCATGTAAAGCGTGCTTCTCATATTCATATATATATGAATATTGGTGCACCTTACAAACTACTTCTGGTGTGATGCCTGCCAGAAGGTACGCAAAATGTTAGTTAAGTTGGTTGCGGAAAAAAAGGGCTAGGAAGAAGAGGAGTGGCCATGAGCGATAATAGCAACATGAAGTAATATGGTGAAATTTCCCGCTTAGCAAAATGAAAAAATAAAGCAAAAAAAAAACACGCAAAACATAAAAATTGACCAAGAGATAATGATTGTAAGCATTTTACCGTATGTCTGTGGCCCGTAGCCTGTATTGTCGGCAGACCGTTGTCAGTGAGCCAGTTGTAGCAAGGGATACTGTAGCAAATTTGACTGCAAGGTGGTGGGTCCTTCGAGAGGTTCATCATATCAACGTGTATACTCTGTACTACCGCCTCCACATAATGGGAAAAACGTTATAACAGCGAAGTAGATGAGTTTAAGCTGTTCGGTATAGCACCGCCCGGGCTTCCACTAATCAAGTGCAAACATAGTTTAAAAAATGAAAAGCTCTTTCCATCTTTCTTATTCTTTCTCTCTCTCTCTTGAAAAGTCAAAGAATTTTCAAAGCGAACAGAGAAAAAAACGGCTTCCACTATTCGCAACATCACTGTCCACGGCCTGAAGAGGCCCTAACTGTGTTGATTAGGGTTGAAACATATTTCTCTTCGTCTTGCGCGATCTTCTGGATATTTGCTTGATAATCTGTATAATCACTAATATACAGAGGTTGTTTAGCAGTTGAGTGACCTGTTTTTATGTCCATATCGTCACTAATGTCACTGTAAGTTTGGCCATCTACATCACTATCGTCAGTACAACTGCTATTATTGGTGAAGATATTATGTTTGCTGAGGTTAACAGATAAATACTCTTCACTTTCAGGTATAGATTTCTTATCGTTGTTAACAAGATTCAATTTAGATAGAGATCTTGAAAGTAAATCTTTATCTTTGTTCTTAGTACGTTTTTTACGCCTCACAGGTTCTTCTTCTTTCTTTGAATCCTGTTTATAACCTTCACGACTAGTTCTAATATCCTTAGCTATACGTTCAGCTCTATTCCGGATTACATGTAGTAATGCGGCATTAGTCTCTCTTGAGACATCCAAATCTTTTTCAAACCCAGCTGGGAATACATCTTTACCTCTATTTTCAGCTGCCATCTTTCTTACATCATCAAGAGTGTCGATAGCGGACCATACACCATCTTTATCAAACTTGTCCTTAGAGCCACTACTCACAGAGTTTCTCTTTGATGGTGGCGCTTTATTATGTCTTGCGTCACTAGCATTATTTGAGGCCTTTGAACTCGAAACAGGTTGACTGTCCGATTTCTCACTTACAATACTACGTTCTAGTCCCTCAGACATCGTTGCTTATTATAGAGTTTTAAGTTATAATAAATATAATTTGATATATTGACCATTTAATAACGTGCTCAACCTATTCAAAAGAGAAATGTTGCAGAAAATTAGCAGATTTCTTCTCTCATCCCAAATATGACAGCATCTCTTATTGAACTTTACGCGCCTTCACAACCCTTTGCGCTTTTCTTGTGTTAAGCGCTGCAATAGCACTTACATACACCGCTTTTATAGTGATAAGTTAGTAACATTAATGGCCGATAATTCATCAGAGGTAAGGAAATACAAATGATAGATATATACATTTTGACTCTATATAGTTACATGGAAGGTCGAATGAAAAAATTGTATTTATTACTATTATTGTTAGATGAACATTCCTATTCTACCCACGGAATGCACCACCAGCTAAAGCTAAATTATTTCTAGTAAATTTTACTTTAAATACTGGAGTTTTCTTGGTATAAAATGTAGACATTAGATCACTAGTAGGAATAATAGCACGTCTACGGCCAAATTCCTTAATATCTTGATTTACTGATGCGGTTACATCTCCTGCGTATGCTACAAATGGTTGTTCTGGTTCTGCACTTGGTTCTGTAGTGGCTTTCTTCAAATCCCACACTCTTACAGAGTGATCCGCCCCTGAGCTTACCAATGCATTACCTTCTTTGTTAAATGAAAAAGAATGAACTGCATTCTTACCGTGACCACGCATTTGTTTTAATCTTTTACCTGTACCGATATCCCAAACATTAATGACACCATCTTCACCACCAGTACATAACCATCTACCATCAGGTGTAACTGCGGTAGTGACAACAGGAGCTGTATGACCTAAGAATAACCGTACGGAATTACCAGTATTAATATCCCACATACGACATGTCTTATCACTAGAACCTGTGAATACATAACAACCGTTAGGGTGGAAAGATATGGTGTCAACATCGTTTAAATGACCTGCAAAGATACGTAATGGATAGATGTGATCACAAGACCATAATCTTGCAGTTTGATCATGTGAAGCAGTAGCAAAATAATGGCCTAAAGGTGAGAATTTGACATCCCATACAGGGTGGTTGTGTCCTTTATAACTCACCAATGCTGTATGTGTATCTAACGACCATAATCTAACAGTCTTGTCCTCAGATCCCGATAATAAAAATCTATTGTCAGGTGAAAAATCTGTAGCATATACGGCACCACTGTGACCCACCAACGTGCTTGTTGTAGGGTCTGTTCTCAACATTTCTTCGCGTTTATGACTTGGTATTTTATTAGTCACTAAAGATGAACCATCTAATGACCATAATTTAATTATACTATCCTGAAACCCAGTAGCAGCCAGACGACAATCATCACTGAAATCCAAAGATGTCATGTCTCTATTGGTGTTGTGGAAAGTATACATACATACACTTGGTTGAGCAATCTGTAAGTTTCCTAACTCAATAGCCTCACGGGACTCCTTAATCTTTTGAATCTCAAATTTTAAATCTAATGATGTCTTTGGTGGTAGTGGTAAACTATCTATTGACGGCGATTTCATAGAAATATCATCTTTAGCAGGTTTCTGAGCTATCAATTTTACCTTCGATAATGAATCTGAATCAGATTTTAACGATATATCTTTATTATCGCCTGAAGTTCCTTTATCATCTTTGGCCTTCGACTCATCTAATATTTTGTCTTCACCATTTTCCTTCTTCACATTTTCTGATTCACCACTTTTGAATGGCATATCCTTCATGTCTTGATATTCATCTAATAATGTTTTCTTTGGTGGTTCAACAATACTATCTGTTGAGCCATTTTCACCCTCTTGTGCAGAATGCTTTGGAATATCATCACTGCTAGTACCTGGTGTTTTATCTTTTTCGTCAGTTTCCTTGCTGGTTGATGCTGTATCTCTATCAGTTGCCGAACTAGCATTCATTCTAATGATTTGTTGTCTCTCTTGATCGTCTTTAATCCTCAACTCAGTTTCGATTTCTTTAGTAAACTCTTTGTCTTGTGGATATGGTCCCAAGGTGACTGGTGCAGAGTTAATCTCTAATGTTACATTTGCATTTGCACTACTGTCATTTGCTAAATTCTTAATACCATCGGATAATCTATCCTTCAACGATACTGTAGTGACAATATTTGGTTGAATATGTTCATTGATGACACCTATTAGTAATGAACCACCAACAGATTCATTTTCATTAAGGAAATATAATAATAAGTTTAGGGTTGTTCTTGATAAAGTGATTCTATATTTATTTGAAACAAAGGTATTTGCTACTTCATTTTCCTTGATATGATCAATTGAGTTAACACTGAACAATCTATTGATTTCTGTACTGTGTAAAACTTTAAAATCTGCTGAAAATTTATCGAAAAATCTACGTGCCACAATTCTATTTTTTTTGACAAGGTTTAAAAACAAATAAATAAAAATGGGGTACATGATATTGTTTAACTCAGGTTTGTATATCTCGATGGACGCATCGACCCAATTTTTCAATAATGAATAAGCTCTGATGTAACTTTCAGGGGACGTTTCTTTCTCTAATTCTTCGCGAGATATTATATCACCTTTATTATCTCTCTTTGCTGGTACACCTTGTTCGTTTTTAACCTTATTGGCAGGTGTCGTTGCTGTGGCTGGAACATTAGATGAATCCTCTGTTGGATTACTTACTGGATCAATGATTTTTCCTGTCACTGGAGGTTTTGTCGATGGTTCAGGAAGAGTACCATTCTTTGTAGTCCCAGGTGAGTTCTTGTTAGGCGGTGTTAAAGTTCTCCCACTTTCTGCTCTTAGCATTGCCTCTGTTCTGTGATAACCTTTTTTATTTAGATACTCAAGGACAATTCTGTTTAAATCCTGAGCGGAAAACTGACCATTGGGCCTATTCGCTTGACCCTGTGGTTGTCCTTGTTGTGTAGTCCCATTGGTACCACTTCCACCTGTCTGTTTAGAGTTCTTTCCATTGGTAGTTGTACTCCGTGCACTCTTGTTACTTGTTGTTCCCGTTGTTGTCGTTGTTGCTACTGATGTAGCGGGCAATCCACTAGAGTTCCCATTTTTTGTAGTAGCAGTTGTTGCATTGGTATTTCCCGTTTTTGCAGTAGAACTATTAATTTCATCTGAACCATTAGTTTGAGCCATCTTTCATAAAGTTTATATTCTAACTATAGTTGAGAGATTAGTTTTTTAAAATGTAAAACAGATATAACTAAAAAATAGCACAATGATTTAAGAGTTCTCACTAGAAACACTTGCCGCGCTCAGTAATGATATAAGGTTACTGTTCTAAAACGAAAATATCAGTCAAACGTATTTTTGTCTCTCTCTTTCTCTCTTTTTTAATATCTTTGTTCTTGTTATTATGATATCACTTTTAACTATTAATTCCAATTTTTCTCTCAGTTGGAAATTATTAACAAAGAGACAGAAATTTCCGCCTCGCGTAATCAAAGGATATTCTCACTCCGTACGAGAAAGGATCTCTAGATGCTTGTGAGTCTTTCTTTGTTCTTTTAATAAATCATAAGCCATTCATTTAAATTTTATAAAGATGACAGGTTTAAGACTTATGTAAAACGTTTATTTAACTAAGTTGAGAGACAGGTTTTAGCTTTCATATATTTGTTGAAGGAGACTGTAAGACATATATATATATATATTGTGTGATCAATGAGGTTACTGTTATCCATGTGTCGCAGACGGTTTAGTCTGCGCACAATGTTTCTTGGCATTCTGGTGATGGCGGTATTATCCATTATATTTGTCATGACTGTTGGTTCCAATGATTCTATTAATTATGATGAATATTTAGGGACAGTTAAAGATCATGCTAATAACGTGATAGAATATGTTGGAGATAAAATTGGTTATTTTGGAAATAGTGATACTTTGCAACCTGGCTATGTTTGGGAGAATCATTATTATGATGAAGAAACCATATCACAGTTATTAACTAGGATAGATACACCTTTATTTCCTGAGGACCAAGTTAATAAGGCTAATATCAGAAAAACATATCAAGAAAATTTGAAACTATATAGAGACACTATCTCAAAGGAAATTGATGAACCACAAGTTGAAGATTTAGTTCGTGATAATGGATCGAATTTTAATGCAGGAAATGCAGTTCCTGCTACAATATTATCTCTTGTAAGAAATGAAGATTTAAATGAATTAATAGAATCAATTAAACAAATAGAAGAGAAATTTAATGCTAAATTTAACTATCCTTATACTTTTTTAAATGATAATGAATTTACTGAAGAATTTAAAGAGAGTGTTCGCCATTTATTACCAGATGAACGTGAAGTACGTTTTGGTAAGATAAGTGAAGAGGATTGGAATATACCAGAAATTGTGGATAAAGAAAAATACAAACAAGGTATTGAATTATTAGAATCGGAAGGTGTCTCTTATGCATCTAAAGAATCATATCACAATATGTGTAGATTCTACTCTAGAACTTTTTACAAACATCCTTTGTTAAAAGATATCAAATATACTTGGAGATTAGAACCTGGTGTGAAATTTTATTGTGATATTGATTATGATGTATTTAAATTTATGTCAGATCATAATAAAATTTATGGATTTGTTTTAAATTTATATGATAGTCCACAATCCGTTAAGAGTCTTTGGAAGGATACAAGATCTTTCTTACAAGATAATCCGGATTATATTAATGAAGAAGGTTCCTTTGACTGGATCAAAGAGAATATGCAAAAATCGGTTAATTTTAATATTACTGAAGGTTATTCAACTTGTCATTTTTGGACAAATTTTGAAATTACTAATTTAGATTTCTTAAGATCTGAACCATATGAAGCGTATATGGATTTTTTGGAATCGAAAGGTGGATTCTATTATGAAAGATGGGGAGACGCGCCAGTCAGAAGTCTTGCATTAGGTTTATTTGCTGATAAATCACAGATTCATTGGTTTAGAGATATTGGGTATAATCATTTCCCATACACAAATTGTCCAAACTCTGCTAAATGTGACAAAAGATGTTCACCCGGTTCATTTACACCATGGAACGATTTAGAGATAGAAAATTGTCAGGCAACTTGGATGAAATATAGTATGACAGATGATGATTTGAATCTCTATTATAAGAAGAAAGACGACTGATTTATGAAAAAAGGAAGTTGGCAGTCTGAATAATCCCAATAGACAATTCTATAAATAATCTTACTATGATTGTGAAATTTTTTTTTCTCTACATATACAGCGACTTAATAAAAAATTATATAAGGCTAAAATCAAACAAATTGATGAAAGAATTACCTTTCCATTGTTAGCACTCAAGATATGTATAATAATTCCTGCTGTCATATCCTGTAATTGGAAGGCGTTGTTGCTGTCCGGCCAGACATTTTATCACTTGGCTGAGCCCTTCATTCTATAAAATTGTGCATCTGTACTTTGTTTATCCGGCGCGTGAAAGAGAAAAAATTAGATATGGGAAAATTGGATAAATACAAAAAGAGTTGGACGGAATTGGACTTAACAGGATGGCTAGATGCACCGAATTTTGTTCACTTTGAATTAAAAGTTGACATTGTTTTCTCTGCAAGAAGTTTATATTTAGAAAGAGTAAGAACTATTTTCATAATACCTTAGAGGATATCGTTAGTACCTCATTATATTAGTTTCTTCTATTAGTTGTTGTCGTCTTCTTATAAGTCATTTATTTACGGCAGTGTGACATTTAATTATTTCTTTGTGTTTGTGAAATTCTTATCGAGATCCTTATAAATATATTAAAATTTGGAGAAAAAACAGATATTAGTTTTGCAATCTATTTTAAAAAAGAAAAGTTTCAAGTAGAAATAAAGATATTGTTTTGACAAGTAACAATAGTGTGTTTGTGTGTGTTTCTTTTACCATATATTATATAACTGAAAAATGTTGAAAAATTTCAAATTATCCAAGAGAAATAGCGACTCTAAAGGAAGAATCACTTCTTTGGATATTTCCACTCCAACTAATTTATCAGAACCAAGTATAGATGCTTCATTCAATATGAAGAACGGTTCAGGTCTATATGGTACCGAATCTGGAAAATCTTCAAGTAGATTATCTTCCTCATCGAAAAGGTTATCCTCAAAAAGTAAACATTCATCTCCAATAAAGGGCACTTCAGCAGTTGCCTCAGGTCCTGATAGAGTCATTAAGGCTTTACATCATTATAATGCAAAATCGAGTAAAGAACTTTCTTTTGGTAGAGGTGACTTCTTTTATGTTACCAGTGATAGAGGTGATTGGTATGATGTAACAAATCCTGCTGCAGGAAAGAGTGGATTAGTACCGAAATCTCTTTTCGAAGTAATAGATAAAAGATCTTCGTCTACATCTAGTATGGGCAATACATCCTTGACAGGTTCACAGAAAGGAGGTAAAAAATTTGGTTCTCTTTATGCGATTGTATTATATGATTTTAAAGCAGAAAAATCAGATGAATTAACAGTACATGTTGGAGAAAATTTATTCATTTGTGCGCATCATAATTATGAATGGTTTATTGCTAAACCTATAGGTAGATTAGGTGGTCCAGGTTTAGTTCCTGTAGGTTTTGTAAGTATTATAGACATTGCTACTGGCTATGCAAGTGGTAATGAAATTGGGGATGATATCGCTTCAGTGAATCTTCCAACGGTTCAAGAATGGAAATCTAATGTCGCAAAATATAAAGCAAGTAATATCACATTAGGGCAATTTGAAAGTGATTATAGTCAGGATGTGGCTATGTTTGATGATATGAATAACACGATATCTCAAACAAATGATGGATTACCAGCATTTGCTAGTGAAGCTGATGATTTGAATACAGATTATTTGATTAATTCTGCAGTTTCTTCATTCTCCTTTGAAGATGAAAAATATTGGTATGAAGTTAACTGTGAATTATCCAATGGTAGGTTTAGAAAGTTAAAACGTTCATATCAAGATTTTTATGATCTACAAGTTCAGTTATTGGATAAATTCCCAGCAGAATCTGGTAAATTAAGGGATAAACATGGGCAATGGACTAAGAGAATTGTTCCTTATATACCGGGACCTGTTCCATATGTTACAGATTCTATTACACAAAAGAGAATGGATGATTTAGATGTTTATGTCAAAGAATTAATTAAATTACCAGAATATATTTCCAATTCGCCATTAGTGAATCATTTATTTAAAGTAACAGATAATGGTTATGACACAGAATATAGCTCAGAAGTTCCAAGTCAATCGGAACTTCAAGATATAGATGAAAATAAATCTGAAGACCATTTCGATTCAGATGGACCAAGACGTGTATTATCATCAAGGAAGAGTAGCCGAGCAAGTAGTAATAATAGGAGAGTAAAAAATGAGGATAGCACTTTAACTGGTGAAGATTTGAAGATGTACAACAGACTATCTAAATTATCTTTAAGCTCATCAAAACCAAAATCTAGACCACCAAGTGCATTACCACCTGTAATTAAACCAACTAAGATTAAGTTTTATTATAAAGATGATATTTTTGCACTATTATTAAACCACGATGTAAACTTTATTGAATTACGTGAAAAGATCGCACCAAGAGTTGAGAGTGATGACTTTAAGCTATATGTTAAACTTGCTGAGGGTGATGCTGAAGAAATTAGAACGGACGCTCAAGTATCTCAAATAATTCAGGCTAAATTAAAGATATCTGTCCATGACACTTAAAGCATTTGAAGGACAAAATGGAAGTTATTCCGTTTAGGGACTAAGTATATAGTTAATTACTGAGATTGTTTATCCTAAAACTTTGATCAATATGCTATGTATTGGTGATTTTGAGGCTGTTGGATATTTCAATTTTGTAGTTGTGATTGTTCGCCTGTTGAGGTTATGGAACTTTTTTTTCTCAGTTGTACTTCGTACATCTGATGAGATGGACATTTTTAAAAGTGTATATGTATTATTCGTATTTTCTTCAATTCATTTATACATCTGATAAGTTGTTAATATTATAATTAAAATAATCGACTCAACATTTGCAAAGAAATTTAAGAAATAACAAAAACTAATAAATTTTTTAGTTTTGGACTCGGTTAGGAAAATCAAAGATATAGTGCTAAACGTAAATATTAGTATAAAGTGATATCACTTATTTTGATAAATAAAGTACAAGAAAAGTATATTCTTGAAAAATATAAAAGTTTGATGACAGTAAATTACGATACTTATTGATAAAATTCCTCGTTTCTATCTTGTTGAGCATTGATTATATTTTTTCTTTTCATTCATTTTTATTATACAGATATTATACAGATAATTCTTCTTAATGTATTTCGGAAAGAATTATTTAATATACAGATTATGTATTTGAAACCTCTGTCTTTATACATTTACGAATTTAGCAGTGTGTTTGTCAACCTTCACATTTATGAACTTCTTATTCAAGTATCGTCTTATAAGCCTATTCAATTAAAATAATTGCGCACAATATTCTATGTGTTATGTAATTAAGGTTATATTAGTGTTCCTAATCATTAATTATGATGCTCATGCGGACACCTTATACTATATACCCTTAAAATATTCAGTTCAGTACTTATATATGTCCAAAGAAGATATTTCTCGCTAACTTCTATTTCCCATAATTAGAGATTATAAAGTCGATAGTGCCACTTCCCAGGCCTATATAACGAAATGAATTAAAAATTATTTACAACTACTTTTAAACATTACAATGAATAAAATTAATTACTTTTTCTAAAAAAGGAAACTAATCTATATATTAAGTTAGTTATACATGAATCTGATTTATCTGATCCTCTACTCATTTGTCACACATTTTCAGTTATTATGTTAGTTGGTTACATCGCTGCTTATTAGATGCGCCTAATGATCTTTGAAAAATAAACACCGTGCTTATTATAAAGGGCTCAACACAGTAAACTGAACACTTGTTATTAAGCTAAGTAAGGAAGAACTCAGTAGAGGTTAAATTAGTGTTGAAGAGAAGCTACAGGAGTACCAATAGAGCTATATTCTTGTTTGAATTATGGATGTTATTGCTTTAAACATATTTGCGGATGTACCCATTGTTACAAAATGTTGGACAATAGGTTGTATTACTGTTCTAATATTGACATCATTAAATTTAATCGATCCAGCTAAACTAATATATAGTTATGATTTAGTGTTTAAAAAGGGGCAATACCATCGAATACTCCTATCTGTATTTAATTATGGTACTTTAACATGGGCTACAATTGGTAATATTCTGATATCGGCGAATCATTTATCATTTCTCGAATCCTCATACAATGAACGTCGTAGATTCATATGGTTGATTACCGTACTTCTAACATTAATAATTACGATGACTCGATATTTTTTACCAATGTCATCTCTAGGAATGATCCTTCATGAAAATTTATTGAATTTCCACTTTAAGAAACATGCAGAAGAAATGAATGGTGGAGGAATTGCTGGATTTATTATTGCAGCACCATTATTACCTTATTTAATGTACTTTAACATGTATTTTTCTCAAGGTTTATCTCTTTTAGAGATCAGTATAAATTTTTTACCAGCACATCTGATTTATTATTTAGATGATATTGTTGGTAAATTATATGACGTCGATTTAATGAAACCACCTTATGATATGTGGTTATCATTTCAAAATTGGAGATTAAAAGATAACACGAACAATGAACTTTCTATAGATAACAATGAACAGGTCAATTAAGAAGGAAAACAAAAATAAAAATAAAAAGTCATAAATATCGAAGACATTAAAATATTTATATTATGGTTGGTATCTAAAGAAAAATATTTTTTTCATACCAACATACAATTTTCGAAATTACAGAAGCATTGCCTAGAGGAATTCCTAAATTGGTACTCAAAACTAAAACAGCAACAACGACAACAACAAAAACATAAATGCATCATTATTAAATATTTTTTTTACTGTATAGTTATTTAGTTATTAAATATAGACATCTTATACATCAAGTTAACCGTTTTTAGTTACGTTTATATTAAAAATAATATTATTTTAATTTTTTTATTTTATTATAAATTATACGAAACCGTAACTGATACCTGTATCTATTGGTATACTCTTGTTATAACATCTTCTTTTTTGTGATTCGTAAGCTGGCAATGAGAATGGTAAAACCAAACTCAATGAAACGTACACTACATTCCAATTACCATTTTTTTTTATAGTTATCCCACGATTTTTGAGTAAAGACAAACTCGTTGTATATAATGTGGTTAAAAATTTTAATTTGAACTGCTTTTGTTTTAATATAGTATTAGGTAACATATTTCCTTAAAAATTTACAATAATATTGATCCTTTTATTTATAATGAGATAGCAAAATTTTTGTTAAACTTGCATTCTAAAATTTTCTCCACTTAGAGTTATCAAATTTCATACATGTATGACATATAAACTAATGAAAAAAAACTTTGATTCACTCTATATATATATACAGCATAATCTTTTTCATTTTTCCTAATTGAAGATAAATTGAAGTATCACTAATTTCTTGAAACAATTTTTTAGTTTTCCTGCAATAAAAAATTCTTTGCCATGGCAACCAGCTACCGGAGCACAAAAAATGATTCGCACTGTTCTTTTTAGGTAATCGAAATCATAATAAATTAGTAATCTAATACTAAAACGTTTAGAAAGAAAGAAAAAAAACACAGTTCAGAAAAACAGGACAGAACAGCTAGTAGACTTCAATTGGGCCCCATGTTTTAATACAGATAAAAAGTTAGAAATGTATGGAGTGGCGTAATCTATTGGGACAATAAATTACAAAAAAAAGAAAAGATAGAAATAAAATGTGCATTTTTTTGCAATGAAATAATATACTGTTGAGGTTACCATGGAGATAAAAAACCCCTACAAAAGAAGTAAAGTGCTGGTAATTTAAATTTTTTACTGTTCAGTAGGTATAATGGGATAACAAGTAACCACAGTTATAAATAACTTTCGATTAATTGTTGCTTGTGCAAGACAGAAAACTTTTAGAAGTACGTAACTCCCATCATATACCCCGTATAGATGGGTGAAATCATATATCTTGATAAAATTATCCATTAAAAAAATTCATAAAGTAGGAAACGACTTGTTGATTAAATTCTATGATGAACCTTTATTAATTTATATATATATATATAGCACTGGTAAAAATCATTGTGCTCAACGTATTAAGTGATAAAACTGGCAGTCGCCAAACGGGAAAAAAATGAAAACATCGAGAAATTATATTACCCGATTAGGAATAATTGCAGTATCGGGGCTCCAAGAAGGACTTTTTTTTATATTTTCTTTCATTGGAAGCGTTTTCAGACCTTTTTTAAATAACTTACATACACAATTCCTACTGGCAGTGTGAGGTTTTTATATATTTATTTGAATCGTTTTTTGGTCATTAACAATTCATTTACTCGATCACTATACTAAATTCTTTGGTTTAAAGTTTATTTTACCAACTTGAAGGAACAACAACAACTGTTTTTCTCTATCTGGATAATATATTCAATTTGCAACGCTTACTCAAAGTAAATAAAAAAAACATAACGAGTACGAAATCAAAAAGCAAAAGACAGTACTTTTAGAGACAATTAAGATATATTTGAAAAACACAAGTACAATCGTAAATAGAATCAATCATATAAAATGAATGCTGCTTTACCTTCGTTACAATTGAATATTGATTATACAGCTTTGAAGGCAGATATCAATGATTTCTTATCACATTTCAAACAGGATGTTACCACTTTAGAAGACGAAGACGAAGACGTAGATCTTGATGAAGAGATTGGCAAAGGTCCTAAATATATGAAAATGCTACAAAAAGTTGCAAATAGAGATCTAAATACTATTTTAATTGAATTAGATGATGTATTACAATTTCAAAATGAAAAATTTATTTCAAATAGTACTACAAGTAATATTGATCTAGTTTCGAACATTGAAGAAAATGCTCAACATTTTACAGAATTATTTTCTCGTGTTGTAGATGATTTATTACCATTACCAACTAAGGAGATCAACTACAAAGATGATGTCCTAGATGTTATATTGACTCAAAGAAGACTAAGAAATGAAAGATTAATCTCTGACAGATCTAATGAATTAAGAACTGAACATTCTTTAGGAAATGAAAATGATCCGAACTCTTCCCAATCACAGGCTTTAAGAGAGATCGCAGAAGATGAGACAGAATTATTCCCTGCAAACTTAACCAGGCGTTATTTCTTATATTTTAAACCTTTAACAAAACGTGCTGCCTATCGTCATCACAAGAACGGTATTAAAAGACATACTTCAAAACCATTATCTGTCAGACAAGTTAAAGGTGATTTTATTGGTCAACTGATCACTGTTAGAGGTATTGTCACCAGAGTGTCAGATGTCAAACCTGCAGTTACGGTGATAGCGTACACTTGTGATCAATGTGGTTATGAAGTTTTCCAAGAAGTCAACACAAGAACTTTTACACCTTTGACAGAATGTTCTTCTAAAGAATGTGCTCAAAATCAAACCAGAGGTCAATTATTTATGAGTACAAGAGCTTCTAAATTTAGCGCATTCCAAGAATGCAAAATCCAAGAATTGTCTCAACAAGTCCCTGTTGGTCATATTCCAAGATCTCTAACTATTCATGTCAATGGTAATCTTGTAAGATCTTTGACTCCCGGTGATACTGTCGATGTTAGTGGTATCTTTTTACCTTCTCCTTACACCGGTTTTAGAGCTTTGAAAGCCGGTTTATTAACCGAGACATATCTGGAGGCTCAGTTCGTTCTTCAACATAAGAAGAAATTCGGTTCTTTTGCCTTAACACCAGAGGCTGAAGCACGTGTGGCTGATATTGTTTCTGAAGGTGATGTTTACAATAGACTAGCTAAATCCATTGCCCCTGAAATTTATGGTAACTTGGATGTTAAGAAAGCCTTATTATTACTATTAGTTGGTGGTGTCGATAAACGGGTTGGTGATGGTATGAAGATTAGAGGTGATATTAATGTTTGTTTGATGGGTGATCCCGGTGTTGCCAAATCTCAATTATTGAAATCTATCTGTAAGATTACTCCAAGAGGTGTTTACACAACCGGTAAAGGTTCTTCAGGTGTTGGTTTAACTGCTGCCGTGATGAGAGATCCAGTGACGGACGAAATGATCTTAGAAGGTGGTGCCTTAGTTCTTTCAGATAATGGTATTTGTTGTATTGATGAATTTGATAAGATGGATGAAAGTGATAGAACCGCTATCCATGAGGTCATGGAACAACAAACCATCTCTATTGCTAAAGCTGGTATCAACACTACATTGAATGCTAGAACATCTATCCTTGCTGCAGCCAATCCTGTCTATGGTAGATATAACCCAAGATTATCACCATTAGAAAATATTAATCTACCTGCTGCTTTGCTCTCTAGATTTGATATAATGTTCTTAATGTTAGATACACCAGAGAGAGAAAGTGATGAAAAACTTGCTGAACATGTTGCTTATGTTCACATGCATAATAAACAACCAGATTTAGATTTCGAACCAGTGGATTCCTCAAGAATGCGTGAATTTATTGCATTTGCAAAGACAATGCGTCCAATCCTAAGTGATGAAGTTAACGAATATGTGGTACAAGCTTATATTCGTTTAAGACAAGATTCTAAACGTGAAATGGATTCTAAATTTTCATTTGGTCAAGCTACGCCGAGAACATTGTTAGGTATAATTAGAATGTCACAAGCATTAGCCAAACTAAGATTATCAACAACTGTTGATATTGATGATGTCGAAGAAGCTTTAAGATTATTACGTGTCTCTAAGGAATCTCTATATCAAGAAAAACGTCAAAACCGTGAGGATGAAAATCCAACCACTAAAATATTCACTATCATTAAGAAGATGTCTCAAGATAGTGCTGGTATACCTGGTCGTGAAAGTAATGCATTATCATATGATAGTATTGTGAAGACTGTAAGATCTAGAGGTTTCACTATGTTACAATTGACTAACTGTATCCAAGAATACAGTTATTTGAATGTATGGCATCTAATTAATGATGGTACAGTGTTAAAGTTTGTTGATGACGAGACTTTAGAACCTCAAACACAGGAGAGATCCCCATTAGGCAATACTCCAGTTCTAACAGCGGCTGCTGCTGAAGATGAGGACCAAGAAATGGAGTAATTGTTTTCGAATAAAGCGTTCTTGAGCAACAACAACAACACCAACTTTTAGAAGTTAAACCAAAAGATTAAAAACAAAATAAAATATGTGACATGGTTGAGTAAGCCTAATCTAATGTGCTACACACCCTTACTCTTCCACATCCATTTGTAATATAAAATATTTAAATAAAACTCGAATACTTATCGTCTGTAACTACTATTATCTGCCTGCCAAAACGATCCGAACACTGACCGGATCGGCCGAATTCTCGGATATTTTCTTCGTTTATGAACCGGTCCCTGCTCCCTGCGGAGAAACTACCGCACACATCGAGATTCCCACAGAAACTCCGGGGGCGAAGCTTTATAGGTGCGGGGTACAGCGGCAAGGGCACACTGCTACGGCTATTTCTCTGGAGAAGAAGAATCAAGATGGAAACGAAAAAAAAATGGTCAGCTTATGCCCAGCCTGACTTGACCTTTCCTGTCAGAGACATCCGTAGAGGGTGGTCTAAAGGGGGGGGAGAAAAGTTTTCCTGGTGGGGTTTATTTGGAATCAAATGGTTCTCCTTCTTTTATCTGGGGAACAATATGGAAGGATAACACACATATCTCTCCAAATATACAAATATATATATATATCTATATATGGGGGAACAGGAGTAGATGTGAATTAAATGAAAAAAAAAGTTTCTGATATTTAATAACAAATTGGTTCTTGGATAAATCTGTAACTAGTTTAATTCTTAGCTGTATTCTATACGTCTCGGTGCTCAATTCGTATTTCATTAGAAAGAGAATAAAGAAATTGGGGTGGTAAACTGCAGGTACCAAGAAGAAGGAAGGCAAAAAAAACAAGCAAACATGGCTTGGGGAAGTTCCAGCAAATTGCAGAAGGTGAACATTGTGAGTAACAATTACTCAAGGTATGGAACCTCAGTTTACAATAAATTATATTCAGATTCTTCAAATGCTAAGAGAGAGATCAGCTCAACTCCGCCATATAGATATGGTACTGTAAGGAGTAATAATAATAGTAGTAGTAGTAGTACTGCCACTACTAGTAGCACTCGCAAGCATATTGCAACTTCAAGTACTCCTATCAAGCATTTAGATTCGAATAAGAGTAATAATAACAATAATAATAATAATAATAATAATAATAACAATACACTTAATGACGTCGAAACTGATTCTCAGAAGAAATCCAAATCTAAATCGAAGATGAGATCTAAATATAAATCTTTGATTACATCATCTTCAAGAAAGATTAAGAGTAAACTTAGAGATTCTTCGTCTGATTCATTTTCAATTTTTTCTTCAAAGTCACATAATAGTACAAAGAAAAATAGACGTAAATCGATATCATCGTCTATGAAAAATGCTGCAGGGGGTTATTCGGTTGAATTATTTCCCGTAGTCTTCTCAGAGAAATTGGCAGATATTAACGAATTACCATCTGAAATCCTGACTCATATGATGTCTGTGGAAGGTGTATCTACTCAGGATATATTATCCCTTGCATTGGTCTCTAGAAAATTTAACGAAGCTGCTAATTTAGTATTATATAGTAAACCTGATTTTACATCGACTTATAGAGTAGCACAATTTGTTACATCATTAAGACTACATCCAGAGAATGGGAAATATGTTCGTTCTTTAGATTTATCTAATTTAAAAAATGGAATAATTTCCAAAAATGTTAATGATAATAACTCAAGAGAGAATAGTCCTCCACCGTCACAAATTGTTGGTCCAGACTACTTTGATGATAATATTGCATTTGCTGGCTGGAGAGATTGGAGGCATAGAAACGATGCCCCTGCATTGAACAGTTATATGCTAAAGAGAACAATTTCTAGATCATCTTCAATATCTTCCATGGCATCTTCTTCAGCTACATCAGTTGTGACTAATGGTAACTCATCAATAGGTCCTTTGGATAATAATGACAAATCTCTAGGATCTCGTGGGAGAACAAGATCATCAAGTTCAGTAAGTTCTATTACAAGTAGTATTATGTCTACATTTCAGAACAATTCTCATGTATCTTTAACCTCGACTACTTCTAATCCTTCATCAAGGTCATCATCAAGAAAGAGAAGTAATTCCACTGTTTCATCCTCAAGACAAAGAGCTAATTCCGTCATTTCTTTAAATGGGACACTTACTCCAACTATGAAGCAAACAGCTAACGATAACTCTCTAAATAATAACTCTAGTTCAATGGGATCTATCTCAAAATGGTACAATATGAAATTGAGATCAAAACATAGAAGAACTGGCTCTTCTTCTTCCGTAATTAGAGCTAGACAAGAGCGAACACCACCACCTACAACACTAATACCTGCTGCAACACCAACAACGACGATAATGGAACCTACATCATCAATGGCATCAACTGCTCCAAATCAAGATTTCTCTTCCGCTGGTAATGGTATCTTACAAAAGGAGTCTATTCAAACGTCATCACAGTGCTCACAAAATAACAATCCTTCGATTTCATTCATCCTAGACAAACCTATAAAATTACGTCACCCATATACCAATAGAACATTATTGAAATATGCTCCCTATCGCGATCTTCCACTAGGTTATATCCTTCATATATTAGACCATTGTCCAAACTTAGAAGATGTTAATTTATCTAATATTGTTCTATTCAATGATTTTAAAGTGATTAATCGTACACCAACAAGAAAAGTAAGTTCTTTATTGTTGCCTGCAGTTAGAGAATCCGAAATAGCTTCTTCAGCTGAGGACTCTCTCGAGGTAGTTTATATGACCGATTCAAACAGGAATATAGAAACTTACGATCAAATAAATGATGATGGTTCAATTATCGAACATAGAAGAAATTCAAGTGTTACAATTAATAGTCTTTGGTATACCTCAGTTACTTCAAAACCTAACGATTACCCTAAAGTTATTGACTCACAAACAAAAAATAGAGAAGGTATGAGACGTCACTCGAAGAATAGAGACCAATTAATCAAACTAAATCCATCTACTATATTTGAAAGTTTATTGGATATTAATAAATATGGTTCTTTGAAAACTCTACGTATGGATGGCAGTGTCTGGTGTAGACAATATATGGTAAAATATTTTATCTTAGATACTTTTTCAAAAAATGACAAAAAAAGAGACTACGAAGATAAATCGTTATCTTTAAGCTTCTTAAAATCAGGTATGAATAGAAACTTTCCTTGGTCCTGCAAAGGTAATTTACATGATGTGACAACCATTATTGTCCTTGATGAGATATTAAAGATGGATGATTTCCAATTAGAAGAATTGTATAGAATCAAAACAGAAAAATATTATGAATCTATGATGAAGACTCATGATCCCTCAATTCTTGAAACATCAAATATCTTACCAATAAAATATGGTAACACCGAAGATGAGATGAATAACATTAATTTTAGATTGACTGTCATTAAATGTGATCACCCAACTACTTATAAGATATCGAGAGTTACGTCTCAAAATGTTTCCATTTGTGTAAGACTCTGCATGGATGAAAACTCCAACAGGGTTACATCACAGAATGAGCACTTACCAAAGGATCCAATTCAAAGAATTGATCGTTTGTCCCATGCATTAATTGCAAGAGTGCGTGAATTAAGAAATACTGAGTTAAGGAGAAATATTGGGGAGAATAACTACTGCAGAGGTGATTAATGCAAGACCTTCAAAATAGTAACAGTAGCAATAATTTAAAAACTTCTTAGCACCAATTAATACAAGATGCTGATAATCAATTTTAGCAAAACACATAAATCAAAAATAAAATCTAAAAAAAAAAGGAGACGACAACTGCCTCCTAACATTCCAATACATTTCATTACATCCTATATATATATACAACAAAAACATACACATATACATACATTTATGACCTATGATTGCATTTAATATAATATAATTTTTTTTTTCAATTAAGATGAAATTTATAAAATAAGAAGCTGAATATGTAAAAATCTAGATAGTTGATTTGTTTAGAGACTAATATGGTCTTAAATTTATAACTTTTTCACGACATCCTTAAGAAATATTTCACATATCATCTCTGGACGATCGAAACAAATGTTATGAGCACAATTCTCAATAATCTCCAATTTTTTGTCATCTACAATTGGTAAAGTATCTGAAAATTTTTGAATGTCAGATATAGGTGTGACCACATCCTGATTTCCACCGATAACCAATAATTTAAGAGAAGACTTCAAATTTTGTGATTTTATAATGGCCTCTATATTTTTCCAGTCAACTTGTTCCCAACCTCTTAAATAACCAACAATACTTTTACTTTTAATTTGAATATTATTTTGATATTGCCATAATTTTCTATATTGTAAATCAATATTATCATTTGAATTGTTATGGAAGAAATCTCTAATTCCAGAACTTTTCAAACCTTTACTTTGATCAAAACGAGTTCTATAATAATCAAATGCAAAAGGGAATATAGATAGAGCGTATAATATTAATCGAGTAAGGGTATAACCTTTCCGTAGTTGCGAAATATATAACTTAGGTGGTGCTAATAAGATCAGAGACAAAACCTTAAATTCGTCAACATATTTTTGAAAATAATGCAAAGATATATAGCAACCCATCGAATGTCCAATAATATTGAGCTTACAATTCTTTATATATCGGTTATTGTCTTTTAATATTCCAATTAGTATTTCGTGAGCTATCTCTACTATAGTATTCATTGAATAATCATTGTACTCTTCACTTTTCCCAAATCCTGGGAGATCAATAGCAATAAAATATCTATCACAGAGATCATCCAACCTGAGTAATGGTTCGAATTGTTCTAGATTCCCTCCCAATCCATGAATGAAGTAATCTATTATTACATCATCTTCATTAGTATCAAATATTCTCGAGAGGTTATGGCTGACTCTAATTTTAGTACTACGAATTGTCATGTAAGATTCATGTTCCACTATAAATTTAGTCCTAAAATCATTCGAAGAAGTTGCAACTTGCGATGCCAATTGAGGCCCATCAGTACACGAATCTACAATATCCTTAATACCTTTGTTCGACATTGGCTGTCCACCTAGAGAACAAGCTTCTTGAATAATATCCAAGTCATGTAAATCATCATCATCCGTTGCTCCAAACATCAATTCCTAAAATATGAAAGACAATATACAACTACTCCCTAGAAATACGACACTATCAAGAACATTATTCTAAAATAACTACAACCATAATTTCAGTCACTAATCTAAAATGTAGTCATCTGCTCTCTTTCCCTTATTCCTGTTCCATCTTTATGGTTTACTACTGCCACATTACGAAACTGAAAAATTTCTCGCGTTTTTTCTTACTATGTGACAACAAATAAGGCTATAAATATTTGAAAGAAAACAATATAAATTCTAATGAGAACTACCAACATGAGAGGGAAATATAGAGAAAGAGTGTAAGTTATACAACATTAGGTGGAAAGTTCTATAGGTACATATATATAAAGGTTCCATCCTACTCTTTACAACGGACAATACCTTCATTATTTAGTTTTAGTGAAAGCAACCTTTTTTTTTTGGTAGGCCTAGATTTTTTATTTGAGTTAAAATTTTACTATTTCGAAAAAATTGTGCTTGTAATATACGAAGAGAAGAATACCTAAAGAATAACATTCTAAATTTTATTAATTTGGGGTCTATACATCTGCAATAATATTATTACAATATGGGTAATCCAAATTTTGAACATAAGAAACGATTAATGCCAAAATCGGCACTTTTGGTTAGAAAATACCAAAAGGGAATCAGGGCTTCCTTTATTGGGTTTGTAATAATGTTAACTTTAGTTTTTATATTACATACTCCATCACCAACTCATAACCAAGTAACTAATAACAACAACAACAACAACAATATACCGTTGAATCAAAATTCTTTTGGTTCGAATGCTATAAATGCTGCTAGATTATCTGAGGACTATTTAATACCTTTTACTGACAAATCTCAAGGTGTTACCCAACCTCTTGATGATGGTATTAAGGTTAGAGCCGCAATGGTAACGCTAGCAAGAAACTCAGATCTTTGGGAACTTGTAAAGACTATCAGACATGTGGAAGATCGTTTCAATAACAGATATCATTATGATTGGGTATTCTTTAACGATGAACCATTCTCTGATGAATTTAAGAAAGTAACAAGTGCTTTAATTTCAGGGAAAGTGAAATATGGTGTAATTCCTAAAGAACATTGGTCGATTCCGTCATTTATCGATTTGAAGAAGTTTGAAAAGGCTAAAAAAGAATTTGCAGAGCTTAACGTACCTTATGGTACTTCAACTCCATACAGACATATGTGTCGTTATCAATCTGGGTTTTTCTGGCAAAGTGAATTATTAGACGAATACGAATACTATTGGAGAGTAGACACAGATATTACCATTTTCTGTGACATTCAATATGATCTTTTTAAGTTCATGAAAGTTAACAATAAAAAATATGGGTTTATATTATCTGTCAGTGAGTATGAACAAACAATTCGTTCCTTATGGAGAACTGTCAAACAATTTGCAGAAAAATTCCCTAAATATATCGCTAAAGATAATTTAATGGGATTTGTTTCAGATGATGATGGTGAAACGTATAATATGTGCCATTTCTGGAGTAATTTTGAAATCGTCTCTCTTGATTTCTACAGATCTGAAGCTTACAGAAAATATTTTGAATATCTTGATAATAGTGGTGGATTTTTCTATGAAAGATGGGGTGATGCACCAGTTCATTCTATTGCTGCTGCATTATTATTAGATAAATCAGAACTTCATTTCTTTGATGGTTTAGGATTCCATCATCCAGATTTTTACTCTTGTCCTATCGAGGAACCTATTAGATTACAGAATAAATGCACGTGTGATCCTGAGACAGATAATACATGGTTAGATTATTACTTCTGTACAAGACAATATTTTAATGCTGCTGGTTACAAGACGCCACCTGGTATTGACAAGAAGAAATGATTTTAAGATAACCCTTTTAATCAAGAGACTTTGACTGTATAATAATTTCATACACATTGATTTATTTTTAAATATATGTATACATATATCTGCATAGTTAGTAGTTTTAAGGCATATATTACCTGTGAAGAACCATTTTCAATCTTCCCCCAAGCCAAACTGAAGCTCAACGACACAAATTGTGAGTTCTCTGAAATTTTCCTTTTTGAGTTTCCAAATTGAAAGAAATGAAAAGTGATTTTATGATTGAAAGCGATACAGCGCGAACTTAAATGGGAAGAGTTAGAAGAAAGAGGGATGCGTACTGCATATAAAAAAAAAATTAATTGCACCTGGGTCTTTTCATAAAAATGATCATCTCAAACACAAAAAGAAGAATAAAAGGAACATAACTTTCAACATTTTTTTTATTTCTGAATAGCTACTTTTGTTTTCCAAACACATCATACATTTGCTAGAAAACTAGTATATCCAAGATGAGATTTGAAGATTATTTTTCATTTCAAATTTTTTTCATCTTTTTAAGGGAGTCCCTGGAAATTGTGATTATTGTTTCTATTCTGTTAACAATAGTCAGGCAGGCACTTTCAGGCCATGATAAGAATTCAGTTCAGGATGAAACGGCCATAGATAACCACAATATTAATGTAGGCTCTTCTGGTCTGTCGATGACTCCAGAGACCACTCCGATGATTGATAATCATTTAACGGTAGAAGAAGAAGAGGAAGAATTCGAAACTGCGAACACAGAAGGTCAAGATATTCAACCTGGTGATTCTTCAAAACTTTATTCGAAATTGAAGGTTCAAATCATTTCTGGGGGTGCGTTAGGTCTATTGTTATGTTTACTTATTGGTGGTTCATTCATAACAATTTTCTATCATATTGGTTCTGATCTTTGGTCAGTAAGTGAACATTATTATGAAGGGATTTTGAGTATTGTTGCCTCTTTGATTATATCAGTTATGGGTTTATTCTTTTTAAGGATGGGTAAACTTAGAGAGAAATTTAGAATTAAATTGGCTTCTATCATTTATTCTGATCGCGGGAAGATGCTTAAGAATAATACAGATAATGCAGTTAAATTTAGTGAAAAATATGCATTTTTCATTCTTCCGTTCGTTACAACTTTAAGAGAAGGATTAGAAGCAGTTGTTTTTATCGGTGGTGTTGGTATCGATCAACCATTATCTTCAATTCCATTATCAATGCTTTTGGCTGTTTGTGTTAGTGGTATCTTTGGTTATTATTTCTTCAAATATTCCAGCTCTCTATCATTAAAAATTTGTTTAGTTGTAACGACTTGTTTTCTATACTTAATTGCATCAGGATTATTTTCTAAAGGTGTATGGCAATTGGAAGTCCAAGATTATGTTAACAAATGTAATGGTCAAGATATGACTGAAGTTGGTAATGGTCCAGGGTCTTATGATATAGTACGTTCTATATGGCATGTTAATTGTTGTAATGGTGAAAAAGATGGTGGATGGATGATTTTAACCGCTATTTTTGGATGGACTAATAGCGCAACCTATGGTTCTGTTATTAGTTACAATATATATTGGATTTTATTAATCGGTGCATTAAAATTATTAACCATTGAAGAACAATATGGTTATATTCCATTCTTACCAGTAAAATTTCAAAAGAAGAGAATATCAAAGAGAATGGCTATATCAAAGGCATCTATCAATTTGAGAGAAAATACAACCATTTATCAACCACCAAGCTCAGAATCAACTAGAAATTCAAAGGATAGTGAAACACCACTAATTGAACATGGGAATATCAATAATATTTCTACTCATGGTGCAACTTAGATAACACATTTCAAAATTGTTAGTCCATTTTTTCCTATTTATGGAATATTTCAAAATGTAAATAACACAGCATACTATTAACGATGTAATTTTAATATTCCTAAAAACGTAGAATCATATAAATCATGATATTTAATAAAATGAACATAAAAATTGTTTTTATATATTTAATAACATACAGCAAATTAGTAAAATAAAAAGAAGTAATAATATAAAAAGTTAACAGGATTCGATGACTGCAACTGGATCTCCAGAATTGACAATGTCACCGTTTTCATGTAAAACCCTTAAGACCTTACCAGCAGTAGTTGCAGCGACAATCATTTCTGTTTTCATTGCTTCAATAATAATCAAGGCTTCACCTTCCTTAACATAATCACCAGAAGACACTACATTTTTCCAGAAACGACCAGCAAATTCAGAGTATACCAATTGTGTGTTTTCAGGAAATTCTTCGAGTGGGGTTATTTTCTTATCTCCAGATCTTTTAACTTCAATATCAGACCCTTCAATTAGTTTGAGAAACTTTTCTTTCAGACCAGAATCTTGACTTCGTTGAAATTGGCGAATAGAATCTTCATTTTCTTTAATCCATTTTAAATATTCACCATGATCAAATAATGTCTCTTCCAGTTGTACATCAAATTTACCATTGTCCCAATCACGAGTATCGTTGTCTAATTTAGCTTCATCAACTTCATAAAATTCAATTTGATCGAAAGGAGAAAGTAACCATGGATGGGATGAATGTTCCTCTAACGATAACTTGTCCCATATAGGGATAGTTCTACCGACTAATTGATAACCACCAGGACTTGAAGCTGCGTAAATACACATATACATACCACCAAGACCTACCAAACCTTTCTCAGTATAACTTCTGGATGGATTATATTTACTTCCAAGGAACCTGTGTCTTGGGTCAAGTGGGACTGCACATGGCGATCCTAAAAACACGTCACCTAAACCTAATACCATAAATTTTGCTGCGAATACCATATCATGCACATCTTTACGATCAATATTATTAACACCTGCAATAAAATCTACATTATTTGGTAACCATGGAGCATTAGATCTAATAGTTTCTTTATATCTTGTCACACACTCAAGTGTCTTTGAATCTTCAAATGTTACTGGTAATTTAAAAATCTTGGATTCAACCTTCCAGTCTGTATCAAAGTATATTTCATCTTCATAAGCTAGTAATATTTCTAGGAGTGATTGTTGTGACAGTTTGTTACCATCAAATTCAATTAGAACGGATCTGACACCTTGTGACATTTCAATTATACCGACAGTTTTATATTTCTCAACTAATTTAATTAGTGAATGGATTCTATAGGATAAATTCAAATCCATATTTATTTCACCATATTCAACCAAAATGTATCTATCACCTGCTTGTCTATAAGTAACCTTAGGTTTTGTAACAGATTCACCTTCTACAACCTGTAACACAGGATTTTCGTGGGTTGATAAAATTAGATCTTCGTTCAGGGTTTCTAATAGACCACCCTTAAATTCTTGTATAGCGGCATCTTGGGAATTTTGAATACTTCTAGCAGAATCATATGATATTGGCACAAACTGAATCTGATCACCTTGTTTTACCTGGCCAACCTTCCACAGTTCACCTTCTGGAATAACAGCTCCACATACAAAACCACCTAAAGATGGCCCATCACATGTGACAATAACAGGTTCGTCACCAGTAAAATTAATTGCACCTAAGGAATAAACGTAATCATGAGCATTAGATGGATGTAAACCACCTTCACCACCGTCAGTTCTAGCCCATTTGGGTTTTGGCCCAATTAATCTGACACCAAATCTATTAGAATTATAATGTACTTCCCACTTATCAGTAAAGAACTCTCTAATAAATTCTTCTTTAAAAATATCTGGTGAACCATGTGGTCCACAAGTAACACCGATAGTCCAATTCTTTGTGTTGATTTCTGGAATTAAAGATATAGGAGAAGCTTCAGCATCGCATAATGGGTTAGATGGTTGTAGAAATAAGACATCACCAGTTTTCAAAACTCTTCCGTTATTACCACCAAATTCGCCTAATGTAAAAGTAGATTTAGAACCCAAATACTTTGGAACATCTATTGAACCTCTAATAGCCAAATATGATCTACAACCACTCTGTAACTTACCGATAACCAACCTATCACCCGGCTTGACGATAATCGGTTTGAATTGTTCAATATCCCCATTATTAAGTTTAGGCTTACAAGAACCACCTGTAATAGCAATCGTAGTCTCTGTATTAAACTGTATTGTCGGTCCAATTAGCGTTATTTCTATACCAGCTTCATCTTGATTATTACCAACAATACGGTTTGCTAATCTGAAAGAGTAATTATCCATTGGGCCAGAAGGAGGAACACCGATTCTCCAATAACCCTTTCTACCAGGGTAATCTTGAATAGAAGTATGAGCACCAGGTAAAATAATTTCAAAAGAACCAGAATCATATGTATAAGAATTCAGCGTGCTTGTACAGAAGTCGACATTCTGAAACATGGATGACGCAGCAATTGACCTTAAATATCCAATATTGGTAACATTACCGTAAACTTTAGTCTCTTGTAGAGCTGTATTCAATTTTCTTAACGCTTCAGAACGATCTTTACCATGGACTATTATTTTTGCAATTAAAGGATCATATTCAGAAGAGACAGTAGTTCCCTTTTCCACCCAGGTATCAACTCTTGCCCATTTAGGAAACTCAACATCCACAATTTGCCCAGGAGAAGGTCTGAAGTCTTTAACTGGATTTTCAGCATACAACCGAGCCTCCATTGATGCACCAGATAAGTTAACCTTAAATTTAGAAAAATCAGGTGGGTCGTTTGCTGCAATTCTTATCATCATTTCAACTAAATCCAAACCAGTCACCATTTCTGTTACCGGGTGTTCAACTTGTAATCTTGTATTCACCTCTAAGAAATAGAACCTTTCAGATTTTTCATCATATATGAATTCAACCGTACCCGCTGTTTTGTATTTCAATTGACAAGCAAGGCTCTCAGCAGCTTTTTTTAGATCTTCCCTAACTCTCTCTGACAAATTTGGAGCTGGTGTTTCTTCGATCACTTTCTGATTACGACGTTGCAATGAACAATCTCTTTCACCCAAAGCAATTGCGTTACCGCGACCATCACCCATGATTTGAATTTCCACATGTCTTGCATTTTCAATAAATTTCTCCAGGAAAACACCTGAATTTCCAAAATATGATTTACCTTGGTGTTGTACAGTAGCAAAAACACTCTTTAATTCATCTTCGGAATCAACTCTTTTAAGACCAATACCACCTCCACCAGCTGTTGACTTTACCATAATAGGATAACCAATAGCGCTAGCAACTTCAACAGCTTTATCAAGTTCTGAGATTAATGGAGACCCAGGAACTAAAGGAACACTTGCCTCTTCAGCAATTTGTCTAGCTGAATGTTTTAAACCTAGTTGCCTAATAATAGATCCTGAAGGTCCAACGAATACTATACCTTCTTGTTCACATCTATCTGCAAAATCAGCATTTTCGGATAAAAACCCATACCCTGGGATAATTGCGTCTGCATTGGATTCTTTAGCAGCTCTGATAACCTTCTCTATATCTAAATAAGTCTCATTGGCCGTAGAACCATGTAATGGTATACAAACATCTGCTTCTTCAACATGCTTTGAGTATTTGTCTGGGTCAGAATAAATTGCGATCGATGTAATACCTAATTTCTTAAGAGTGCTTATAATTCTCACGGATATTTCACCTCTATTAGCAATCAATACTCTTTCAAATGGCTTAGCCAAATTAATTTCTTCTCTATTCAAATGATCCACATATGTTTTAAAACAACCATACGATGTAATATCCACAGTTCCATCGGCATCATAACCAAATTCCTCACAAATGAATGATTTAACCCACTCTCCATTCTCGAGCTCAACAGAACCAATTCCAAGTGGCTCAGGAACCATTGAAATAAATTGTCCAAACAATTCAGTTGGTACAGCGTAAAGTTCCAAAGCGATAGCTGAAGTACCTGGAGTATTTTTTGCGACACGTCTCAAACCAGGTTTCAGTATTGGCCCATTTCTGGGTAAAGCATACAACTTGTAATCTTTAGAGGTCTTTGCCTTGGAAATAAATGTTGCATTAACCTTCTCTAACTGCCAATGTAATGGTAACCCTTTTAAATGAGCACCTACCACAGCCAATTTAATATAATCAGATTTGTCTGAACTAATTGAAGGTCCACTTAAAATAGAAGTAGATTCAGGTTCTTTGTTCAAAGTGAAAATTCCCTGAAGCTTGTTTTCGGTTGGGAATAATTGTTCTAGATATCTTTCTGCTAAATTTAACAGTGCATAATCACTAAATTTCTTACCTAATAATGTAATACCATTTGGTAAGCCATCTGATCTGAAACCTGCTGGCACTGCCAATGCAGCCAAATCAGCCAAATTAACAAAATTTGTCCAAGTACCTTGTCTAGAGTTGATTAAAACTGGTTCCTTCTCGATTTCTCTCAAAGTTGGATTCAGTGGACAAGTTGGAACACATACAACATCAATTCCTTCCAATAAAACTTGAATAGATTGTAAGATCTTGTTACGTTTGTATTCGTATTTGAAAAAATCTGTAGCTTTGAAAGTTTTACCACCTTTAATAATCGAAGTTACTGTTGGATCTAGTGTTTCTACTGGTGGATTGGATTCTAAAAATTGACCGACAGCCTCATAACGTTCAGCAACCCATGGTCCTTCATATAAACAACGGGCCAAGTCAAGTAATGGTTCTAAGTCCATAATTTTAATTGTAGCACCTATCTTTTGCAAAGTTTCAATTGCATTCTTATAAAGTTTTGGATTTTCCATTTCTCCATACCATGGAACATTTTTTGGAATAGCAATAACAACATTCTTGCCAAATTTTCTTAATGGATTCGATGGGAATGGTCTCGAATACTCGTCATTCTCTTGATCTGGTTTACATAAAATCTTGAAGCAAAGTTCAGCATCTGATAAATTCAAAGAGAAAATGGACACACAATCTAAAGATTTACAGGCTGGCACCACCCCATTACAGGAAAAGACACCTTTACTTGGTTTCAAACCAATCAAATTGTTTAAAGCAGCAGGAACACGCCCTGAACCAGCAGTATCGGTACCAAGAGCAATTGGGACAATACCAGTTGCAACAACTTTGGCAGAACCAGCAGAAGAACCCCCAGATACATATTCGTCACTGAATGCACATGTTACTTTACCATATGGGGACCTAGTTCCCACTAAACCTGTGGCAAATTGATCTAAATTAGTTTTACCAATAATAATAGCACCTGCATCTCTTAGAAGACCAACTACAGTGGCATCTTTCTTTGGATTATAACTGTAAGATGGACAAGCAGCAGTTGTAGCAAATCCACGCGCATCAATATTATCCTTGATTGCTACAGGTACACCAAATAAAGGTAAAGATTCATGATTTTCTCTTGTTTGTAATACCATCCATTGTTTTCTTAAGTTTTCTACTGAGGTGATTGAAATCCAAGCTGTATTTTCTGGTGCAACTTTTTGAGATTTAACTAAAGATAATAAAGTTGAATAAGAATTTGAGGGAGTCGATGACTTATGGAATTCTAGCCAATTTGAAACTGTCCAACCTAAAGTATTTGGACTCATTATAATATTTTTTTTTTGATTATTTTCTTGTTCTATATGAAAATATAATTAAGGTATGGTACGCAATCAATAGAACAAAAAGATAACAAATGTTATGTTGGTGAACTACAAAAAAAATATTTTGGAATAAAAGATATCATCTCAAGGTGTGTTGATCTCCTTTTATATATACATAATATACCAACTTCAGCAAAAAAAAAGATTCCAAAATCATCGTATCTGTAACTTATATCTGTTTCAGTTTAATCCATCTGAAAAGATAGATAACACAAGGACTCATTCACGTCATCTCTCCCCATAGAGTTGAATCGCAAGAAAACGGCCACAAAGATTGAAGTAACAACAGATCTCACCTTTAATCATAATCATCTATTATTAGTTAAAGGCGTTTGATAAGAAGAAATCACAAGCTGACAACATTTTTTGGTATAACATTTTGCGTTCATAAAGTTCATCTTGAACATTTAAGAGAAATCCATAGCGACAGCAACAGTAAAAATGAAAAAGTACAGATGAGAATTAATCAAATATCTAACTGCATATGTTAGTCTTCCACGCGATAATTGTTATATTTTCACCTCTGTCAGGCTTAATCAATATACTGTTTTTTTTCCCATTTGATCCAACTTCTATTATCTAATCAACAAAATATGTCAAATTTCGGCTTATCAGTTTATCTTATCAATATAAATTTGTAAATATTTCTACTGGCTTATGGTAAGACCTCGGCCGAGAAAACGTTGCAGCAAAGTTATCGGAGTGAGAAGCTCTCAAACTAAAAACAACAATTCTTTCGCAAACTGTTTCCGTAAAAGGGAGCAATTTGTGCGATGACTATTGCAGATAGAGAAATAGTTGGCGTAAAACTTCATTAACTATTATTACTAGCAAATAAATATTAATAGTGGAACAACATTTTACAACTAAAACATATGCTTAATTTAAAAAAAGTTGAATAAATGTAATATCAGATACGGTACAGAAGTACAATCTGAGTTTAAAAAAACATTAAAAAAAGAAGCTCGCACTCAGGGTTGAACTAAGGACCAACAGATTTGCAATCTGCTGCGCTACCACTGCGCCATACGAGCTTTTTACGTTTTTCTGGAAAAAATATAAAATTAAAACCTTATCGAAAAAATAATTCAGGTGAAAAAAGTAACAGAAGATCGTTTTGACGACTCTCACTTAGACTTATATGTATAAACAATCTTTAAAACGGTCGAACAGCACAGGCAGATGATTGGAAAAATAAAATACAGGACGACGCTAAGTCCACTGATGTACACATTCTGTGTTTACTCTTCGGATGCTCAGTTCTTCGAGAGTTTCCTATTTATACAAACTTCGCTTTATTCCTTGTTTGGTATCTTTCTTCTAAAGTATAGCAATAAATATTATCCAGAATGCTAGGTGATTATGTCTAAAAGTACAAATTATCATATTTAAAAAACGATAGAAGATACAGACTACATTCCAATACAATAGCACCACAAAAAGTGTACTTTGTTATGATAGCTAGCGACAGAAAAAAAAAAATAGCCGGAGTGCACCCTTTATGAAATGTAGAGAACATCACACCACGTGAAAGCGTTGATATGTATAGGAAGAGGACAAATATGGTCAAAATAAGATTTTTGATGTTTTGTTTTCTTTCACGTATTTATTTTAATGAGGTTAGTAGAAAGAAAAAAAAATTCATGAAAAGTTTAATAAAAGCACCTATTGAAGTCAAAAACTTTAACGCTGACAGTCTACATTTAAATTATGTGCATTCACTCCCAAAACTTAACAGATAGACCCTGAAACAGACCAGAATACTTTGTAAAAATAGCAACCATTTAGAAACTATATCACCTTAAGGTAACCGTATTTCATTTTTAATGTTAACTAATGTCCTTCTCCACATAGCCAGTCAGGTAAAATGTTCTCAAACGAAAATACTAAAAAAGTGAACCTTCCTATACTTTCAATTGAATTTCATCAGCTTAATATCATATCTTAGTTACAGGATCTCTGATTTAGATGCAAGACAAACATATTAATATCATTATTGAATTATGCATTGTTAGATACTTACATATATTACGCAAGATACAAATTATATACATTTCCACTTGCCCTTCCAATAAAATCTAATTGATCTCGTCTTCACCTTCAATCGCTCCAACAGCTTCAGTCTCTTCTACCTCCTTCTTCTCTTCTTCAGTAAGAGACTTTTCCTTTTCTATTAATTTCGGTTCGGTTTCCTTGAATAACGAAATAAATCCTGTAAATAGCACAATTGTTATAGGTCCTATTAGAGGCATGTAAACAGCCAGCTTATGTTCCTGAGGGAAAAAATTTTGTTTTAACATTTGACCATCGAAGAAAGCCTCCTCACTTCTCTGAACCATTTTATTACTCAAATTTAAAGCTTCATCCCAACTTAAATCATCACCTTTAGCAGGGTTATTCAAAATTTCAACAATGTCTAGTCTAGTATCTAATACTTCCTTGACATTTTCTAACACGTCCTTTGGAATGGCCATTTGTTGGAATTGCTCAGTTAGTTTAATTAACGACCAAAGAGTCTCAACACTTTTGTTAATATTTTGTAATGTTCTTATTCTTTTAAATGAATCAATTGTAATGACAGGAGAAAATAAACTTTCAGATTCTGTTGTCAAACCCAATAACTCGAATAAGTCATTAGCAAACTTATACAATACCGCATCAAGATAATCTTTAGAGACCATTGTATTGGCTTCTAGTGGCATTTTGTTAATAACAAGAACACCCCATTGAGGTACGATAAAACTTTCCCATGTTTGTTCACCTTCGGCCTTAACAAAGGAGAAACCTTCTGGGTTAGTTTCTTTACTTGGGAATACAATGGCTAAATTTAAAGCAGAATCTTCGGAAAAATAGTTCATTGAAGATAATTCTGAAAGATCAATAGTATGACTAACGTCAGTCCATGTGATATTGCCGGTGTTATTCAGTGAGTGTAAGTTTAAATCATTAAAATAAACCACCGATGTATCCACAGTAAAATTAACTAAAGGAGACAAGAATCTTCTGAATGGAGTGAAATAAGTTTTCAATGTCTCTTCAATTTCCCAATCAACAGGAGAACCATCACCTTTTAGCAAATTTATGGATAAATGAATATCTGGGTTATAATTAATTGCTACTGCACTGTGTTTATCAAGCATCAAATCCCCATTAGATAAATAACCCCATTCGACGTTGAATGTATGTTCGACAAGTGTTTGGGCAACGAAAAATGGTAAATCATTTCTAGCTACTGTTGGATCATCGAAGTAGACAACGGTATTCTTAGAATCATATGCAGCATTATAACCAACAAATTCATCTAATTGTAAAGTCACGATATGATATTCTCTACCTTGCTCTTTCTCTAATTCAATGAAAGTATCATTAAACTGGAGAATCTCTAAAGACCATTGTACATTTTGTTTTTTGCTATCCAATAAATGATTCACCTGAATTTGAGTTGCTTCATGAATATCTGGGAATTTATAAACATCTGATTTAATATAAACCGGAATTGTCACATGGACATCAAAGAACTTATCATTGTTTAATGATTTAATATATTCTCGTGGTAAAGGTGCCCTATATATATTCGTTAATTTACCCCACAATGGTATACCTATTATAGCATACGTGAGAACGAAAATGGAACATACGGATTTTCTAAGACTTAAAGTGGACATTTTGTAATACGTAGTTATCCAATTGGTAATTTACAATTGAATAAAACTAAATGTGACTAACTATTAAAAAGTGGTTGATTTATTCATTCGAATTCTACGGAATATACGTTATTATAATTTTTATTTGAATATTATATTCTAAACCGTGATTTATGTGAATATTCTTACACTGTGGAAAAAAAGGTTCTTGAATATCATATAATACGAGGTGTATAACAAAGCTTAATAGGAATGTATGAAGAATATATCAAAACTCAATATAATGAACCTTTTATTTTGACATATATCTATAACTATTAATTTATGCAGTTTTTGCAAGATATTTGACTACGTTTGTTATAGCGTTGTTACATATTTTAAATTTCTAATTGCCAAATGGTATTTTAACCAAACAACTAGAGAATTTTTATTTTGATTAATTCGAAATAATTGCATACTTCAAAGGAGAACTAGGACATGAAAGATAATATTAATTAACAAAGTTACATAAGTTATATAATTCGAATAGTTAATGAATAAATTTCAGTAATTTAAAAAATAAAAAAAAAAAAAAAAAAAAAAAAAAAAAAAAAAAAAAAAAAAAAAAAAAAAAAAAAAAAAAAACAAAAAAAAAAAAAAA